GGAAAAAGTCCTGTGCGGTCAATCAAATGTATGTATTTTAGCTTTCATTCATATTGACACGTGTTTCCATCTCCAAAGTGCCTTGCGTGACTTTTAAAGTCCTGTACACGGTTGATCACTGCCTCTTACACAATGTCCACAAACAAGCTTTAAACACTTAAAGATGTCTATCATTCCAAAATGTCATTTCTACTGGGGTATTTCGGGGTGTGACAAGACACTATGTTCTGTGTGGGATCTCTGAGTCACACCTCGGCTACAGTCGTTGCAGTAACCTCTGTATTCACAGTTAGTGAGCAAGTTCCCCTTAAAGTCCTCCTCTCAACCTTCAAGTCTGGGCTAATTATCTACGTGGTTATGCAGACAAAGTGGGTGGGGACTGACTTAAAATGGCAGAACACAACAGATGAGAAGTCCAAAATGATACGGTGAATTAAAGAAAGAAAAAAACAGAGAGGAAAGCTTCAGGAAACTGTTCTGATCACTTTTAGCATATTGCAATTTATCTGATTGTGAGCACGCACACAAGGACCCCAAATTGCATGATGATGACAAAATGAACTCTCCTCCAACCACCGCGCTCCATCACACTGTTACAGAGTAGCCTTGTTCGAGCGGAGACGTCTGCCAAGGCCTATGAGTGACAACGTGTTCTTGTCTAATGACAGCTCTGAGAGGCGCCGTGCGACCCGTCTGGACGCGAAAGAGGAAGAGGAAGAGCACCCAGAGGCTGGACACAGCAAGGCCTCACAACACATTCCGGTCGACCAGAGGACAGTCAGACTCACGGTCAGCAAACAGAGCTGATTCATGATCCTACATCGTTGCTGGTGGTACATATGGCTGATACGGCGGTGACTCAACGTGTAAGAGAGTATTCCAGCACTCCTGCTGGTTTCTACCTTCAGTGGAATCACGTCTAACCAATACTGGGCTCGTAATCAATTGTGGCGCGCGAAAGAGTCGGCTGCAAGCGGTTTCATTAAATATGGAGGAGTTGTGGACACACAGGAAGGCTGCCACCTCTTCTCTTTGGCTGATGGAGGACCATCAAACAATTCCACCTATTGATGAGTCAAAACAGTGCTGCTTCCTCATCTTGAAATATGTTAAACCGTGTCCAATTAACAATCAATCAGTCAGTTCATTTATAATTATGTACACACAATCCATAAATTTGAAAAATAATGTTTTACAATTTCATTTTCCTATTTGCTGGTTCCATGCGCTGTGTGGAAACAGTGTTAAGAGTTGACTTTCATTCAACAAACTTAAAGATTGTTAATCAATATATTGTATCTAGCTTAGCAAACAATAATATGCGTTGAAATAGCAAATATATGGAAAAATACTGCTTAAAATGCTGGTGACGTGGAAAAAACGCTGCTAAACTTGACAAGCAAGCCACCCAATACGTCAGTGAGAAATTTGAACTGAACAGCTTGATGCTGTGTGCATTACAGGTTGGAACAATCCTCAACAACCCTCAGCCGACCCTACACGGCCACAAAGCCACCACACATTCAGCTTTTCACAGACACACACACACACACGGATATGATGCTGTAATAATCAAAAAGGAAACTCTTCTAGAGTTTCTAACTACTGTAAAAATAATCTGAACGCACGAAACAAAAACATGATAGATATAATTATACTCATATAGGCGCATACAGCGACACGTATTGATTCATTGGAGAACGACCTCTGAGTGGGAAACACCGGCGCTGACCGTTTTGTGAAGCCATAAGTGCTCTGTACTTATGACACATGACACACTAAAGTGCACAGAGCAATAGATCACAAGTCAGGTGATGGCGAAAGTTCTGCTTGTGTAAAACCCTATAATGGTAAATTCCTACATAGTAAATAGGAGGATGTAACTGGCAGGACTAATAACAACAACTGTTGGCAATCGGTGTCAAAACTACAAGCAGGTTTCACGCGAGTGGGCACTTTTGGCTGAATGGGAAGCACTTCCCCGTCACCGCAAATCCAGTATCAAGTTTCGCTACGCGTCGCTAATGCACAACAAAGAGCCGAGGCTTTGTGTAAAGTGATCTGGGATCTGTGGTTTGTGGGACCATGTCGAACCGTCCGGCCGGGGACGAGGTGCTACTTTGCCCGGTGCGGGGAAAACTCTGGGCTCTGCAACACGCCGAGCGAACTGTTGCTCTACTCCCTGAGTGACTGCTCCCCTGTGTGTGTGTGTGTGTGTGTGTGAGATGAGAGGCCTTTATGTGAGTGGTTATCAACTGCTGCAGCTGCGGCTAGCGTTTGACCGGGCCTGGCTAGTTGTCGACACCGAGCAGCTTGTGTGTTGCCTCTGTCGACAAAAACACATCCTGGGCCTCTGATGCTGCTGTATACAAAAGTTGGGAGGAAGTCGCGTGTGCGTGTGTGAGACAGCTTATTTATCTTTTTTTCCCCCCTCAGATATGCACGGGTGTGAGTAATATTCTGCCACGGATTGGTTGCTGCATGGTGAGTCAGCGAGCTCGTCCTCAGCTGCAACCTTGCATGCCACTTCTCCATCGCTTCCTTCCTTCTAGCGGTCTCCTCCTTCAGTGCTCATTCACCCCAGTGTTTCCCCCACCATTATATAGAATGTAAGATTTTTTGCAGCAGTCTGCCCCCCCCTCCTCCCCTCACACGCACACAAGCAAAGAGAGACAAACATGGTGTGTCAAAAAGACAAAGAGGAAGGACAGCTGCTTTCACACTGTCACATGACATTCAGGAGACTACGGGGGGTACGTTTTCTTTGGAGGACCGCTCATAAGAGCAGACTGAGGAATGTTGTCGTTTCACTGAGGTAAATGCCAAGCTTTTTAAAAAACCTAAATGAGACAGGACGGTGTCACGAGGGCCAAACGGATGAGTCGGGAAAGTGTGATGGAACACAACGTTAATGTGTAACTGTAGAGTCCAAGTGGCTTATCAAGGAGCTGTGCTAAATGAAACCTCAGTAGAAGCCTCTCTCGCTTGTACACTCGAGAGTCAAACCAAAAGGGAAACGTGATGAAAACAACTCCCTCCACCACACAGCGCTGCTCACGGGGGCCATCTTTGTACCCGACACGCGGCCACGGCGCCATGTGCAACCTGGTTTTCCCTCAAAGGGCTCATATGAGCACAGAAAGGTCTGTGATTTCCTAGCTTATGGGAGCCGAAGTCCAGTCAGCCCAGTGAGCATGCGTCCACGGTCTTATGTCTAGTGGTGTGCTTGAGGACACTGAGGATTAAACATCCTTATCCTGTTCTTTAGCGTTAGACCGGGTTCGACCGGGAGGCCAGAGTCTCACACTATTTATACATCATAACAAGGTTTGGCTGTGGCCGTGGTGGTGAAACTGACAGCAGAGTGCAGCAGGCCAAAGACAGCGAGTGCTACAGGTAACAAAACAGGAAACTTATCATTTTCATCACATCTTGTGGCGAACTCAAATTCAACAGCAACTTCTACATTTTAGTCAAGAAACTGTTTTCACTTTGGTTTCATTTGCTAGTACTACATTTGATTAATCGTTTGCTTAATGTAGTATCAGAAAGAAAATGGCATTTTTGCTTGAGAAATGACTTGAGAAACCATTCATGTTCAATTGATTTTCATTAATACTAAAGAACGCAAAAAAACATTCAACCTAAGTTTTCCATCACTTGACCCATACATGTCCTTCTCAATGAGTTATTCCATATTTGATATATTTGTTGAAGGAGCCGGCGTGCACGCCTCTCCAGTCCGTCAGATTGCATCATAGCCTACACGTTTCAACAGCGTGAGGTTGACAGCGCTTTGTCCACGGATGTCTAAGCTCACGATCGATGTCTGTAAGGTTTCATTAGCTCGGAGTCTCTGGATCTAATAAAGGGTGTGTACTCAGGATTGTTTATGCTGTCATTCTTTGTGCTCACGTTGCATATGCATTAGAGCCCATAAATATTGTGTACTTCAACACTATGATACCACACTACTCAGTCATTACTGACGGGTCCTGTATTAAATGCATTATGTGTCTTAACAAGGCTACACAAGTGGGACAGCATCCTGCACTATTGCAGTCGGTGGAATCAGCTGTGCTCAGATAACATGTTAGATGTAGTCGGACTCTCAGACAACCCCAAATGTTTGGAGCTCAGCCCCATTGATCTAACACTGAATCCATCCTCTCCATGGTAAGGGAGGTAGCACTACACAACAGAGGGAACACCGACTGACGCTTCATTTCCCTGAAAAAAGCCCTTATAGTAGCCATCCCTTAGATGGGGTGCATTCCACATGGTTCTATAGGTGTCATTAAGTCACACGCAGACACAGCGAGAGACACACGTGAGGCCAAAACAGGCCTCATTCTTGGCATTCTCGGGCCACATCTGGCGACACACATGAGGCTACATCGTCGTTGCAGCATCCGCCACGTGCAGACTCTCCAGCTCCACCGCTATCGTGGGCGAATGACGAGCCACACGCTAACTGCATGTGGAAAAGGCCTCTCTCGGGCGGAAACGACGGTCTGGAGGAACTCGGATCTCAGATGGGTGGAGGCCACAAATGCAACATGAGTCCAATGGATCAGAGCACAGACTGAGCTCTGGGGTTATTGATAATTTGTGGTAAAAATTGTTGTAATAACACATATTAGAATGAGGTATTTGTTACACCTGTTCAGCCTACATATTTGCCCAACACAAGTATAGATAAGTGAGTGCTTTCTGTCTAACAAACTACCACTAGATCTAATATTTGCTAACACGTATTACCCCCCCCCCCCCCACCTCACAATCAGTGAGGCTCAAGTCCCCCCTGAGAAGTTGGGGGGGGGGGGGGGGGGGCCAGGGGCCCTAATTTTTCGAGGGTGGGGGCTCTTATTTGAAGAATAAGCTCGCTCACTCTTTCTTAAAGGGTGTCGGGCAGGTAACCCTTAACGACCTCGATATAAAGTGGAAGAAGTGGTGGGGGGGGGGGGGATTGGTACGTGTTGTGATTGCGTGTCACCCACCTGAAACAGACTCTCCGTCAGTCCCCGCCGGACCTGCGTCCACAAAAAGGCGCTAAAGAGGAACAGGGCGATTTCGGTCCAGGTGATGTACGCGTTATCCAGGAGAGTCCGTTTGGAGAGCTCCAGACCGCAGGAGCCACAGTCTCTCCACGCGCCCAGCATCACGGTGGAGGCTCTGCTCATGAGGTCCAAGTACGCCGGCATGGGCTCCACTTCGGCCGGCGCTGCTGCGTCCACGCTTTGACCGCTCATTGTGGCGCGGCGCACGAACGCGGACAGGCAACGTGGGACCCGAAAACGGAGAAAAAAAACAAATAGAAAATACTCCAATTGAGGGGCAGGGGGGAGCAGCGCGGTCCAGACGCTACTACCACTAATCCTCGAACCAGCTTGCTAGCGCGACTAAAATTGCTAAAACGAGCTTATCTAACCAGCTTACGCTCTTCAGTAGCCTAATTCTTTGTTTTCCAAATTAAGACGTGGGCCTCATTCCTCGCGTGCAAGGTAGTTTTTTATAATTTATAGACGAGCCCATCGGGTCCTACCAGCGACAAGGCTGTATTAAAAAACAAAAACAAAAATATTAAATATGTTTGATAATTAATTTGAGCCATTAGAGCCTCTCTGGTGGTGGTTTCCTCTAATCATCATTCCGCTACGCACACAGACACACGCACAGCGGCTCATCAGCGCACCCCGGTTAGCCGCCTAGCTAACCCTAATTCAAAAGCGCACGAGAGCGAAAGCGCGAGCATCGGATGCGGCTTCCTCGCTAAACTAGCCGCTCGAATAAAATCGCCCTTAAATGCGACGGACGGACTCCGCTCGCGCGGCCTGTTCGCGTCGCCTCTCCGAGCGCAGAGCCCCGAGCCAGCACATGCGATTAGAGCGCCGCCACGCCGTAACGTCTCATCGCTGTCCCGTTACTCGCCTTATGTGACGTCGCTTGTGCGGCCGCGTCGCGAGTCGTGAACTAGCGGGGACTCCTCGCGAGCCGGCGCGCCGGAGCCGAGCGATTCCAGCGAATTAAGGTGCGGATGCGTCAGATATGGACCTCGTCCCGCGAGAGAGGGGGGAGGGGGGCGGGGTGGGCGCCGTCGCTTCTTCGTCTTCTTTCTTCTCCTCCGCGGTCACCGCTCCGGGCTGCTCAATGTGTCCGGTGAGGGGGGTGGGGTGGGGTGGGGGGGTTGCGGGGCTGCGGGGGGGGGGGGACAAAGGGGGCGCTCCGATAAGCCGCGCGCGCGCTTCGCTTTCAATGAATGTCAACTGGTATGTTGAAAACAGGACAGCGTCCGTTTATGCCAAAAGAACCGGGGGCGGAGGGGGGAACAGCGAGGGGGCGTGACGTAATTAGGGCCCGCTATCTATCTTTTAAAAGGTCTGTTTGAGGAATAATTAAGAAGGACTTAAAGAGACAGTGTAGACATGACTGCACTCGAAGACAATTAAAATCTGACATGTGAAAGAAAAAAACTCCCATCAAATTAACATTTAATTAATTCATTAGTGCATGCAAACAAAACCACACTTCAAACTGGTGTTACACATTTATTATTGTTTCAGATAAACACTTACATTAAAACAAGTGTGTTGATTTCCATAAGAGAAATTCAAATTAATAAAGGATGGACATGTTTTACCTACACACAGGGGGGGGGGGTGATGACTTCTGGTCTACTTTAAATAATACAGCCAATGTTTTTTTCCTGACAAGTATCAAAACAAATAAAGGTATGCAAATTAGAAGGAAATCCATGGTGTCATAGTGAAGTCCACTGTTGAGGTGTTTCTGTAAAGGCAGGTGACCTACGCTGTAGCGATGGGAGCGTACTGCATCACTAGTCGGTCAAACTCATTCTCCTGCAGGGAAGCCAAGCACACAGGGAACAGTTAAACACCAGAAAATAATATCTCACCAGCTGTGCTTCACATGATTTTTTTTTAGAAATGGTACAACCCAGTTTAAGCATGTTTATGTGCATATGCAGCCTTGTGTAATTACAACCCAGTGTGTGACAAAGGCAAAAGGTTCTGGGTTTATTGCTCTCATTGACGCTGCTCCAAGGACACATGCTGCACAGCATTGAAAACAAACAAGCGGGTAATTAAATTATAACAGAGAAAAGGTCACGAAAGCTTGTCACCAACCGAGGATGGATCCTGTAAACCTAGATAGCCCTGGCTATAGGTCAGCAGCCTCCCCCACAATGAAAAGCTTTAAACAACAGATAAAGACCCCGTCAAGTTACCTTGGCCAAGTAGTCTTTGAGGAATGGGTGGGCTTTGTGTGCATCTTTCAGCTGAGAGAGGTATCTATTGGTTACCTGAGGGCAAATGTAAAACACATGAGGCAAAAGTAAGAAAATGGACTTCAAGAAGCCATTTTTTTTTAGGCTTGTTGTCTGTGGTCTTGTCACCAGTTTGAACAGGATAAGTTAACATTTCACTCAAAATCTTAAGACGGTCGTGGGTTTGATTGAACGTTGACGGGCCGCAATCCAAGAGTTCAAAATAGTACTTCGCTCTTGGATGATTGCCAGACCTCTTTTGAGTAATGACGTGAGCAAGAGGAGACAAATCCGAGCGCTTTTCCGCTCACAGAGCACAGGAGCAGCCGAATAAAGCAAAGCTATCATTAGTCAGGAGCCTACAGCAACCAACAAAGTTAAATATCACTCAGGTTAATCAGATTTAAACAAAAGCAGTCCACTGTTACCGTGATGGTTTGGCTTCTTTGAAGAACTTGCCCACATAATTCCAGTAAACCTTGAGTGCGATGTGCTAATCAGTGGTTATCTCAGTTGAAAACGCTTAAGTGATGGTTTTGTCGACTATCAACGATATATTGCCTTACTATCAAGTTCATCAAACCAAAGACAGATAATTTGAGTCTTTATCTCATGAACTCTCTGTTGCAGAGCATCTTACTCACACAGCACTAAACCATTGGAAATGCTTAGATGACACTTTTCACGACAGAGGACAAATGCAATCAAGAAACCGCTTGGATGAATGCTTCTCGCATGCTTCAATCAAAGCACAACGCACAAACTGCTGAGAAGAGCATCTTGCTGTCTAAGCACCGTGCTACAGGACAAAGATATGTGGCGTCCTCTCTGACTGAGGACAGGTTTGTAATATGCTAAACTGAAGATGGTTAAAATGTCGCCATAGTTAACAGTTTTTGGTTCAAAGTCTCACCTCGGGAGCTTTGCCCAGGTGCTGCGTCAGCACTATGAGGTTGATCAACGTCTCAGGGTGACTGCTGTCCTAAAATGAGAAAGAGAGGAACACAAAAGGGGTTATGGTTCCTCAAAAGGCACACAGAAGACAGCAGAATAATCACAAGAGTGGAGGCAAGACATTGAAAGAAGATTCCCGTCACTTTCTAAGATGACTAAATGAATGATATGACTTCACTCCCCTAAATCACAACATTTACAACAGTGGTGCCGTTTCAGGAAATTGGAAAGAATGGAATTATGCTCCAGATCCACTTATCACCATGAAACAATTTGTCTGGTTTTGCAAGTCAGAACATGAGCTTCAACATTCATGCAAAGCCACATTCTAATCCTACTCCTTTTTTTATGCTCTGTGTGTTTAGTGAAAGATAAAATCACAGGATAACCATCTCCTTCTAGTAGTTTAACCAGTGAAAAAACTGAAGAGGGAAAACGAAGTCCAGAAAAGCTTCACTTCAGTTTACCTAAACTGAAGACCTAATTGTCCCAATTGTCAACATGGCTGAGCTTTTTAGAACATTAAAGTGAATAATCTGTTGCAGTTTGTGAAACCCCCCCCCCAGTGTGTACCGGTTGACCCCTATGTTGTTAAGGATACCACAGGATAACTGAAGACTACAAAAGAGTATGTGGTGCCATCTGCTGTTATAGTGCAAACAGTGCATATAAGGGAAGCGTCCACAGAAGGGCAAATATTTAGTCTTATTTCTGAGAGTTGTGATGTAGGAGTTCGACTAAAAATAACAACCTCATTAGTAACTTTTGAATGTTAAGTTAAAAATTGGTCTATAAAACAAACCCTTTTTTATTTTTTTAAACTAATTAATAACCCACAACTAACTCTCTTTAACCAATACAGTAGTTTGTGACATTAATAAATGTACATTCATAAAATCACACCGCCAAACTGCATGCTGGGTACAGGTCGCTCGTTATCACTACAAGAAACTCCGTCGCTACATGAAAACACAGAAAAGAGTAATGCAGAGGAAACCACGACAGACCAGAGATCCACCAACACAACTTGTGTTCAAGAGAGGAGCTGCGCGCTGTTTGGAGTTTTTTTGGTTATAAAAAATCTGACGCAAGTTAGATCAGAAAGCGATTTTTTGCAAAGTTTGTCGAGCCGCTGGTGGCAACACTGGCAGCCACAACAGCTGACACGCTAACAAGTGGGACAGCTAGCGCTGAACAACGAGCGGTGAACAGCTGTTCAGGTGGCCGGCGGTCCTTTTCGGCCTCAAGGGATGAATGTGTTTACTCGATAAAAAAAATTGAAAAAAAATCAGGATATACCAGGACACCGCCAGAATCCTAAAAAAAACTGTGATATGAATTTTTGGCCGTACTGCCTGTTTATTACAGACCTTGCAATGGGTCTGTAATAAACACACAGGTTTAATATTACAAAGGGTCTCCAGCACAGCCTCAATTTAGCATGCACCCATTCAGGTTATAATTATGAAGAATATGAGTCTAATACAAGACAGAGAACAGAGAAGCCACACTGTGTGTATATACAACAAAGTGTGTTTAACATGTGAGATAAAACGTATAAAAAGAGACATTACGACGGAAACAAAAACAAACTACTAATGTCATCTAACCTTGTCCAGGGCCTCCTGTAGCACTCCCTCTGCTTCCTCCCACTTGTTCTGAGCCATATAACAGGCTGCTTGCCCGTTGAGGAGCAGCAGTGTAGAGGAGTACTTGTCCGACATCTCCTGGAAAATGTAGTAGGCATCCTGAAGCTTCTCTCCACCCTGGAACGGCACGCAAAATGTGATCAAATGTATGCAAGACAAAATGTTCAGCAGTGACTAAGCAGAATGCTGATTCAGATTAGTTTTTAATGGTGCCGTGGTACTCAATGCTCCTGAAGAATTGGAAGACATTTGTTGTGCAAAAGGGACAAATTTAATGGAACACAGTCCTTCTTGGACCTCCCATACTTTGTTAAGTTTAGATTCATACTGCCCTCAAAAGTGCTGTGTCTGCTGATCATTTCAAACCTGATTGCAGCTTCAGTCAATAGGAATACAACTATGATGCAGATGGTGCATGAATAGGGATTTAATTAAGCCACGGTGCAGACGGATGCAGTGCACGCAATTGTATTAATGTGGTTAAAAGTTATTCATGATAGAACATTTATCTATAAATAAAATATGTGTATTGATGAGAAGTAAATATTGGCCTACCCACCACTGCGATATTAACCCAGGCTGTGGCCAGCTGGGTGAGAGTAGCATCCTCATCCTGCTCCTGCATCTTCTTAAGCTCTTTCCTGTCAATGAGAAGAATTGAATGCCATAGTTGTGATGAATGTGTCACTTATTTAAAATTATGTGAATGGAAAAATAAGTAACATCCAGACTTACTTACTGTTCAATTACATTAATAAACTTATAAAAACAGATAACAAATCCAAAATAACAATTCAATGAAATCATCCACTATTTAAGCGTTATGCCACACCTTGCCAGGTCAACACGATCCAGGCTCAGCAACACCTGGATGGTCATGGCCATGCTGAAAAATGGACAAATGTTCAGGTCAGTTTCAAGTTGTGGCTTTTAATATCAAAGAAACTGTAAACCCAGCGACTCATCACCGAGTCTTGCGGGAGCAGATATGGAAGCCAAAACCTTCATTTTCAAACCAAATTGTTTGTGTGAAAAGACCCCTTTCACACAATGTTTTTTCTGAGCACGCCTATCACATTGACACTATGATGCAATAGAATGAGTGCTTTAGTCATTTTTATATTTTACTGGATTGATAAAACAAGTTATGTTATCTTTATCTTAGTTTATATTGAAGGAGCTTGAAGTTTGAGTAAAGTCAAAAAATTAATTTTCTCTTTTTACTTGAAATCAGTTTGTAATGTGAGGAAATATCTTTCTGACACTTTTAAAAAGAAAAAAGACATGATCATTTCTCACCACTCAAGGCTTTCTCCTTGATGCAGAGTCCTGAGAGCAGCATCCGTGTTCATCTCATGGTAGTAGATGGAGGCAGCCATGAGGAGGAAGGTGGTATTGGCAGCATCCATGCTCTTCGACATTTTCTTGTCGAGATCCTCAACAATAGCATCCCTGCAAGAAAAAAATAGCAATAATAACCAAAGATTGTTATGGCAATGAGGACTTTACAATAAAGAGAAGAGGTGGAATATGTTGCGTGATCTCCAAAAACAATTGGGTGTTTGAAAGGACTACTATTGGGTGTTATATTGAATATTTTGGGAATATATTCTATAAAGTATATTACGGTTATTCATATGCAATTTGGATGCATCAAGTTGCCTTCGCTTTACCAAAAAAAAAACAGTCATATAGAGACAGTTTGACAACAGCAACATCTGGAAAGAGCAAACTACTGCAGCAACAGGTCAAACTGCAAAACATGGTTTTCATCATTACATGTTGAAAATTAGGTTCTAGTGTACTCTCGAGACATTCCAACAAAATAAACCTGGAAAGTCAAGGTTGCGAGGGCCCGCCAGGAAACTGTGCATTCAAGTGTAACTGCATGACTGACTGTAATACTCTGTATTTTGTCTAACTGGCTTCTGATCGAACAATTCTTCAGCTAAAAATGTCAATTAGTGTATTAAGCATAACCTGGATACTGTCAGAGCGTAGCCACATAAGACTCATGCCCCTTCCACGTTTCAGCCTAGAGTCAAATACAAGTCCTTGCCTCTTGCTTTCACTGGACAGATACTCAGCAAGCATCTTGACAGCTTGAAGCTCTGGTGGAGAGTTGCTCTTGATGTCATCCAGGACAACAGCATACTTCCTCTGCAGGAGAACACAACACAACCGGTCATGGTGAGCGATTTTTAATCCGCGTGTTTAATCGACATTAAGTAGCTTTCAGCTGATGACAAGAAACTTAGCTCCTTGTGACATAACATTTCTAACGTTAGCCTACATGAGAAAAGGAGTGTTGAGAAAAAGGTTTACCTGCGCAATGTATGCCCTGTACAAGAACGTGTCTCTTTCGGTCTCCTTTTCTGGCGTTGGTGGCTTTGAATACAAATAAAGGAAAGAAAGGAGTTATTTTACAAAAACAAATATTTGCTACCATGTTTAGCATTGATGCTCAAAACGCTGTTGTCTACAGTAAGGTGGCGATGTAACGTGAACTAACAGAACAAATAGTTTACTTTAACACATTCGACGGATGCTTTGTTAAATACTTACCTTCACTTTCTGAGCCTCATTAATACACTGTTGATAACTGCCAATATAATAGGCATTTTTAACATCGAAGAGTTCATCAACATCACCCTGCTGCGCCGCCATGTTTGACTAGAGAACTTCCTGACACGTAGCACAAGTACGTCACCATCCGGTTTTTCGCGGAGAACTCTGGGTAGTTGAGTTCAACAAAAGCACAGATGAATGGTACGGATACGGGAAAGTTGTATTGTAAATGAATACATGAAGCGATGCAATATAAGCCATATGTTTTTTTGCTTAAAAAATGGCAACATCGTTATACATCCAAACTACAGTTGTTTGACATAGAACATGTTCATCACGCTAACATTTCCGTACAAAAATGTTCAATCTTATATAAATCATGATCTTGTAAAACATTTTTTTGAAAAGTACAAGTTAATATATTTTTTTAAATATATCTATATATGTATTTTAAATATTTGTTCATAAAGGCTGGCCTATAATCACATTACACCACTAGAGGGCGCCTCAGATCAACTTTACCAGTGCAGGTGTCTTCGTTTTATTATGAAGGAGATTTGCAGCGATACACTACTCAAACCTCAAGTACAAGATACAACATATTGATAGACCACATTTATGAGGTTGTATAAATGAAGCTTTAATAACACCAATGTTTGAACTCAGGCTGCTCTTATCAATATAGGGCCTAAACCCGTAATTTATATCAAGACTTTAAGATTATCTCAGCGTAAAGAAGACTATTTTGACCTCAGAAATGACCATTCACACAGATGACAAACTTCCTGTATGCTCGAAAACATCCGCTGATGTATCTGTGTGCGTGTACGCGTGCGTGCACTTGTATATGTTGTCATTATTAATGAAATGTTGTGAAACTGAAAATTGTAATTCAACTAAAAAGTTTTAAACCTAACAAGGATGTATATAATAATTCAGTACATGACAGAAAAGATTTCCTGCTCATTGTTCCCTTAACACCACTTCCTGCGGAAATCGTCGACTGGACAAGGGTAATTCCTGGAAACCCTAATAGGGGCAGGTAGTGTACTAGGTGTGAGTGGTCCATTACCGGGCCCAATTGGGCGGGTCCACACTCCCGTTGCTGCTCCCTCATTGGCCCAAGACAACATCAATCTAATGATTTCCAGGTCCCCCTCAAGTTTTAAACTTTTTTTTTTTTTTAACGAGGAGGCGGACTCGGGTTACAACCGACTCCCGTAACCGATCCCACAGCAGCCGAGAGAAGAAAACGCTCTTTCAATAATTCACACATCTGGGTCCGATACGCGGGTCATAGAACAAGAAGCAGCTGCGAAAGGGAGGACGTGTTTCTGTAGCGCGGAGCTCCAGCAAAACAAAACAAAAAGACAACACCCCCCCACCAAAAAATGCTGTGAAGCAACTTTTTCCCCCTGCGCTGCCAGGATGAAGACTTGAGAGGTTTTGTTCTGAATTAACTTTGTCACACTGTCGGCTGGCTTCTCCTGTGTGCCCCTGAGGTGAGTTCACGTCGCTGGCGACTCAACGCTCGAGCCGTTTTTTTTTTTTTTTACTTCCTAAAACATCCCATAAACAAAAAAATAACGGTCAGCTATTATCAGCGGCCTGCGGTCGAAGTCACACCCGAGTTATTAGGCCGTTAAAGTGTTGACTGTTGTCGGCGTAGAGCTGCTTGTTCACGGTCAACGGACTAATGGAGGGAGTGGACTTAATGGGAGCCGCTTGTCTCTCCTGCGCGGGGTGTAATGTCTTTTTACTACGAGGTGTAGCGGAAGTAACGGTCAAGCGTGTCAGTTGGGGCGTGATTCGAATATAGCATTTTGATTATTAAGCTAGCAAAGGACACAACCGGCTTCAACCTAGTACGGGCGGTGATTGTTTTAGTCATGACGTAAATGTGCTTCTTTTTTCTTTCTTTTTTTGAAAGGCAATGAATAGAGACATTGCTATTTCTAAGCAACTGCATATTATTATAAGAGACGAAGATGATTGACTTAACCGTTAGTTAACTTTTAGCTAACTAATCAGTTAACGTTAATCAGCTTCATTGATGGGTAATGGAACGCATTGCACAATGACTCGGCCTCTCTGGTGTCATGTGAACTCAATCATTCTAAAATTGTCTGTTCTTTCATTATTATGATCCAAATCTCAATTTCTTTTCACCATGTTTGTTCAAAATCATAAGTGAATTTTAAAAAATGAGGATTCCATCTTTATGTGGTTGGTATGTGGCCAGTTGAGTACAGTATTCTGACATTTACGGTGAGTTTGTACGCTTTTCCTTCCCGCAAAAAATGTAATGTGGAGGAACATTGAAAAATAAGAGCTATGTTTTTCATAACCTAACAAGTCTCTGTGTAGTAATCTACTGCGTGTCCAGCCCCAGACTGCAATGGGCAAAGACATATGTTTTGCAAACACTGATGTTTTAGTAACATATTGCTGTGTTTACATTGTAAAGCTTCTCTGCAGAACAAGGTTTGGGTGTGGATGAATAGCTCCACTGTGCAGCCGGGGCTCTGGCAAGTAGCAGTACATATTATCATGCACAGCGTTGGCATACGTCAAATTAATTATGGCTTTGGATCAAGACTTGCCTTTGTCCTTGTATTAGCTTTATCAGTAGAGGGAAAAAATATATATATATATATATATCACCTGTATGAGCAAATATATGTAAATGTTCAGACCAAATAACCTGGAACTGTCACGATTAATTGATCAATCCAATAGTATATTGACAGTAAATAAATCGATTGTCAATGAATTGTCAAGCATAAGTGTTAACCACTAACCAGTTCCCTGTTTCAGATTTTCAGTTGTAAGAATTTGTGATATGGTTTTACTTTGCGTAGCTTTGGTTTTTGGACTGTTTAGTAGCTGATTGACGATGTAAAGTTGTGTGCTCTTACAAAAGGCATTTTATCTGTTTGTTCAGGCAAAGCAAACATGCTTTCGGAAAGTGACGGCCGTTTTTTGTTGCAAGTATGTTCTGACATTTTGTTGTAGATGAGTTGATTAAAATGATAACGGATAATGAAAATAACTGAGTTACAGCTCTAGAATAGCCAAGTTGATCCGATCCTTTCGTGGGCTTTAGCATATTGTAAAAATGAAATACAGTAGAATAGAAGGACAATCAAAGTCCTTTTCATTTAGATTTCATGCGTGACTGGTTTTAATGAGTATTTGCTTTACCATTAATCATAGCTTTGTGCTTCACAACAGCTTTATTATTGTTTCAGCACAATGTGATTCTGAAAGACAAGAAATAATAATGATGCACGATAATTGCCAGTCAATAGCAGGATTAAGCGAACGCTGTTAAGCCTCCACAATGTATATTTCAGTGTAACTGTAGCTGTGCAGAGTCCCTCCTCGAGCAGGACAATAGAGTCACGTTGCCGTGCATTCCCAATGCGCCGTTGTTAATAGCACAGCTTGAAAGTGCAGCAGTAACGCTCGAGTCTTGCGACGGGGAATCAATGGTAACTTGCTGACAAGACGAGGGGCGTTTGACCTGTTTTTTTACCAGGCTGCAAAGTTCAGCCGAGCACGCGGTTGGCCTCCACAGTTTCTGCGGAAACCCAGCAAGATTTCGTAATGCGGGGGGTGGTACTGGTTCGAAGAAGGAGCCGCATGACCTGCAAACATCTCGACGCTCTTTGAAACGGAGCGAGCGACCGGACTCGTCTGAGTTGCCCCGGTTCTCGCCGATCGGCCTTCCTGCTGTTCTCACAGCCGAGCTCTCTGCTGTTTGCCACTCCGTTGACATACCGAGTTAACAAATGATGCTCTTGAGGCTCGAGGTGAAGAAAATTACTCATAATGTGACCGGCTCTTATGGTGGCCTTAATTAAAATGTCCCCGGCCCGAACATTATTCATAACTCAAGCACCAGTTAGCACCTTGATTACGGCTTGCATTACGCGCAACACCGTTAAGATGCTGATTATATTGCGAGTAATATGTAATTTAAAACCTCAGACATAGCAATCCAAGTGAAGTCATGCGGTAGCTTGACGCTCTTTAACAAAAAAAAAGTATTAAAAAAAAATACATCTTTTATTAGCTTAACTTTTTTCCACAGATGTGTTGGCTGTAACCATAAAACAACTAGCCGCTCCAGAACCGAATGCTAGAGCAAATGTTGTCTTGAGTGTTGTGTTGGTCCCTCGGGCAGCGCAGCAGCCACTGTATTCCCAGCCTTATTATGCATGCGTACCGCTCACTCATGCTCCTAAATTAAGAACATAAGCTCCCAGTCACCGTTTCCCTCGCTGAATGCGCTGTGCCCCCCCCCCCCCCCATGTCCCTTATCTCAGGCCCAACCTGTTGCACCGCAGCAGTCTCCTCTTAGCCTCCGGCCTATTTTAGTCCAAATCGGCTGGCTGAATTATTAATCCCCTATCCATTATACGCTGATCTCTTAATTATTAATTGTTCAGACGGCTCTGGCAGATCTGAGAAAACTGTTAAAATTCTTTTTTAAAAAGGAGTGAGATTGGGGCACAGTGTCTGAGGCACTGATTGCCTCCTGTCTCAGCAGATCTGCGCCGGCGATGACTGCGTGGGAGGACGAGAAAGTGACGGCACACAACCGCCACACAAAGGACTCCTTCAACCAAAGCACGAATGTGGTCCGTTGGCGTGTGTGCACATCAGCTTGGATGTAATTACGGCTCTCATGTCATGTCCGAGACGCTGCACGGGATGGGGAGTGTGTGCATTAGACCAATACGCGCCGGTTGTGTTACGTAACACAACGTGGTGAAAGACGAAATTGCAGCGTTCTCTTGTCCTGAAATCCGGCCGTTGATTCCCGAACAGTGGAGCGGTTCCAGTAGCTCATTTGAGTGGTGGTTACTTGTCCTCTCTGAGCACAAAGCACGGATGTACCTTATATAACAAACAGGATTGTCTATTGTTTCTCAAAGTAGAGATGGATTATTTCAAACAGCTGGGGGAGAATCTGCGGAGAACATTTCCCGATAAGAACTCCTTTTATTGACATCCGTAGTGCTTTTGGTCATGTTGAAGGAGCTTTTTTTTCTTTCCTTCTTTTCTCAAACTTCCTCCCAGGGGTCCACAGTCTTCTTGTTATTTCGTGCAGTGTAGTTGGGCTTTTATGTAATCTGACGGAGGAAAAGATAAGGTAATGCTTGTGTCGATTTCACACGTTGGCTGTGTTTTATTCACCTTTGCTCGTGGGAGTTCAACCATAAGGCACCAAAGCAAATACAATACGCTCAGAGTATGTACACAGTACCACATCCTCCTCCCTGCCAGTTCCACAGCCCCGCCATAAATACTGCCTTTATTGTGTTTGGGTGTCGTTGCTACGATTTCAGAGAGGCCTTTGTTGAATTTGAAAGGCTTCATATTAGAGCCGAAATGATAGTGGAGCGCAGACAAAAATAAGCAGTAACTATTTCAATAACTTGTTATCTAATCATTCGAGTCATTTTTAAAGCAAGAATGAACCGTTTTCTGGGTTCTGCTGCTTTTCCTTTTAAGTTATGTGACATAGTGAGCTGCAAATGTTGGTGTTGGTGATTATTTCTCCAATTGAACCCTGAGCTCCTCATAGTATTTGTTTATTTCTTTTTCAAGCATTTGAAAATGTTCTATTCACAGCCTTCTGTGCTTTTATCGAGCACAGAAGGCCGGATCATGGAGCAGGAAACGGCACATAGAGAAATAGAGGGGGGAGGATATCTGGTAAAGGGCATCGGCCGGTCACAAACTCACTCGTATCGTGTCGTGAACTTCTGTGTCCACCAGATTAATGCAATCGTGAAAGACTAGACTATTGAAAAATTCAAAATACATGGTTTGGCGTCAGAGGAAATCATAGACACACATTACGTCAGGGCAGATTACAGGGATGTTTGTGTTGTGCGTGATTGTGATTTATGTCCGTACAGAAAGTTTGCAGAGCAGTTAATCCCTACAAATACAGAGCTATTCTCTGTAATCTGCTCCACTTCCGTGCGACGGCAGTGAAGCTTTTCTCTGCTGATGGAGTCGTGTCCGCCAGGGTCGCGGTGCCCCAAACCCCGCGGCTGCTCATCACTGAAGAATATGAAAGTCGTGACATTTTCTGCTGCCCTCGACCAATCAGTTGTTGGACGAAGTATCATGAACTGTTCTACAATATCTGCCAAAGCGTCTTTATTTAATTTTTCTTAGCAATTTGTGGTGGTCAAATAGAACGGAAACCTTTTTTTTTTTTTTTTAATTGGTTTTCATGCTGGCGGATATCAGCATTCACCAAGCTGTCTAGATTAGCGGCAGGTATTGAGCGTGGAGATATTTTAGGTGCTGTGGCCTCGTCTCCCTCATGAGGCATGATGGCATGCGCTAGTGTGGGCGGGAGCTACAGGTGAATCCAATTTCTGGCTCTTTCTCACCTGTCACACCTCAAGTTTAGTTTGACGGACAAGCGATCCCGCAGCCTGCTCAACGCCCCGCTTTTAGAAATCCACTGCCAAGGGCACATTGTTTTATTTTTTTTACTGGAAATGGCGAAAAGGCAATAAAAATGTTCTAGTCAAGTAGCATGTATGGAATTTGTATACTTTCCAGTTGCTTTTTTCCTGTTGGTGACTGAGTCGAAGCAGGCGACAAATGCTGCTGCCAGTTCAGTCTAACGTTCACTTCACAACTTGTTTTTGTATCTGATTTCGTTTAAATAGCCCCGTCATTGGCTTCGGGGGCTCAGGGTAATTGTCTTCCCGGGCAACGTGAGAGACATTTTCTTACACGTCCGTAATGCGTATAAATGGGTTCTTTAGCCGGCTTACGGCCACCGAGTAGAAATGTCAAATCAAAACCCGCTGTCACCGGCACGGAGGTAAATAGTAAAATGCTCACACTGACAATTCTAACGTGCTGACGTTTAGCAGGTGTAATGTTCATTATTTATGTACCAATTAGTTACAACGATAATGTTGAAATTGCTGATCAGTGCCAGTGTTAATCATAATACACAGTCCTGGATGCTAAAATATATAGCGGTTTTTCAAGTGTTGCAACCAGAGGTGGAAGTAATTATTTACAGTCCTTTTCCCCACAACGCCGAGACAGCGCGAGCGAGTAGAAGTTGCCATCCCACCTTTTCTCTTCCCCACAATCAATTGGGAAAAGCTGTTTTGCTGTAGTGTCCCCAGATGAGATGCAGACATCAGCCGCTCTGCCTGCCGGAAAACTCAAAAAGAGGCAAATGAAAGCCAGATAATAAAGTTCCCGTTGGATTTCCACCAGAGCGGGGACAGTCGGCTTATTTCTTCCCCCTCAGCCGAGGCTGACGTACCGGGCCGAAGGGGGGCCGTCCGTCCGCACCTACTGGAGAGCGCGAGCTTCCGCGGGGTGGGTGCATTACCCAGAATCCCTCACTGTCACGAGACGTCCAGCCCTGTGTAGGATCCGGTTTCAACTCCACGAGTCATGTTCGCTTGGCTCCTGCCTGCATGTCTTTGGGAGTGAGTGCATGCTGGCTTGTTTAACCGCTGTAACGATGCCGGGGAAGCTGTAGGCTGCGGCAATCTGTCTTTGTTTTTGTTTTGTTTTTGTTTTTCCTCATCTGCATGTGGGTCTGTTAGTGGGCCCAGATGTTTCTTGTTTGTCTGATTCCTGCCTGCAGCCGTGGTTGAGGCTCGTGCAGTCAGCAGTTTTTTTTTTTTGCTGCTGCCACATCTCGTTCGGCCTTAAATCAGTTTTGCCTCTATAAATACTATGGAGATGCTTTGTCAGTGTTGGCCGGGCTGTCCCTGGGCACCGGACATCGCAGGCCATTTAAACCTGGCACTAAACGAAACCTTTCATCACGCCGAGCGCTTATTCCCCGGGGCTTTCTTTTTCACGACCTACCTATTTTTTTCTTTTTTTCTGGAACTGGACGGGGAAAGTGAGAGGACTGAACACCTCCCTCCATCCTTAAGATAAGAGTGCCAAGGGTCTTTCATGTCACTCTTCAAAATGGAGTGCCACCCGCCAAAGGAATATCCCAATTGCCCCCACTTTTAAAGTTGTTTTCATGGGTATTAAAGACAAACGCGCCTCCCTTTGTCTGTTCTTCGTCGGCGGGCTGCGCGGCGAAGTGATTGGCACCGGCCCCCGACGACGAGAGTGGAATTTATCGAGCAATATGGAGGCACCCTGCGATCGACCAAAGAGGAGGCTTTTCTTAATGTGGCCATTATTACTTTTCTCAACTCTTAATCGCCATCAGCAAGGGCGCACAGGGGAAGAGAGGGAGGTAAACGCAGAATTCTGCAATAAGCGATTGTCCTCTCGAGGCTGATTGGACTGTGACCGCATAGATAGAAAAAAGGCTCTTGAGGTTTTTCCCTTTTTTTTTCTTTTCGTTTTCAGGCGGTTCATTAGTCGTTCTCCTCTGTTATCCGTTTCACACACATTGCATCACAGACAGGTTTTTTGTAACAAGTGCAGCGTGTCAAGTTCAGAGTTCTGTCAATGATCCTTGATCAGCACAGCGAGAGGCCCGATTAAATGTCCAGCTCCTGCAAAGCGGGACGAGTGAAACTAAATTCAGCATGAGACTGTATCTAAATGTCCCCCGATGTTTCGTGTGTGTGCATATATATATATATATATATATATAAACCACCGTCCATCTCTCTGCCTCCGCCTTTTCGCTCCCTCTCCTCTTGTCTCCTCCCTGGGAAGCATCCTGCTGACACTCACTCCAAGGAGTCTTATTGATATTCTTGGAGAAGCATTGTGAGAGAGGAGAAAGGGGGGAGGGAGAGAGAGAGAGCCAGAGAGAGAGAAAAGTGACACACTGTAGCAGCAGATGCCTTCGAATACCAACCGTAGAAATCCTGAGTCACACAGCAGGGATGTGTCACTATTCATTTGATCTGCTGCGTTAATGGATTTGTACAACTCTTGAGCACGTGGAAACGCAATTGGCCATTAATGCGGAATTTCAGTTAAGCTTTAGGGTACTTTCATGTGGAGGACACTAAAGTCATATTGTGATGTGAATGGGATTCTACCATGAATATAACTACTTTTAACCAATTACATATAATTGTTTTAACTTTGGCAGTCACCTGGAGAGTAGTAATGAAATGAGATCTGGTGGTTTTTGCCCCTCGGGTTGATAAATAATTTTACTTCTTTGCATGAATGTTTCCTTAATTCCTGACTTGGTATTGTTGAAATGTTTTTTCTGTTGTAGAAAAGGTTTTCTTTTTGTTGCCTACCCCTGATTTCCTATTCAGGGCGCTGAAGGTTACAGAGGGAGTTTACTGTAAAATACTCATTTTATGTTTTTTTCCCCAAAAAAACCTGACTAAACAAACCTGAAGAAGTGACCTGGCGGAACGCATTGAAACGCAGCAGCTGTATTGATGAGGTGTAGCGGGCAGAGCGGAGGGGCGGCACCCCCCCGCGAACCTCGCCATTCATGAGAGGCAGTCCTTCGCTATGCAAACTCACACACACGCACAAGCACTCTCAAACAACATCACACAAAAATCAAGCATCAGAAGTGCGATGAAAATGAAATATGCACTGTTTGTCTCCGGTTCACCTTCAAGCGCACACGCACGCGGGCGCCTTGTTCTCTGAATGCTGATGAAAGGTTGAGATTCCATTTTCTGCTTTGCGGGGGTCGGGCTGCAGTCGCCCCCACAACGCGTAACGAGACGCTGCTCCCTAACTGCCTCGTGAGCTCGGAGCCAGAGGGGTTGCTGGGACCAATTTGACAGCCGCCACTGCTCATCGTCTTGATGAAGTGCACCGTCGTCTGCCCTGCAGTTTAAACAGTATTAGTGTCGACGTTGTTTGCAGTGACTTCACACGTCGCGGGCCGGCGGGGGGTGATGAGAAAGACGAGAAAGTCTTGGTCTACTGTCACCTGTAAAGATTTGCATCCATTAGAATAATGAAAACTATTTCATCTAAACCGTTCGTTTGTCTCTCTTTCTCCCAGACTGGACCATGGACTCCTTCAGCACCAAGAGCTTGGCCCTGCAGGCGCAGAAGAAGCTGATGAGCAAGATGGCCACCAAGAGCATGGCCAACCTCTTCATCGACGACACCAGCAGCGAGGTGCTGGACGACCTGTACCGCGTCACAAAGGAGTACACCCGCAACCGCAAGGAGTCCCAGAAGATCATCAAGAACTTGATCAAGATGGTGGTGAAGCTGGGAGTGCTCTACAGAAACAACCAGTTCAACAGCGAGGAGCTGATCCTGGTGGATAACTTCAGGTAGGCGGCGAGAGGCATTTCAGGAATATTTCAACATTTTCTTTTTGCCATGAGAAGATTGATGCCGCCTACGTAGTGGCGCAATTAATACAGCGCCAGCTAGCCATTAGCTTAGCCAAGCATGCAGACAGGAAGCAACAGCTGGCCCAGCTCTCTCCATATTCAGATACTCGCCTGCGAACAATAAAGCCTGTTTGATCTGCAAAGAGTCAAAATGAAAAATGTGGTTTAAGGAAGTTGCATTCTGGGATTATTGCTTGACCGATAGCATGTTTTCAATCAGCTCAGCATTCATGTCCCCCGTCTATATATAAAAAAGAAGCATCAGTCTTCTGATCTTTACTCAATAAGTTTTATTTCTAAAATTGTCAGAATTGAGTACATCAGTGACACTTCGCCTTATATTTAATTATTGTTACATTGTTCATTAAAAGGTGACAAACCGTTTTCATTGGATTCTCGTTAGGAGCTTCAAGTGACAAAGACAGCGGTTACATCACGTTACATTACACGCCCCAATTATATTCTGGTATGCTGATGGAAGCATATTAGGGAAATTGACTTTTACACCAGTTTATATATTTAACACTAAAATAGAAAAACTCAGCTGCGAGGCATGTGGAGCTGTAATAAGAGAAGAATGGGGATGATATTTGCACAGAGATGCATTGCCGCCAAGGACAACACTGACTGATCGAGAGGGGGGAGGTTGTGAAACTTTTCTGAAGGAATATCACAAGACAGCAGTTTCTATTTTTACTTCGTTCTGCTGCTCTGGTCAGAATTAGAAACTGACAGCGTCTCTTCTCTCCTCACAGGAAGAAAGTCCACACTCTGGCCATGACGGCGGTCAGCTTCCACCAGATTGAGTTCACCTTTGACCGCCGCGTCATGAGCGCCATTTTGAATGATTGCCGCGAGCTTCTGCACCAGGCCATCAAACGCCACCTGACAGCCAAGAGCCACTCGAGAGTCAACCACGTGTTCAACCATTTCGCCGACTGTGACTTCCTGGCGTGTCTCTACGGGCCCTCCGAGGTGTACCGCGCCCACCTGCAGAGGATCTGCAACGGGATCAACAAGATGCTCGATGAAGGGAACCTCTGACCTCCCCACTTCTCTTCGTCGGGCACCTGTACCTCATTACCAAAGTTATTGTTCATTTTTTTGCTTTTTGTTTGTGTGCCTTTCAGCCAGAACACTGAATTTTTTTATCTTGTCTAGTTAGTCCAATGTCTGTCTCTTCTTTTTTTTTCCATTATTCCACAGTAAACAAAACCCGGCTGATTTTTATAAACGAATGTAAAACTTTTCGCTCTTATCAGTATATTCAGGGATTGGAGCCATGACAACTGTGCCTTTGGGGGAAAAAAACACCATATTTGTGTCTTCCATCCAAGGGCGTTCTGCTTGCTCCCTTACTTAATCAAAAAGACACAGCCAGCACAAGCCTTTACTCATATCTCGACGAGGAGCTTTAATGGACCCAAATGGTTTTGAGTCCAACCGCAGCGGAAAGAAAGTGAATTTTTGTATATTCCAAATACCCACGGATAAAGAAGTGAATTTTTTTTGACATATTTTTTAAAAGTAGTATTGCACTCAATCCCGAACAAGCGCTGCACTGTACTTTCCTGCAATAATGAAACCATGTGAAACACTGCAGTTGATTAATCCGCTTGGCCTAAACATTACAGCTTTCACTGTCGTGCACTGGACTTTGTAGAGAGGCCAGGCCTTTTTCTTTTTTTTTCTTCTTTTTTTTTGTTAGAAGGCACCTAATAAACCAAAATCTTTTTCTTTTAATAGTCTAAATTACAGCCACCGCAACAAAGATGAGCTATTTGGGTCACAAAGGGACCATAAACGTGTAGGAATTTGACTGTGCTGCATACTGTCGAACAACTTTGGGGCTATAAGTGTCATAATCACAACAGGGAAGCGGCACAATATGGCACCAGCTGCAAAGGTTCCTCCGGTCAGAGAGGAATAAAGAGCGACCGCAGACTAACTAATCGTCATAATAGACGTTCCGGCCCCGGGTCAGCTGTGTTTCAGAATTTATCGCCCGGTGCCTCGGGTTTATCCGAAAAGCACTAAAACTCTGGTCAGAATTCTGACAGATTTGAACTAAAAAGACTCCCCGAGAGCAGTCGGATGAAAGGCTGGTTGGGGAAACCGCTGCTCGGTGTTTATGAAAAGGGCCAGGCGTGGTATAGAGATTAGAGCAGAGACAAACACAGTACCTGATTGTACTCTTCCCCACTGCAATTACAGCCCCCTGTTCTGGGGCGGCATAATGGCCCGCAGCCTGTCTTTGTCGAGCAGCCTCTCCATTTCGCCTGACAGCAGCCTCGTGTAATGTGACGGAGATAGCCATCGCTGTTCGCGCCGCGCACGTCATTTTAATGGAGTGAAAGATGTTGTTGCGTTTCTTCCTTAAAATGAGAATATGAATAGCCGCCGTCCCTCCCCGAACGCTCTCATAATGGCCGCCTTACCTTTTTGTCCGTGTGTTTTGTATCACCGAGTCTGTCTGGGAGATTGTTTTGTGCTGGGGCCTCATTTTGTATTCTGTTTGCGAGAGCGTGTGTGTGTGTGTGTGTGTGTGTTTTGGGTGCGTACCTGTGAGAGAATTGGAAATTGAGCCGTGTAATACGCGCTGTGCTTTTCCAGATAGGATTGCTGAAACTTTAACTTCATCCACAGCAGCTCTGCCAAAGAAACGAAGACTGATGTTACTCCAAATGCAGAACCTCTTCTTTTTTCTTTTTTTTTTCTTCGAGAGGAACATTTCAGGAGACTGTATGCACTTGGTAATTATAGCCCCCGATAACGGTGATAATGAAGACATAGATGGTGGCCGTTGTGGTTTTGCCTTTTCTACTTCTCGGATGACTCCCCTGTGCATAATCCTCGTTTGTTAAACCCATTTCACTGTCACTGCATTATTTCGACAGGCTCAGCAGTAAATCTGCTAGTAAAGTCCCCCCTTAAACAGTCGACTTTAATTGTGTTTTGTCGCCATTTTCTCCAATCCCTCTACATGTCAGGGTTAGTTTAAATCCATGACACACTAAGTAGAAATCACCCAAACAGCCCCACTTATTTTACTACAGCCCTCATGTTAAGCATACTTTATCATGTTGCATTTTCGCTATTGTGGACTGTGAAATGTTTTTAATTTCACTCGTGTACATACGATGTTTTTGTGTCCCCCGTATTGTATCCAGACGCAACAAATATAATACAACTCACTATTTTTAAAGAATAAAGTTGTCTTTTTTTTTTTTGTTTACCCTCAATCAAGCGCTGAGCATCTTCCCATTAGTCTGTTGGATTGTGGAGTTTTAGAGGTTAATCTGACGACGTCTGACCTGGATTAAGTCGGCCAAATCCCTTTTTTTTCCTGCTCCCTTCATTGTTTGGCGGCCTTGAAAGCAAACACGAACCCATCCGCCTGACAAACAATTCCACTCGGGGTGGGTTCTTTCCACTTCCTGCGGGCCTTCTCCACGGTCAAAGGAAGGAACAGGAAATTAGTCAAATGGAAAGAGTTCTTGCTTCTGTTTTGGGGAAATGAAACAATCAGCTGCAGTTTAATTTCAAGTGCAGCCCGAGCAGCACTGGATCCCGTGTTGAGTTTAATCCATCATTGACTTTGCCACTTTTCCTTTAGCGCGTCTGCAGATCCTCCCTCCAGCACACTTGAAAGGCAACTGCAGCACCAAGAGCCCCAATTATCATCTTAATAATTGTGAAGAATGTTTTTTCTTTTTCTTTTGGTGAATGCACCCTCGAGTTCAGGGAGTGTTATGACTAAACTGGGATGTCTCCTCGTCTCTGTGTTCTTCTTCCTCTTCCTATTTGACTTAACCGTTACGTCTAATTAAGCAAAAACATCCTGACGCTAATTATTCGCCTGTCATTTTAGGCCGGTTGTGTACACAATCGAAAACAGAATAAAAGCTTCTGTGTGTGTGTGTGTGTGTCTCTCAAACAAATATCACGTCACTGGATGTGACCGAGGGCGGTAACACATTTCGGCGAAGCTGGCTTCCACTGGGGCGTAATTATCTTTTCTACATAATGAAGTGACTACAAAGGAGCCGCCCAGCATCCTAAGAAGGACGCCGCTGAGAGAGACGAAGCGGGCAGAGGACCCGTCGCTCGCGTTCGAGCACAGATTACGCTGCTGTGATCTGTGGTGCAGAGTTGGAAATCTTCAACTAAGTTGTGCTGAGCCACTGCAGCTTCGTACCTCACTCTCTAGGATCAACGACGACAAAGGAAAGGATTCACCTGCATGTCCAACCTCTCCCCCTAGGAAAGGACAAACCGAGCTGGACTTTTCACGGCCCGTCCCCACAAGGATACGGGGAGTTGGTTTTGGCATAACACTGCAAAGTCTGGCTGTCTGTCAACATGGCGGCAAACACCCTGATGTTTGAGTTCTGGGTGGTGCTGCAAAACAAACCGCGCGGGCCATCGTGTTCAAACAGCAGGCAGCGCTCCGCACTCGCGTAACGTCACGACGGCCGCATTTCTCCTATCTGCTATTGTCGTCAATGCCACCGGAAATGCCTCTCAGGGCTAATGGCTGCAGCCAGACGACGAGTGGCACTAAAGGAGAGAAATGACTGGGCCGTTTTCAACGCTGAACGCTTTATTGTGCTTCACAAACTAAACCGTGAGAGAAATATGCCTTGTCTCAATAAACGCAGAGCAGATTTACATCCTGAAGCGACACGACTGCGGCATGTGAAGCGCTTTGCAACATCTTGATTCAGTCACATTGTCTGTTTTATCCTCATTTCTATGGAAATCTATACGTTCAGGCCAACATCCCGTTTCAACAGTTATGTCCATGCTCTCTAAATCCTATTAGAATGTGTGCAGTGTGTTAAAGGACAGGCCCATTGTACGCGAGGCCCTTGCTGACCTTTCATGCACTTCCGAATTTTCTCTCAACACCAATCTCCTGCAGGTTGGCTGGCAGAGGAGCAGAGCAGGAGCGAGCGCTGCTTATTATGTATTGCTTGGCTTTTGTAGTCCCTCCACATCGTTACTCATCCAGTATGCTTAAAGGTGCTCTCCCCTCTGGCAAGCGCAGCCATGACAGTCAGCTTGGAAGTTAGAAGTCTTTCAAAACTCCCCGTCTTGCTCCCCTCTTTTCTCCGTCTGTCTTTTCACTCTTCCTCGGTGTCCCCGCGTGTCTCTCTTCCTTCTCTTCCTCTGGTCCTCAGAGAGCACCTGACTGACGCGATGTTCAAGGATGAAAAGCGCAGCGGAGGGGAATCCAAAAAGCAAACAACACGATAATATACATGAGAGGGCTGGGAAAGACACTGCTGTGCACACACACACACACGCGACTCATTGCCGAAGCCCTGAGGATTATCAACAGCGTGACACTGGACACTTCGGGGAAGACAGCATCTGCTCGCTTCTATATTTTATAATACAAAAAAAAAAAAGAACACTGTGTTCTCGGGGAACTTCTCATTTTAACTTCAAGTGAATACTTTGCCCGATACAGGAATGCAAATCACACAATTCTCTCCAAAAAAAAATCTGCATTTGTGAAGTCCAGGTGGTTAAAGAAGGTTCCCGGGTGCCAGACGCATTGACTGGAAGCCATTTTGCACAGGAGGCGTTGACAGACGTGTGGCGCTGTGCCTTTCAAAGCGCCGCTGTCTTTTCCACCAAGTTACGTAAGACGTTCGTTGCCTCCTGTCTGTCTCCGCTCCAAGAAATTCGACCAGGGCGAAGTTCATCAGACTGGGCCGCCAGTACCGGTACCAAAGACTACACGACTGTGACAAAAACGGCTTTTCACAGCTCCCGGTGGAGGGCGTGAAACACTGCAGCACACTCAAAAAGGATTCTTTTGCAGCGTTTTGGTTAAAAAGCTTTGCTTTGGGTGTATTCATTTTTCATTCCATCACAGGAATCACATTAATTTAATGGATGGTATGAAGGCAAACGGACTCAAGGGGCTGCGCAGCCAGACTGCAAATGGACAGCAACTGTGACAGCTGCTTATTATTCCTCATGGACCTGAAAATGAGCAATGATTGTGGGTAGCGCTGCCGCGATATTTATGGGCCTCACAAGGTGGGAGGCTGATTGGAGGGGAACGTAGACTTTTAAGAGACATGAAACAAGGTCTTTAACATATGCAAAGACAAACACACACACATACACATATGGGCAGAAACACATTCAGGGAGGTTTATTTGTTTTAAAAGGAAATCAATTAAATATTAAAAGTCATGAAAAAAATCGTAAACACTCACTTTGCTCGCCTCACTGTCCTTCATGTGTCCAATCACCTATTTCCACATTTCATGAACTAAGAAATGTTCTTTGCTTCACAGCATGCAAAGTACTTTTTTGAGTTTTTTAGAACAAAATATGGAGATGCAAGATATGCATGCAGCTCAATAAAGTGTTGATTTGTGCACTCAAGGTTTTATGTTTCTTTCATGTGTTTGTGTGTGTGTGTGTATTTATTTTGACATGAATGTTTTATTTCACGGTCTGTACAGTGAGAACATCATTACTTTTGTATGAGACTGTGCTCTTGAATTATACTTAAATGATTAACCATAATTTCAAAGTGAAATTCAGAAAAATCTTCATTAGAAAACCTTTAAACGTACTCGCACACAGTGAAATCTTTAAATGCAAAAGCGATCCCTCTCAGCATAGAAACAGACTTTGTGTTCAAGCCATGAGGGAGAAAACAGCGGTGGGATTAATAGTAGCCGCTCTATTATTTCCCCTCTTTATGGCCTTAATATCTAGACTTGTGGTCATTACTGACTGACAGGCGCCTGATCACATGTAGGCAGAAAGCTTCTTAGTCTGCAGATTACCCCGGTACTGTGTCGGTTTTCTCCCCCCTCGCCCCCTCTCCCTCCCCCCTACGTAGTAGAACATGTCAGTGAATGAAGTCCCATTTCAACAGGGCACTACCTGAGGAATAAATTGCTCTGCTGACTAACAGAATGACAGATGCTTTGAGTGCCTCACTGCAGAGTGACAGCAAACTGTCACAGCTTTATGTGCTGGATCTGCTGCCGTCTTTTCATTTCGGATGCCGCCAGAAAAGGAGGGACCCGTCCGTGGGGCCGCAGATGAGTGAGAAAAGGCACCTAGGAGGCATCTTTGGGCTTGTCAGACACGATGCATCTAATCCAGACCGCAAAGAGTGGGACTTTGAGTGAGACACACAGAAAATCGCAGCTGTCTCTGCATAATTGGAACAAATGTTGGATATGCGGCAGAAAATAAAACCAGAAAACAACCGGGATGTAGCACGGCACTATTTGCTGAGAGTTGCAATAATCTGGGGGGGGGGGGGGTGGAGGGGGGGTCGTGCCACAGGCAGCCTGACGTTTAGATCCGGCGAGCTTATAGTTCCTGTCAAACTGGTGCTGATCTCTGATCTTGGAGGGTCGCAATTATGTGCCCCCCCCCTCCTTGTTATTATTTCTCCTCCATCCCTCCCTACCTCCCTCATCCTCCACAACCCCCTTTAAACCCCCTCTGGTATCCTAAGCAGCATTTAATTGTGAGGGGCTGAGCTGGGGAAGGAGTAATCAGATGAGAACAGAGGCAGGCGGGATCACGTGGCTGTACGCGGGCTAACGGGGGATTAATAACATTGCCGTCTTGATTGAAGTTCAGCTGCACTCCCTGGCAAACGGGAGGTGGGGACGCAGGGGCGGGTTTTCTTTCTTTTTTTTTTTGGAAGACAGAAAAGGGAGGAGAAAAAAAAAAGAAGAGTTGCAAAGTCGGACGACCAACAGGATTCTCAGATGAGACCAGAGAGTCACACGGGAGGAGAGAGAGAGAGAGAGAGAGAGAGAGAGAGAGAGAAATGGGGAGGGAAAAAGCGAAAGGGAGTTAGAGCAGTCAGAGGGAGTGGGAGGAAGAAAGAGCGAGGATAGGAGACAGCGCAGTGTGCGGCGGGGGGGGGGAGGTAGAGAGAGACAGAGAGAGAGAGAGATGTAGAGACAGGAAGCCTCCACTGCTACTGAGCCAGTGAGACGCAGGCAGGCAGAGAGAGAAGACGGAGGGAGAGGAGGCCCTCGGCGTCTCCCGGGCCGGTCCAATGAGGGGGTGAGGGGCTCAAGAGCAATACAGCAGGGAGGGATAGTGGGAGGAGAAGCAGATACGGGAGGGGAAAATGTCAAGGGCAATAAAAGCAGGAAAAGGGGAGTGGGTGGGTGGGTCCTGAGGTATGGATGGAAAAAGAAGATAAAAGTTTTGTAGACAGAGCCAGAGAGAGAGAGAGCGAGAGGGAGGGAGGAAAAGGGACTGAACGTAGAGCGGATTGAGACTACGTTAATGGGAAAGGTAGTAGAGGATTCATGGAAAAAGAAGAGGAAGCACTCTGTCTCAGGAGTCCTCCTGTTCGTCTTCTGCTTCTTCCTCCCTCCCTGAGGCTGCCGGACATCATCCATCACTATGTTCTCTGACAGCAGGGCTCCGGCGCCGGGGGAGCAGAGAGGCTTCAAGCCCCACGCCCCCAACTTCATCCCTTGGCTGCGCAGTAGTCTGAAGCCCCACCACGGCGGTGACATGGGCCTCAACGGACCGTACAAATCCAGCTCAGAGGCCCGGAACAACCTGAGCCCGCTGGAGAGAGCCAAAGGGATCGGGTTCTTCTCCATGCAGGGAAAGGAGCGGGCAAAGAAAGGGGAGGTTCGGTGCAAGAGCGTGGGGATGGCGAGGATGCTGCCAGTGGTGCTGCGGGGTCACCACATTCTGCCGGGGAGTCATCAGAGGGAGGACCGTCCTGCCTTTTGGACACAGCCTCCAAAGACGGACCCGCTCGCCAACGCGCAGAGCACTGCTGCGGAGGACGGGCAGCAGGGTGCGAGCGACACCTCCGCATCGGCCCAGGACAACCACGCCTTGGTCGGGAACCAAAGCTGCCACCTGGGTGTCCTTGAGTCTCAGAACGACGGGACTGGCACCGTGGTCAGGAAATATGGGCCACTAGTGAGACCCCCTCCTGTTCCCGTTCCTGCACTGCTCATTGAAGAGCCGAACCGCAAGGCGCCTGTTGCGGTGCACACGGAGGACGTGAGGGGGAAGGTGTTGGACTACGCCAGCAGAACCACCTACCGCAGGAGAGACCTCCACTCATCCAGCTGGGTGAGCTCGGACACTCAGGGAATGGAAAGGCAACGCGGCTTCACTTCCGGCTTCAGGAACTCTCAGAGCCAGAGAGACCTGAGGGAACCATACGTTGAGCCTTTCAACAGGCCCCTCAACGGAGTCCTCTTCTCCACCGAGGTTCCTCTGAGAGGCCTGAGCTGCACCACCACTCTACGAGGTCCCAGGAAACCCAGGGCGAGCTTTGAGCGTACCACGGGGGCCCAGGGCCAGAACCAGGCAAGGGTGCAATACAGGCCGACCAAGGGAGGGGAGTTACAGAGGAAGGAATCGGGCTGCAGCAGGAAGGTGGTGCGAAACCAGATCAAACGGGTGGTGGATAACCTGGAGCAAGTTCTTACAGCGCTGAGGGACGTTCACCAGGAAATGAAAGAGGTAAACGTGTAAATTTGTTGATTCTGCCTGACATTTCACCTGCGTGATCACGTCTTTCCTGGACTCATAAAGAAAAAGCAAATTAGGAGAAGATAAGTTACTGCTTCCTCACACGTTATTTTAGTTGTTTCCTGATGCAGGAGATGTTGCATGCTTATGCTATGAAACCTTTGCCGCTTGTTCTCTTGCAGACAACAGAGCAGGCTACAAACACACATCCTCAGCAAAATTGAACGTGCATTGAAAAGTCAGCAGCGGGCGTTGGATGAACCCGATGCAGTCTGCAAACAGTTTCCACAACTCCTCTCTGTCATTGGTCTCAAAGCACACACAACACCTGGGCTCAATTTGTGCGTACACGTTCACAGAGGTGAATGAGACCACAGTTATGCTCCATTTGCATGATGCCACCCGAGGCTGCTGAGACGTGACATGAGCTGAAGCAGTCGCCTTTCTCTCTGCATCTTACATCCCTCCTCTCACACCCACCCTCGGCTCTTCCACCACTCTCCCTCCTGGTGGACAGATGCTGCTCAAGGCACAGCTGGATCGCATTTTATAATCCATTTATGTCCCAGTATCTCTGCCTCCCAATTCCTCGTCCTGTAAAAGTGACACGTAATTCTCGCCTTGTGGCATTTGCATCTGCATCGCGGGGTCGCGGCCAAACCCGGGGTAGTAACTTCATCATTCTGGCTGTTAGGTTTTAGTGGGTGACAGCCTTAATGTAACTTATAAGCTACATGAAAAGAGGGGGGAGAAGGATGCAGACAGAAAAGTCTCAAATTTTCGCAACAGAGACGACAGATCAAAGGAAGATAAGTCACCAGAGAAGACTTTGGTCGCATATTTATTTCAAAGCCCTGTTTTATCATTCTGTTGCATGAGAAGCAACCCTCAGTTTTATTTAATAATCAATCGCATTTCTTAAAAAAGGAACTGGATTGAGTCGTTTTAGACCGAGACGACGTACAAATATTACAGCAATACTAAAGACCTCTGCCTCAGATAAATGAATTCCACAAAAACAATCTCACACGGGAATGTGGTTTCTTTCGAGTTGACAAATCAAAAACAGCCCAATGATTCATACAACACTATTTAAACTGGATCTGCTTCAGCATGACTGAGCTTTAAAGCAAACATCTTTCAGCACTCATCCGCATTGTATATGAGAATCAGAGGGGACAAAAAAAACGTCATTTTTAATAAACACACTGGGAGCAGCAGGCGAGGGTCCTTTTCTCTTTTATCTCCTTTGGTTTCTGACATTAACAAGCAGCCCACAGTCGCATATGCATGCGGTGCTTCAAAGCAATACGGAATTCCTCTCCCAAAAAGGAAAAACCAGGCCATCTTTTGACATCAGCGAGGATGTTGTTGAACACAGAGAACCAAACAATAATTCATCTGCTCCAGCCGGGGACGAGGATTTATCCGTGCACGCAGAGCAGGTGGAGAGATAGGTCAAACATTTTTCCCCAGTGTAATTTTCCACAATCTCTCCTGCCTCCATCATTGTCCGTGTGTGTGTGTCTTCGTGTTTGTGTGTTTGTTACATGCTCTGCCCTAAATGCATTACTTACATGCCCGTGTGTGTGCCTGTACAGTATACTTGTACAGTGCACTGTTCACCACAGGTATTAGAAGGTAAATCCACCTAAATTTAGCTTACACATTTCCCATAATGCATTGTTTCCAGGCTCAAGTTGTAGCGTGTGTGACATACTTACAGTCGGACGATGCACACTGAAAGAGTCTGAAATGCTCTGGATTACAGATGCAGAAATGCAAATGCAGAAGAAAATAATTTATTGGCCTCACCAAGGAGAAGCTAATGCTGAGCTTGGTTTTGTATGATATCGGTGCAGATGCTCAGTTTCCTCAGTAACAATTTGAAGATCTGGAATTTTCGAACGTTGGATCTCTCCTCTCTTTCCCTTCATTTCCTGTCACCTCTGTACTATTATCCAAATAACGACTATGATGTTGAAGTGATGAGTCTCAGTTGACGAGAGGTCTGGTGGAGATTAATCGAGTTATCAAAAACATGATCTGGCAAAAAATCTCAAGTATTCTCTCATTGAGAGCGATTTCTTGACAAAATGATCAAAATGAAAAAAATTAGAATCAGCCGGGTTAAAAAATCTGTGAAATTAATTATGATTTTCAGATTTTCATTTGGTTTGCTCTATAGTTTCTGTAATGACCTTTGATAACATAAAAATAGAAACCCTGGATCCTGCATTTCCATAACGCAACTCAACAAAGTCGTCCGTACAACACTTTTTTCTTTTTTAGTTTATAACCCGTCATCCCAGACTGACATGATCCTGATCCTCAACATCATCAAGACCTTTTCAGTCACAGTCACAGGAGACATTATGCAACTGCTTTCACATGAAAGAAAGTACCCCTCATTATAAGTTGACGCATCCACATCTGTAAAATCGGTGGAGCGCTTCTCTTTCCCAGGTACTTCTACTTAATTGTCACCATGCTCTATGTATCCGTCCCAGGTGGTGCAGCAGATTGACAATCTAACTTCAGCTATTGATCTGAATGCGGAGGAGCCCGAGAGAGGCGACAGCGACTCCAGTTCCGGTTCGACTTTGAGCGAGGCGACGGTGGGCCGCGTCCATCGGAGGCCCTCGGTGCCCGAAGAGCAGCCTGGAACCTCAGACTCATCGGGCAGCCTCGGGAGGGGTCCTCACGGCAGGAGCCAGTCCCCACCGCATGTGCCGCTGTGCCCCGTCACCTCTGGGTTCTCGACAGTGCGGGGTCGAACTCTTCGGCTCACCTCCACTTTGGGGTCTTCTCCGAGACGCGGTGGGACGCTGCGGCGCGACGCCACTCTGTCTCCCCAACGAAGCCTCCCCGTTCGGCCTCCTACCCCCGGCCTCTCCCCCTTAACAGTAAACCTCCACCACCACAACAGCCCTGGGTCTCAACCTCACTCCCCGGGGGCGTCCTCCTCCAGCAGGGTCAGCCCCGTCTCCCCGCTGTCTCCGAAGCCTCACCCGCCCCCCGCGTTCAGCCCTTCTGTCGCCGCAGAGAACAAAATCTGTACTTTTCAGGCCCCACAAAGTGGCCCCCCATCTGCCGGTCTGCTCTCTCCATCATCCGCCCCGCGTCCGTCTGTCAGCTGCCCGCCGACCGGCTCGACTCAAGCTGTGTCCGACACCGAGAGGGAGAGGCGGGTGTCCTCAGCAGGACCCGCTCACGCAATTTCACAGGTGCGATCTGCCCCCGTGGACCGCAGAGGTCGCAAGCCTCCCCCGTACCCCCACCGGGGATCCTCTGAGCACACAAAGAAAGCGAAGGAGCCCCGCAAAGCTCCTCCGTACCCCGAGAAAAGGAGGCTGCTCTCTACCACCGTGTGAGACAACGCAGCATGGGGGGTGGGAGGCTGATCGAAACCAAGCCAAGTTGAGCCGAGACCAAGTTTCCAAGGTGACGGGTCGCAAGCGCAACTTGGGGTGAGTATGTCGGGTGAGAACAGCTTGGCTCTGCGGACGCCCTTTTACCGCTCCTCCCTTAATGCCAATCTCTGGAGTATATATGCAGGACATACATAAGGCTTCATAACATCTGTCTCTGAGTTACTACTATGGTAACAAGAGCTCTCTATACAGATGCTCCCCCCCCCTTCCTCCAGCTCTCAGACTCCCACAGATTGCACAGTTAAAGGGCAAAAGAGAAGGCCTAATTAGATAGACATATAAAGCAAGGTGTAATTGTTCGCAGGATAACAAGACAAAGTAAGAACTTATTACTTTAGTGCGTTTGAACCTAAGCAGCCAGACATTCCCACTCACATGTATCAGCATTGTCTGGGCCGGATAATTGCCGCCGAGAGTCGTGACGGTTTAACGAGAAAGGTACTTTGGCTCAGCGGTGTGAAAAGCACGCGCCGGTGGAAGATAGGCTGCCGACCCGCGATAGATCACATAACGTGAACTAAATAAGACGGGAACGGGCCGGGTGGCTCACAGGCCGACCGGGTCACCGGCCCGGCGCCTGGATGCGCATCGGGGGAGACAGGGGGCAGCTGGCCGTTCGCTGTACCCTTCATCGGGCCCGTTTGACCGACCAGGTCACAATCTCCATCTGTTCCCCTCTAAATGTCAAGAGATGCAAAGAGAGAGAAATGGGAGTCAGGTGTGTGTGTGTGTGTGTGTGTGTGTGTGTGTGTGTGTGTGTGAGAGAGTGGGAAGAGAGAAAAACAAGCACTGCAATGTCGGCCGCATTGATTACATGTACAAACACAGCAAATCAATTCATTTAGGCCTTCTCATGTTGTCTTTTATTTCAATGCCTTATGTGCCTATTTTATTTTAAGAGAGTTTAAATATATATATAAACTGTATATGCTCATATTCTGTATTTCTTTCATTGTCAACAAATCAAATGAACAGACCAAAAACAACAACTGCCTCTCAATACTTTCTGACTTCACAACCCACTCTGACGCACTCAGCCCCCCCAGCGTTTGTTTCTACTTAAAACAATTACTGACGTGCATGAAGTATGAAGCGATGTGGGCATCGTTTTTTAGAAAACCCTGAATCAAACGGGAGTGGTAGATGAAAACACACACTTGCGGCTCTTTCACCAGCGCCTGTGTGCGAGTGCCGGTGAAAGAACGTGTCATGCAGAGCAAACAGTGTGGCTCAGTGATGTGTTTTGAGGTCTGTGGCACAGACGCGTTAGCTGTAGATCTAGCAGAAGTCCTTGCACACACACATCAGTGCAGCTTTAGGGTGTAGAGACTTGGGTAAGTGAGACAAACTTGTAAAATTGTCTTACCCGATGATGCCCTAGTGTCAGGACCCCAAGGATTCAAAGATACACATTTGAGAGGTCAAGGTTAAGTAAGAAGGAAAACAGAGGAAAGCTTCTGGTCTGCTTGTGAGGCTTAAGGAAAAGTCAGTTGGATTTGTCCTCTGGGGATCGTGAATGTCTGTGTGAAATGACATTGAATAATCATTATTATATTTAAGTCTGGATTTAAATGTTGGGGCCAACTGATCCCTGGAGCCATTTTGCAAGCGTAGCTATAAAAATGTTGTCTGATTTCTATTTAATGCACGCCATTATAATCTGAGCCCGTACTTGGCAGCATTATGTGTATATATTTCCCTGATGGTCGCACTGTAGGGGGGCTAGAAAGTTGAAAGTAAACATATCTACTGGTACCAGATGGTAAACAGTAGTGATATGAGTTCAGGGTTTTGATGACAGCATAGAAGCAATTTTGTGTCTCAGACAGTAATCAAAGAGATATTGCACTGCAGAGATTTACTACCGAATGAAACAACAACTTTTGCAACTTTTTTTATCCGCAACAACATTGTAAATCAAAGCCTGAATCTATATCTATAAGATGCTTTAAATTTACGTATGGGAATATGCGGGGGTTTCTTGGCAAAGCTCTATTGCACAATATATCTTCTCTAAGTGAAATTCTGATGTTTTATAGTTCCTGCCATGGTTGGATCTTACACTAAAGCACTGCACTGCGTGGTCGCAGCATAAACGTGAATTTCTTGTATCACAGGATTTGAACCTTGCTGATGCCAATTTGACTACAATCAACATGACTGATTTCCTCTTGGCTTCACATAAAATGAATAAACCCCTGCTGACCCCGTATATCTGCGAGCTCACAAAGAGCAACGCTCTGTACATTCCCATATGGGGCCGTGGATTTATTAAATCCTGCCTGCAAAGCTTTTTTCTCCCCCAGAAATTAAGAAGAAACAATGGAAGCTTTTATCTCATGGAACCATTTATCCGAGGAAACCATATATTATTAATTGAGTACACTTACAGAATACATTTTTTTCTTATTTTAATATAAAGTCTCATTTCTACGCTGCAGCATACAAGCAAGGTTGAATTATGGAAAGCATTAGTGCTGGTACTAAAATTGCTGTTATTATAGAGAGATATGTCACGTTCACTTGGTGGCCCGGCTCCGACGGTGCTGGGAATATTTAACGCGTCTATGCTGGCACTCAAATTTCTTCTCTCTTTTCATGTTTACCCATTTTTACGAGCCTGTGGGTGGTTCAATCAGATCATGACTGACACAACGAGAAAAAAAAATTGAGTTATCTCCAGCACACTGGCAACATGTCTTTATTCAAACATCCATCACATTTCATCATGAATCAGAACAAACACAAAGTAGAAAAGGAAAGAGACCATGTAAAAAAAAAATAAAAAAAAGTAACAAGTGTTTTTGATCTATTCTGGAACAGCATCTGGATGTGATTGCTTCCTTTTGCGACCCCACAGGGAGCATCAACGGTGGGGACACGAGCCGAGCCGGGCCGGGCGCTACCTCAACTCTAGGGGGATCACCACCGGATGGACGACCGGGTCCGAGCCCCAACCAAACGAGGTACGGATCTCAGTGGGCAACGCGGCCGCAGAATCAAATCAGCACAATCCTCCAATCTGAAATCAATCCCCGGAACTCATCTCGTGCACACTTGTGTGGATCTAAGAAGATTGGATCAATGTAAGGAAGATGAAGGCAAGGCGGCTCGACGCATAAGGGGGCATGTGCTTTTGAGACGTGCACAGCACCTCCGCCGTTCCACACGTGTTACAGCAAAGGATGAAAGCAGATCGAAATATCGGATTATGTGATCTCTCTCCTTCATTGATACTATGATCCAAATGTCTGTACTCCGTATATTTGAGTTCTTTTGGGTTGAACCCGAGACCGTGTTACTGAAAATTAATTGAAATATCCTGAAGTTAAAAATAGAGACATTTCAATAAGGAAATGGTAGTATATATTACATTTCTTCTCAACAAGGAGTTCATGCTCACAGTGTTGAGGATGTATCCACAGACATCTGTCTCTAGCTCCATTACAAGCACCCTCTCTGCCCAATAATACAAACATAACAAAAAGGGATCACAAGTGGTACCCATTGGTGACTCAGGGGATAAAATGTGTCGTTTCAGTAATGCACAGTTATCTAACGGGAACAACAGAAAGCGAGGAGCTCAGAACAGAACAAGATTCAGAATAAATGTAATTGTTTATGAGAGTGTGATGACGCTATTGGAGATTATTTCCTTTCCTTTTAGGATTACAGGAGAAAGATAAATCCCTCCCCACTTGTGTCTAAACGTGTTAACTATACCCCACAAGCCCCCGGACACGGATCCTCTATACATTCAGAGACGGCCCCAGTGAATCAGAACAGATCTGCTTAATGTAAATGTTACAGCTTCAGAAAATAAGAAATAACTACGGAAGCACTTCATTTTATGGCATAATTTAAACTAGGACATTATTTATAGAAAAAAATGGAACACTAAACTGATACCTCAGTGTTGTTTTTTTTGTCCAAACAGCATTTTCAAATCCATTGTAATAAAATACCAGGTCATTTATTTACTGACGTACGGCATCAGCATCATCCCACTTCAGCTTTTGGTTGTTTCTTCCGCAAATCCGTCCTTCAATGGCTGCAGAGATGGAACACAGAGGCCGGACTCGACACACGGCCAATTACAGCTCATCGTGACGCGTGCGTCCAATGGCGGTCAGCTTGGAGAGTTGAGCGTTGAATTTTCCATCTCGGTGGGTCACTGCAGGTCGGGGACGAGAGCAAATTGCAGTCAGAGAATGAAATTGAAACGAAAACAGGGACACATACGGCGTCACTGAAGCTAAAAAGCTGAAACCAGCCGGCATCGTCTGACTCCGCCTGCTTGTAGAGCGAAACAACCCGCGGATTAGATGCGCGGATGCAGATGTGCGCCGTCTACAGGAAAGTAAAAAGTAAACAGCTGCTGAAATCTAGAAACCAATGACTCTTTCCTGTGGGTGGCGCTTGAAAAGTACGCCCTGTTTTTGGTAAATCGGCAGCCTGCTCAATGTGGACAATACGAGTTTGAGAGTGAGATACAAGCAGGTTTGTGGACATATTTTGCATTTAAAAGCAAATTTTAGATCAAATTTAGCTTACTCCGCAAAGTCATGACTGAAAGGTATTCCCGGAGATGTCGCAGAGATGGGATTAAATCCTAAAGTCTGTGATAGTTGCAGGAAAGGGAGTATGTAAGCCCCTCTACTGTTGTGACTAATCTGCTGTTGCAGAAAATCTCTTGTGCGATTTGTCATATTCTGCTAATCACCCGGCCAGAACTGGAGATTTATTTTTTTTGCAAAAACCGAAGACAACAAACAACGCTACGGGACAAATTGCAACCCACTCCCAGCTGGAGCATATTCTTTAGAGGGAAATCAGCAGGGAACCCGCAACGTGAAGAGGGCGGCGAGGGAGCGGGGGATTGACACGTCAACCGAGGGAGTTGATTGAACCCTTGGAAATACAATCAATTCCTCACCTGTTGAGTCTCCTACGGTAAATTCCTCCGGCTTCAAAGGCACGTCACTTTGTCCTGCAGCCGCCGTCTGGGACTGGAGACAAACACAGCAGCAGTGAGGAAGAGGAGGAGAAACGGAGAAAAATAAATAAAACACACAAAGACAAACGGATGAGAGGCGGTACAGGGAGACAATTTCTCTGCACCAGACGGGCCTGGAGAGAAAGAGGATGTGACGACAAGGTCAAGGAGACGCTGCGCGTGGGCGGCAGGTGTGGGTTGGTGTGTGTGCGAGGTTATTTCCGTCCCATCGTTTAGTGACTTATCCTCTGGTGTGTTTGTCTTCTGCTTGCAGGGCACGGAGCCAGAGCAGGAGGAGGAAACATGTGCTCTCGCTAATGACAGAATGTCAGGACTGCCCTTGCTGGGGGAAGGAGGCGTGTCAACGCGCGCCTCCCTCCAGCGACGACCGCATCGGACGCGGGCAGACCTCCGCTGAGTGGCCGAGCTCGGGACGCACATTAACCTTCGTTGAGGCGCCACGTGCAAAGACAACGAGACTTTGAGAATTTAAGCTTTTCTGTCTCTTGGCCTCCGTCGGTTTGACACGGCCGGTCGTAGCCGGGACGCAGCTCGAACAATCATCAAAAGGACGTTGGACCAAAAGAAATGTCACGGACATGCGGCGCGCATGTGATGGGTTGCCATGGATACACGAGTGGAGGGGGATGCGAGGCAAAGCAATAGACGGGTCCAAAGTGCAAGTGACAGCGTGTTTTATTCAATTCTACTCAGGACTGTGTGGTCAGGTGCATTCAGCGGCGCGCTGTAATAAATAAATTGAAAAAACGGTGAAAGTTTTTTCTAACTGACTGTTCAATTTAAAGCGGAAACAATCTATTAGTTGACAGAAAATGCTAAACATTCTCTGGTTTCAGCTGCACACTTTTTTTGCTCTAGATCATTATCAATTAAATATATTTGGGGTTTTAGACTGTTTGGGTCTTTTTTATAAAATACATTTAGCAAATGAAAAAATGATTAATCACTGAATTGCTAATAAAAAATAATTGTTTGAAGCAGATGACGCAGCACTTTATGGAGAAAAAAGATTGAACCTTTCCTGTTTATGATTTTTAGAATTCTTCCAACCTGATGAGTCCAGAAATGTTTCATCTCTTTCTCACACACACAAAAGGTATGAGAAGCTTTAATCTCAAAACTGACAGGATGCATTAAAAGGGTGCAGCACCATCAGTCAGCGTGGTTACATGGATTCGAATAACTGGCTTAGTCGGACTGAAATGGAATTATCCGTTTCATGTAAACGTCTTTGCCCGACTATGTGCGGTCCGACTACGATCAGACTAACACCCCTGGATAACTCGATCCGATCCAGTTGATAGTTCGACTATTGCGGCATGTAACGGTGAATCGGATAAGGAAGTGGGCTTGAGATCCCGACGGCGTCTTCTCTCCGTTATCAAATCAGCCAATAGTGCCATTCGCATTCGCTGTCCTCCTATTAACATCATGCAAAGATAGTAGAGGGATGTAGCTTCACCTTGCTCTCCATTCGCCAGCTTTCTCGTAATGTTGATGTTGTTGTTGTTGTTGGTAGTGGTGAAGAGGTCAAGCGGAAATGGCTGTATCACAACTAGTTGTAATGAAAACAGCGCCACCTATCGTATCGGCCAATATTCTATTTATTCACTGCCATGTATATTGGGATAATAGCACTTGCCATAGTCCGACTAAGCAAAGATTTGAATTATACCATCATGTAAACAAACTGAATGACAAACTTTTGACTGCTCTCGGTCTTTGCTCGGCCTGGGAGCTTCTCGCTCTCCAACACACTAATCACTCTGAAGGTCGTGTGCCGCACCGACGGCGTCATCACTATATTCTGCAGGATATTTGGCCAACATTGAGGGAAAGGGCTTTGCAACTCCTTTTTTGTTAGTTTGTGGGTTAACTTGGTATTTTGTAAGAAGGAACGGCATCAAAAGTGGGAGTTTTGAAGTCTGACTCAACATTAATATAAATGTGAAAGTTCTATTTCTAAAGCTGTTGAGTTTAGGTTTATAAAGTACGACTTGTTTTACGAAGACTGACTGAGAGCCGCACAACAAACTGTCAACGTCACGGAAACATCGAGATGCAACTGATAACGACACGTTTTGTGTGTGATTGCCTTCGTTCCCGTGTTATACAGACGCGAGCCATGATTGAGTCCATTACATTAAACGTTGTGGAACCTTTTTCAGGAACAGGATCGGTTGAAAACAAAAAATCAAAAGACTTATGTGAACAGGACAGTGGAGGGAATTGTGTTTCTATCATACTTACATAAGCATTAGCATATTCAATTTTGGTTCTTTTGAGTTCAGCTTTGAACTGAGTGAAAAACAGGTAGGATTTCCCTTGCGGCCTGACAGAAAGAAAACATAAATATTTGTTACCAACATAGAGTCATTTGCATGTATTCATACGCTTATCGTGTCAAAGCTGGACATGAATATGTAAAGACCAAGTTTAGAAACTGTGGTTCACACTCAAATGACATTTCATTGTCTCTCCTCTACTGCGGCTGATGCGATAAAACTACAATTAAAGAGTGACTCAGTGTAAAGAGACGGGACAAATTCTCACGGAAGACACATTGAACAACAGGGTCACTGAGCTGAAGAAGACTCACACAATGTGTGTGTGTCTGTGTGTGTGTTTGTGTGTCTCACCTCCACACGGAGCAGGAAAACAATTTGTCGTCGTCACTCAAACCCACACTCATCAGCCATTGCTGTTTGGCACAGAGACAGAAGAATAGGATGCATGAAACCTGCTATAATTACAAATCTATAATCAATGATATGATAAACAAATGAGAGACTCACCTCATTGGTTCCCCCTTGTGAAGCATAAGTGAATGAGCACTCATACTCCCTCTGGAAAAAGAAAGTGAAACATAATGTAATTAGCGGATCATTAAATCTGCATATTACTTTCATTATTGATCTTTGAATCACTTTACGATAACGATTTATTGTCAAACATACATTATTTTAAAACCAACCTTCAGCGCCAAAGCCCTGCATGCACTTATTGCCTGCCTCACTGGCATGAATAGATGTGTGCATGGCCAAACACTTTGATGCTTAGTTTAAATGAACCCAAATCAATAACAGTGCTAAGTGAGTGAGTTTAAGTAAGTTACTTTAAGTAAAGTAAGTGATTACTTAAAACGTCCATAATAAAACTACTAATGTACTAAAGCTAAAACAGTAAAACATGTAAATTCATCCCATAACCCTACTCCACTGGTTTTATGTTTTATGTATAGTTTAGAATCGATTTTAATGACCCTGTTCCCACTTATATCAGACGTGTGGTTTAATTTCAGGTTACAGCAGCATCACAAAGGTCCTTCATCGCTTTCTTTTTAAATGTTCCCTGTGATTCCAATAAAAGGACCAGTGGGAGTGATCGGTTTTTAGCCCCTAAACGGCATAACACATAACCTCTGGATATAAGGACAAGACTCTCTTTTTTTCATCTGACTTTTAACTAAGGTAATGTTCTAGTTTTGTTTTTTAAGCTTAGATCATTTGTTGTTGCATTATTTTTGGGATGGTTTCATTTATTCATTTTAAGATTTGGCTATCGTTTTTCTTTTCTAGCTATTATTAGTTATTCATTTATTTTCACCCCCTGCATTTATAGTATATGCAAAAGTCACTATATAAATAAATAAATACACTTTGAGTTGAGTTTCAAGCTACACAAGAACGTAGTTCAACGTCACTAAAACTGTCGACCAATGAATGGAGCCATTGTGGCACCGAGTCAGCGACGTGTCAGCTGCTCACAGGCTGTGTCGTCATCACGCAGTACGCGCCCCCCCTGTCATTCTAAAATGATACCAACATATATGTGTGAAGCAAAGAAACACACTTTTAATTCACACACATATTGTAGTGCCTGGTGTATTAAACCATCTCATCATTTTATCCCCTTGCGTTTCTTAACATTCAATAAGCTTCAATGAGAAGCTAATCTCCATATCACACTCGATGGATGCGTCTACATTACAACTTGCGCGCTTGGATTCGAGCGGAACTGTGTCTTTGTGTCCGGCTGGTATGTTAAATCACTTTAAACATCAGCTGGACGTGTAAAATGCAGGGAAATACAAAAGAGAGTCGCTTACAATCGCCTCGGTGAAAGTGTGCACCACTCCTCCCGGTTTAACGTTGAACTCCACCGTCTTCGTCCCCTCAGGAGAAGCTTCTACCGGGACGAACGCTGCAACCCACCCGAATATGAGCAGAAACGACAAAGTCGCAGCACTGTTCAAGTTATTTTGGGTGGCCATCTCTTCCTCCTCAGATGTCTGTGTGTGTGTGTCGCTGTGAATGGTATCAGAGAAACCGGTATTCCCGTCGAGTGTTGATGTCGTCACATCAAGCGTCAGATGCCATCGATCACCTCAAGGAGGCAAAACAAATGTGAAAAAGATAAATGTCTCGACAGTATAGTAGTCAAATTATACAATACAGGTTATTGCAATTTAGAGATCAATCTATTGCAATATTGACAAACAAAAGTATGAGTACATAAATCATTGGATTTAACGCTACCTCTCATCGCCGCACGATGTCGCCCTTTTTCAACCAACAGCATTCAAGTGCCCATAACTTAACATAGCAATTTTAAGAATCTACCCCAACCCAAACTAACTTCTAATGATCCATCTCCAATGACAACTGGGGATTCACTCCATTCACCGATGATAACAAAGTGTGAATTCATATCAACTTTAAATAACCATATAAACTACAGTTTTACGCCATTTGATGTCAAACCGTATGCTTTGTCATATGCCTAAGAGATTGAAAACATACCTATGTTTGCTTACATAAAGCATACAGTAGTCTCTTTTTTTACTGCCTGGCTGCAGCCCAGGATTTCATGTGCAGGTGCAAAAGGGAGAGGACAGAGCACACATCTCATCCTTATAAACGTATGAGTTGCATTGACATGTTACTGACTTTTCTAGCCTAAAAGGTTGGTCTTGTCCAATTCAATCTTATCGCAACTAATCATACCTCCTTTAATCCGCAATATAACAATCAACATAATTTATTAAAATGTGTTGTGGAGATAATAACAGACTTTATTTATCCAAGGAATCAAATGACTCCAATACAGGTAAAATCGTTACTAATAATTTCTTATGGTTTATGGCTTGGTTTGTTATGTTTTGTATGAATAGTGCATTGAGTTTAAGGACCACAGGAATATAAAGAGTGCACATCTATAAATAAATTAAGTTTATGTGCAGTACGTACAGCCTGTTTGGAAAAACGATGAACAGTAAAATAATGTAGGCTATAAACGATAAGTAGGCTTTACTGTCTGGTCTTCTGCACCAAATATTTTTTTTAATGTTATGTACAAGTGACATACTGTTAAAAACCGTCTATAAAAAACTCTCGCTAACAAATGCTGTACGTCTACATTCCTTCCTCTCCTTTTCGCAGTATTTTGTGTAACAGTAGACAAAAACAGTCTCATGTCTGTTCCTACATGTCTGTGTGTTCTCATACGTACGTCTCTGGAGCCAAAAGGCGTCCTGTCGTGACAGTTGAACAGATGTCTGTTACGAGACACCTTGACGTTGTTTGACGCTCATGTGCAAAAACCCATGAAAAAATACGATCATTTAGAAGCAAATTCAGACCGAAAACAGGAGCGTTTCAGCTGAATGACCTGTACGCCCCTCTTCACCCTCCTCCTCCTCCTCCCCTTACCTCTCAGCTCCTCCTGTTCGTAGCCCCATCCGGTCTGCCTCCCTGTCCAATCCCAAAAATAATATAATAACAGGATTAATAACACTCATCTACTGGGACAGCCCGTCGAGTGTGTGGATATTTACACGGCAGCTCCGGGGGGAAAAGTACAGCTGTCGTGAGGCACATTCTTCTAATTCAAATAGGGAGGGTTAATGATGTGTAAATGGGGGGATTTACGCAGTCCTTGTCCTGCCCAGGTAAACATTGTCTTCCTTCTTTCAGGATGTCAGACGGTCTGGCGAGGAGACGTTTCCCCTGTGACTCTTTGCTATGAACAAACAATCATCTACAAAGGTAAATACGCAGACCAGAAGTCCAGACAGAAACACGGAACATTAGTACTGGAGGTCGGCGTCGAGTTATTTCTCTAATGATGCAGGCTCATTCTGCAGACTCCAGACTATACCAATGTTAGGAAGTATTAAAAGTCTACACTTCAATATGTCAGTGATTATGTGCATGAGGGTTTATATACACCAGAGTTCATTTATCTCTTACAGCGCTGAATCACCTTTGTTGATTATCTCCACGATCGGATGATTAATCAGTTGTTGGAATGTTTTATGTCTAATTATTTGTCCTTCAATGGAGCTGACAGTTCATAGTTGTCTGAATGGGTTAAATTAATTCTGAAGAAGGACGATTCATATGGAAACTGGCACGGCGTTGATAAATGTCACATTAATCTCCTCAAACCCACGGACACTTCAGCAGGTCAATCAGTCGACATCATGAGAACAAGCTCCGCTGAAAGCCACGGGTCTGAAAAAAGTAAGGCTGGGTGGGCTGCCGACACTTTGGGCCCGTGCTCCGTGTGCCCGGTTACTATCCATCCATGATGTGTTTCCACATATCCGAGTTTAACTCTTGACCCGTAACAAATGGAACAGAGAAATCAGCAGCATGGAGGTTGACGGGGGTCTCGGTATTGATTGTTTCTTTACAGGGAACCAGCACTGGTGCAAAGTGTCACCGGGGTCTCGCCCTGCAGGCTCTGACGCTTATTGACCGGGACTCTCAGACAGTCGGGCCTCTTGGCGGAGCCTCACAGAGTTTCAGCCCGCGATGAGAATGCTTCAGCCGTGGTGCTGCTGGTGTCAGCAGTTGGCGGTTTTTCCTGGCCGTCTGCAGATCTGTGGAATGTCTCTCCTCCTCGCCATCTCCAGCGAGGGGGGGGGGGGGGGGGGGGGGCGGTCAGCTCGGGCCCATCATCCTTCAGGCCCTGCGTGCTCAGCACACCGACCTGCCCTGAGCAAACAGCACCTGGAGCGGCGGAGGAGCCCTGACCCTCCGTCACGCTCACATGCACATCAGGGGATCACGCCGACGGCTCTCTGGCCAAAGATGGTTTGGGCTCCATGGAGACGCCATATTTGGGAAGGTGGGTGAGTGAAATCTGGAGTTTATAAAACAGGTTTGAATCCTAGTGTGGTGTGGATATGTGCAGCCGATATGAATGAGACTTCATCTCTGGTACTTTCTTCTGTCTCGCCGCCTTTTGCATCTATGCACCTCGATCACAAACAACAATGCAACATCAACAAATACAGTTACTGTATTGTAACTGGAGTAGAAGCTCAGTCCGCAGACAAGTGTGTGTCATCCTCAGAGGAATCCGTAGCGTAGGTTGTGCTTTAGAGAGAGATGTTGGGTTAATGTGCAATGCACAGAGCCGAAGCAGAACTAAAGCTGAAATTATTATCAAAGAGACCAAAGGAACCAAGAGAGATTGGGTACATTTTATTCTGTTACATTGTTTAGCAACAGATATAAAAATAGTTATACTCAGTGGTTTGGGCACTGCAAAACCAAACCACCATACAGTAAAATAATACTTAGATTATGTTACACATAATAATATATCTGTGACAGGAGGCATTATTCTGCAGAACCGGTACATTTGTGGTTGAGGTACATTTGGATGGAAATACGTTCCTTAGGTGTACTTTTACATTGTTGTATCAGTACTTTAATTGAAAGTAAGTAAAGGATGTGAATACATGAATTAGTGCGTCCAGCAATAAATAAACTCTAATGTGAAACTTCCTTCTGGATTCGCTGGCGCCTTCATACCGTGTGTGTGGTTAACAGATGGAGACCCCCAGAGGGCCCAGAGACATCGGTGACCCGCTGTGGCCCTGATGTTGCTGTAAGACAGACTGTGAAATTGAGTGAGTGAGTCCCCCCCGACTCCCCCTGTCCCCCGTCCCCGTCCCTCCTCCCACAGAACAGCCACAGAAGCTGAGAAAAGCACCCACCTGCTTGCAGATTCATCTCATGAACATCCTGGAACTGTTTTCTTTCTTTCAACATAAGGCTTCACATAAAAGTCTCTGATATCTGCCACTGTACAAGGACTTTATAATACTTTACAGGTTGATGCAGTCAAAAGCTTCCAGCTTTCCTCTATTTTTTTTTTAATGTTAAAAGATGATGAAAGTATGTATTTGTGCTGCACAGCAGGGGACCCAGCCAGACCGGATCCCGAGTAAATGTGGTGACAAAGTGTAAACAGCGCGTTCACAGGCGCCTTCACACACAGTCAATGCCAGTCGAATAAATGTTTTCTCAATCACTCATCTACTGTAACACAACACGACAAACACGCAGCAGCAGGGATGTGGTGTGAAGCTGCTGTGTCTTTTTTTGTAAAGTGGAACCCTTTCTGGTATTTCCCCGAGGTGTGTTATTCCAAAAGCACTCAGGAAATGTACCACTCCTCATTCGAATGGCCCTCAGCTGGCGTCAACTGCCGTGATGGTAAGTGGTCAGTGCGATGACTTCATGTTGTCAAATATTTGCTCAAATGATTCCATCAACAGTGACTATTAGACTATGAGTCTTTCGTCCCCATGCATAGTCAATATTATAAGGATATTTCTTCTCTGACAAATTGCTAATGAGTTTCAGGGGAGAAGAACATTCCGCACAATTCGCACAGCATGCACAGCCAAATTAATTTACACAGCTTGAATAGCTTGTTTATATTTGTGAGACACAGACTTTCCTTCGGGGTTGTTTTTGCACACAATCAGCCAACAGTAAAGTCTTGCATTGCTTAAAACATAAGTTAACACACAGCAGTCTGGCTGTAGTCACAGTATAACGTATCACATAAATAAGAACAGATTATAAAACACAAAAAGTAGAAATGCTGCATCGAAAAGTCCACAAACTGCACATTAAGAGCAACGCTCAAGAAGGTATCGAGTGCTATCTTTCTGTCGGCTCGTCTTCAGTCAGGTCCGCTTCTGTGGAACAAAGAAGAGACACATCAGGGACGGTGACTTTTCATCTCCGCCTTTGGGAGCGAGAACAGCAGACTGACTTACACGGTGATCCTGCAGTTTCTTGCCCGGACGTAGCTTCCCGTGTACGTGATGTCGCAGCGCACCTCGTTGTTGGAGAAGTCCGACTCCTCAACCATTCGCGACGGATTCACCGTCACCTGAGAGAAGCAGTAGAAACGGCGTAGATGAGACACAGACGTCCTCGTGGACTCCAGTGAAGGTCAATGTCCGGTGGTTCATGAACTCCCACCTTGAGTACGTAGTTCCCAGGCGCTACGTCGGTGATGTCGATCCACTGGCAGTCGATGTTGGCGTGATACGTGTCGTAGCAACCGGGACCCAGCCCCTGAGGGAGTAACAAATCAGCATCTAATGAATTAAATAAATGGATCAATGGGAAAGTGAAAGAGTACGTCGTGGGCCCGGGAGGCCGAACCTGTGTGTGAGAAGTGCAGGCGAAGCGCCGTCGCACCCCGGCGTCGCAGGACGTGTCCTCCAGACAGAAACTGGCCTTGTGTCCCTCGGCCACCTTCCGTCCGGTGGAGACGTCCAACAGGTCGTAGTTACTGAAGGCCTCCATACTGTGGTAGTGCCTGGGGAGAGGAACCAAACTGTAACCTTCAGCCAGCACCACTGCTGAAGGTGGCTGATGATCAAACGGAGCATTGTTTCATCAGAAGCAGTTTGTGATTTTGTGATTTTGTTAGGCTGTAATATTAATACTTCTCAACGTTGTGTGCACGTGTTTGATTTTGAATACACCTTCAGTAATGCACTTTATAATTTGATTGAACACCACGGAGCTCACTGGTGACAGCTGTGCCATTCCCACTCGTGTCTGGGCTTCACTGGCAGGAAGTCTGCTGTTCCTTGGTTCTTCACTCGCTGTGGGAACCGCAGCAGGACTCTGTAGTCGAGGTCTTTCACGCTGGGATGACTCGCAGACCTGAAAGAAAAGGAAGCAGGGAAATCTTTAAATGCAGTTAAACTCCAGTATCTTCACTATCGGAGGAAATGACACCTCCGTGGTGGACTTGCATTGCAGTTTTTTGCATTTTTGGTGTCTTCATATCACATTTTCCTCCATGCACACACTTGACTGCACACTGAGCTTCTTCTCTATTCTACACAATGGAGCAGTAGTCTGTAAGTGACAGGGCGGGTTTCTCGTCTTGCCTCAGTAGTTTTTTTGCGTTCACCTCAGGAATCCTTTGCATTTCACTTCAGAGCTTCTTCTACTTGACAAAAGGGTTCTCAGATCAGAGGAGGGAATCTCGGGCGGCTGCCAGGTGTGTGTCCAGCCGCTGCGTCACTCAGCTTTAGCTCCCAAATGGGACACAGGCCAATACACATATTGTGGGAACCGAGAGCGAGAGGATGCCTCAATGATTGTCACTATTTCTTTAGAAGTGCCGATTGGGATTTTATCACCCAGTGTAACAATATGTTAAGGATAAAGGGAAATAAAAAAAGCACTTGTCTGATTTCCTTTGATCTTGATTGAAATAAATAAGTGCACCTGGAGAGACAGTTTTCTTCAGCTGCGCAGCGCAGTGCGTACATCTGCACTCTCTGGATGTAGGAGGCAGCTTGGATGTAGTACGGGTCAGGAACCAAGTCGGGTAGACCTGCAAAAAAACACGACAAAGCACTGATTCAAAAGAATGCAACGTTTATTTAGGAATTTCAAGCAGGACGTTAAACTTCTCTTTTCTGGGAAACCTAAATATTCTTCAAGGAAATAGGGAGAGAAAACATGTGAATTATTGATGGCATAATCAGCAGAAACGGTTGTGGGGATTTGAATTCGTCCGAACATCTCACCTGTATATTTACAAGTGGAAAATCCGTCACTTAAACACATCAGAAATATAGTAAATTAAACAACTTGTTGTTTTGCTAACCAGAGTATATTTGATATGAAATATTTCAGTAGATTAAGTGAAACTTTGGATGATTTACTTTGATAATTTATACTCTGCACCATGCTGACATCTATAAATCAGCCATTTCCCTTCATTCATTTAATTTTATTTGCTCAGAGGCTCTAGTGGAGACATCCATCTAGTCGTAGGGTGCATTGACTCTCACTCCTATCAAAACTACATTTAAAAAGACTTACATTTGATAAAGATCATTGGAAGGATCACTGCTTCACAAGTTTCCCAATTGAATTATAGGTTGTCATCAATAAATAAATATAGTTTAAATTTCTCCCCCTCACCGTTGTGGAAGAACCCGGTGCCGTAGCCCGGTCCTGGTGGAGGGCGAACATGGAACCTGTTTCTGCGGTCTGGTTGGTAGACATCATAGAAGACAGAGTTCCTGTGATGAATACTGTGCGGATCCCTGGGGTCCCCCGTGTCCGCAGTCCTTGTTGTGTCCGGCCCCGGGCGATGGAAGAATATTTCCACGGCGTTATTGGACGGCGCGGTGGGATAAACGTCTGTCTCCGGCGGCATTCCGGTCAGTGAGTGCGCTCTTTGCGCGCCGTGCGCGTCCCTCGCGCGTGTCTGCGGCGGGATTCGACGTGCGCTCTCTCTGCCCTCAGGCGGCAGGACCCGCCCGGCCGCGGCGGATGACCCGACAGATGATTCTGAGCTCTCAGACGTTCTCCCTTCGGCTCGGCTGCGCGTAAAGTCCGGGGACCGTCCCGGCGGCGCCGTGGCTCGTTGTGGGCCCTCTGCCGGTGTACTCGGGGCCCCTCGCGGGACCCCGCTGCCGGAGAACTCCTGGCTGGAGGTGAAAGAGGCGGCGCCGCCGTTGGACGGTGCCTGTTGTGAGGGGACAACTACACCCTCTCCGGTGGTCGCCGGGCTCGATGGGGACCTGCTGAGTGTCCCCGGTCGCCCCGAGGCGAGCAGATAGTGACCCGCATCAACGCCGAGAACCGACGCATCCATTTGATGGAGGTCGTTTTGTTGAATGCGACCCCCTACTGCTTCCTCGGGGTTTCCGTGCCTGGTTCTGGTGGATCTCCTGAGTGCAACAGCAGGGTGGAGTCGGTTAAACCCTTTTTTAGTTGTCAATACGAGGTGAGTGCGTCCTCTGCTCTGCGCAGGCGATCGATATTGAGTCCCCGTGCTCAGCAGACTATACACCTGGCCGTTATTCTCCCACTGAATCCGGTGTCTCCACGGTCCGACGCGTGCGCGTAAATGGTGCTGACCGGTTCCAAAGCACACCAACACACCCAGTAGGCCAATGAGTCCGAGCGCGAACTTCTCCATGGCTCAACGCGAAGGTGTCTCTGTGTGAAGAGGTCCAACACTGAGACATTAAAGGCGAACATCGGAGTTGGACCTGGGCGATGGGGTGGTGTTTTGTATACACTCCGTCACGCAGCTACACGCACTACACACGAGGAGCTACACAAAAGTCCCGGTTTAACTATTTCAATACCACCAGGTTCAACTGTGGACATGACGGCGCGTTTAAAGCAACTAGAAAATGCGTTGGAATGCTGAAAGCTAAAAGCTTATCAGCTGTAGCACTAATACTGTAGTCATAGTATTTGTAGTAACATTAGTAGTAGTATCAATAGCAGTATAAATACTAGTATTGATAGTACTACTACTATTAGTAATTAGTAGTTGAAGTATTAAAAGCAGTATAAAAATAACAGTACTTTTTGTAAGAGTAATATCAGTTTCACGGTCACTAAAACTGGTACTAATGGCATTTTTAGTAGTAGCAGTCTTTTTAGTATTGATATCAGTTGAAGTACTAGTAGTAGGATTAGGGTTAAGGAAATTAGTTGGGGGGGAGGTGGGGGGGACACCTGAGGCAAAGGGAGTACCTATATATATATACACACATATATATGAACTCACACAGGTTTTGGGTTGAGAAACTGTTTTTTATAAGAAAGAATAAAAAGAAAAAGGACACGTGAGACTCTGTCCTCATTCCTCTTGTTGATTGACAGACACACAAGCTGCTTCAAGAAAAACGAATGTCCCTCGTGTTTTTTCATTAGGATGTCAAGTAGTTCAAGTGACTGAGACACGTTGAAAAAAAACTGTTTCATCAAGTGATCAGAATAAGCTGGGAAACATGTTGAGAAAAAGTCACATTTCACAAATAACCGTGATTGTCAGTCAGGTAGGCTACTTGCACATACGTTATGGAAAGTAACAATATACTTAATAAGAACAATGGGTAACAAACCATGAACATCGGTGTGGCTGATATGGTAAGTGCAGACCTTCCAGTGGGCTTTTTAATGCCTATGAGGCCATTTTTGTTGTCACAAGCAGGCGTCTTCTGCCTACGTCGTCGCCTTTCCCGTTTCCTCCGTTCTGTTTGTCTTCGATGAAGAGACCTGCATGTTTTCACAGTCATTAGACATTCTGATGTCATTTTTAGCACCAGTTCAGGCCGGTGTTCTTCACTCGACGTGCACCTGCTAGTGTGTCACAACAATCCCCTTGTCACTCCATTTCCACCAGACAACCGCATGAGAGATCACAAGTAGCTGCAGCTGATGTCACTGTGGCTGGAAAGGGTGCTTGCTGTTTTAATACACAAGGCAAGGCAATTTTATTTGTATAGCACATTTCAACAAGGCCATTCAAAGTGCGTCAGATAAAACCCTTAAAAACATCCAAACATAAAAGCAAGGAGATTTACAAATAGTTAAGAACACGTGATGATTGAAACATAAGTCAGTCATTAAAAGGATATAAAAAAAAGGTTAAAATTTACAGTGTAATTTAAGAATGTCGACTTCAATAGAAGGAGACTGTACAGATGAGTCTCTAAATAAAGAATTTTATCGTAATACTTAAATGCAAACTAACACACACACACAAGATGAAACTGTGCAAACTACTAATAGTTTGTTTCTACAATATGTAGTTTTGAAATTAATAAATGGGCTAACTTCCATTCCATCTCACCGCACTGCATTTGGGAAATCATCTTTCTCTAAAGAAGCAAAGAGTCAGTGGATCACCGGGCCCGACATGAAGAGCAGCACCAGCACTTTTTAAATAGTTAAAAAAAATAAAGAAAATCTGTTAAAAGCCGCTGGGCACAATTCATTGAGGGAATTACGGTTTACTTTTACTGTGCTGCTCGGTAGCTTTTCACGACTTGTATCTTTTTATTTTTTTATTCCCCAATGTACGGTTTGGATGCAAATTGGCTAAAGCTATAATCTTGTCCAGTGCATCAAATGGTGACATTTTTTTATTAAACTGTAGACTGTCCATTTTAATTATAAAAACAGAAGAAAAAACTAATGCTGCAAATCGCTAAATTGAATTCGTTTAGATGGATAAAATTTTGTTAAGACAAGAAAATAGAGGTTCTTGAAACTGCTGTAAAGCAACAGCAAGTAATTCATTTATTTATTAGAGTTTGACAGATAGTCCAGTTAGTAGTTTAAAATAGTAATATTCTTGGTAAATAATCACAAAAAACAAAAAGAATGATTAAAACAACCATTTGAGAATGATAAAAAAAATATAAGTTAACTTTGCACTGTTACATTTACAAACAATGAAGACCATTAGAAAAATGTCAAAATGTAAAAAGGAAGAATCCACGGGAGTATTTACAAGCTCTGTACAGGGATTAGAGGAGTGTTCCTGCTGCAAGAAAGCCAGAAGATAATAGTTAAAAGGTTGTACACATTTAACATCCTTTATTTGCACCAGTTCATATACATTTTACACCCCCGCTTTCCTTCAAAAGTCATCGCTCTTCTTACCTATAAACGATTGTGCAGATTGTTCTGAATGTCCTCGTACACCTGGTTGTAGATCTCCTCTTTGGACTTCAAACCATCCAGGCACTCTGCGCCGGTTCAAAAGACGACCAGTTAATCGTTTTGGAAAAGCGTACAAAGCAAACTGCTGAAAGTGTAAATCATTTCCACATGGAACATACGGATATTCAAGCCGCTGCTCTCCACCCCTCTCCTGTGCTTCAGGTACATCGGCCACACATGGCCATCAAACAGGCCGGGGGGGTCGGGGACAGTGTACTCCCTTGTGCTGAAAGCAATACCAAACCGTTAGCGTACATGCACTTTCCTTTAAAGGACTATCAAGGGGAAAACAATGTCAATGACTAGAAAAGAGTAGATGTGAGATTGTACACATGGAAATGCAGTAACGGTAAACTATTATTTGTGTGTACACTCACCATCTCCTTCTCTTGCACTCCTCGTAGGGAATCGTGATGAAATAGCTCTTGTCGAAAACATCCTGCAGAGGCCTAGAGGGCACGCCAACAAAGTCACATTCAAGTGAAAAGGACAATCATGTAACTGCGCATACTGTCTCTTATCTATCTCCCTGCAGCATGTTTGATATTCATTTCTAGCGCACAGTGACGACCAGAGTTTCTTAAGGACACCTGCTCGCGTCCACCGAAACCCTTATCTTTAACTGCAGGACCTGCCCAAGGGGGTCCGTGTACGCGTGCCAATATCTAGTACGCGAAATCAACATGTGACAAGGCAGAACTGACCAGATATGCAATCTTTGTCGTCGTGCATCTCAGAATTTGCGGTTGCCCTTCATTTAAAATGATTTAATATGATTAACATATTTAAAAAATGATTTAAAAAAAAAAAAAAAAAAACATAATTTGTCCACAATACATTTTACATTGTGAATATAAAAACTAAAAGCATCAATTATAATCTATGCAGAACAACTGAAAAACAAGTACTTTTAATAATGGTTTATAGGTCAATCGAAATTTCACACAGATAAACAGTGATAAACATCTACTTACGGGTAGTTGAAGAGCAGGAAGCCCTCCACGATCAGAATGTGGGTCCGCTCGTCTGCGTTGGCCACGTCGGATGCAGGAGACAGAGGGACTCCGTGGGAACGAGCAAACTTCACCGGGTTCTCAATCCAGCCTTTGACTGTGTTGGTCATGGCCTCCATATCCATAGCTGTGATGACTACAGACAACGGGTTGATAGAAGAGGGTGACGATGGACAGGATAGATGAATTAAAATTTGACATTAGTCAAGGGTGCAAGAATGAGGAAACGCGTTTCCTAAAGCTGAATGTTGTGTGCATGTAATGTTGGAGGGAAGAGGTATACGACATTAAAGTGTAAACAATAAGTCACGTGCAGTCTTCCGTGAAGGCTTACCATCCCATTGTCTAAAGCCGTCCTCCCCGACTTCGATCTGATCAGGTTTCTGAAATAACATTCACCAATAAAACATTGCTGCAACCTCACAGCGCTGAACACAAGTTGCAGAGTCTACTCGCATGCCAGAGAACTATCGCCAAAGAATATAAAAACCAAAAACTAACTGATAAAATGACACAGCTGTAATGATTTAATGGAAACAATAAAGCCAAGACTATATAAAAGAAAATTAGAAAGTAGCTACATCAAGTCATGTTAGAGTAACATTTGTCGATTGAAGGCTGTACGATTATATAAAATGCCTTCAAATCGAAAATTCAAAAGGACACAAGATAGCAAACTCATGACTGAAGCAGTGCGTCAGTCACTACATTGCTTCCAGGCAGAGTTAAATGAGGACACATTTGGCTGAAAACAACATTTATCCGGTTGCTAAAACTCACCTTGAAAAAGTCGTCTTGGTGCACAACACAGCAGTTGGGCAGAGTCTTGATCAACTTATTGGTCAGGGTGGTTTTGCCGCCATTAGTGACCCTGTGGACAAAAATGATGATTTAAAAAAATGAAGAGATGACAAATGAACGTGTTGCACACAAAGACACAGAGTGTAATTTGCTTACATGGTAGGTTTAGTTTATTTGGTATGCAGAAACAAAAATATATAAAAACAAACAAATGGTGCCGAGTAAAAAGCACATGCGCAGTCTAAATAAAAACAGACTTTCCTCACAGAACGGTTTGTATATTAATGCTGGACATGACGTGGAGATGGTCGTTATGTGGAGTCTCCCTCCACTTTGGAAAGATCCTCGCGGTGAATTTCAAATGTCCCGCTTGATCTTAACAACAAACCAATGACCAGAACGCTGGTGAGAAACTTGTGCGGGAAGACGATGTTTAAACGAGTTTCCCAAAAAAAAGGACGACCGCCATCAACCGGAAGCCAACGTGAGTCACTTACGAAGAGAACGAATTTATGTGAAGCACCGGTGCACGTATAACGGCAGATAGCTCGACGAACCATAACAGAACAGTCAGCCTACAAACAAATATCAGTTAAGGAATAACTTTGGGTTACTAAGATAGAAGTAACGTTAACGGTGGATATAAACGCACATTAACACTACGAGCGCAATGTTACTGAATCTCAAGACGTTATTTCATAGAAATATTAAACTCACCCGCCAATTCCGATGATGTAGGACTTCATCTCTCCGTCTCTTCTCGGCAGTCCTGCTAAACGCCCGCTGAACAAACAGTCAAAAGCACTTTCACAATAAGTGAAGAATGAAAAACAACGAGTCGACCGGCTCAAAAAGTCGTAAATTTAACTCGTAGCGATAGCTGTGTTCGTCTCTGCTGCTCCATTTAGTGATCACGCGAGGCACTGCGCTTTAATCCAGCCTGCTTCCTCCTACGTCACCACGCACGCAAGCACAGGGCGTCCTCGTGGTCGGTGTTACGTCCTTCTCGCAGCAGCCAATCAGTGCGCACATTGCTCCAGCTGCCAGCCAATCGCAGCCCCCCAAACTGTCATATATTTACATATTTCTAAGCACCTGCTCGCGTCCAAAACAGTGATGCTGAGCGGCTGGTCCTTTCACCTACGACCGACGCTGTGCTATAATATAACAGCTCTTTTTTACCACTTTTTAAACTTTTTAACATTTTTTAAACTTTTCAAATCCCACGTGTATTCACAGGATAAAATTAGAGAGGCCGATATAACCACATCACAAATGTTTCTCTCTCTGCAAGGCAGAAAAACAGGTCCCAAAATTCAAAGCAACATTAAAGAATTTGGGACAAATATCATGGGTTCAGACGTCAGCCAGAGCATGCCAGCAACAAAATATTAATTCTGGGTTATATGGTGTAAATTATAAATCCTACTGCTATGTGCATCCATGCCTTTCCCCAGTGTGATAATCACTTGTGCGTATGCGCAATGTGAATGGTCTCTTAAGGGTCAGGGGTCAGCATCCAGCATCTAGGTATCTGAAGCGTATTGATGAGCTTCCCCATGAGAAAAATGAAAAACATTGTGAAAAACATTTCTTGGGAGGAACAGTTTATTCCATTTATCAGCAGACTAATGGGAAGCAAAGTCGTTGTAATAATATAAATGTGCTTTTAGTCAAAATGAACATTTAGATTTTGGAGGAAAAAATCTCTGCATTACTTATAAAACTGAATATACTGAAATTTGATAAAATTAACCTGTAAACTTACAATAAAACTGAAGATGGAAAGGCTACACTCTACATGCTGTCACCTTTTCTGGATTCCTTAAAATCATTTGGTAAATAAAGTAGGCACTCAGTGCAAACAATGCTTGAACACAAAGAATGTTCCACCAGGCATGACCAATATTTCATGGAACTGCTCATGTTCTGTTTACTGGTTAGAAAACAGCCAAACAGGACTAAAAATAATTGAAAAGGCAAAAAAATGAATTGAGATGGCACTTTAACAGAAGACATTTCATGAGACTATTTTTCTTAAACAGAGAAGAATAAAAATGGTCATTCTTTCACAACAGCCGAAAAACTGCAGCAATCAGCTATGCTACATGACAACATAACAAATGCTTTAGGAGAACCAAAAATCTCCAATTAAACACAAGCAAAATCCAATAGTGCAAAAAAGGTCGGCAGACATTACAATTAATGCAGTTCTTTACAAAAATAAAGTTTCTTACTCCTCTGGCCTACTGCTACAAAAAGTTTAATGGATGGAAGACACAAGAGGAAACCACCCAAAGCGTCCAATGCATTAGTGTATTTGACTAACGTCAAACCCTCAGTTGAATGTGCTGACATCGTCCCAAATGTTCATCAGACACAACCACATCAAAACATGAGGGGATTTGGGCTGAAATCAATAAAACCTTCAAAATCACAAACTAAATCTTCACATAAGCTACAAAAAATGTGTGATTCTGAAAAAAAAGAAAGAAAATCTCACCAGGCCATTTTATGCTTCTTTGAGTTAGTTAGTGGTCATGCATATGTTTCATAATTTAGGCTAATTTTTTTTTGAATGCTATATACAATGTTTGTGTATTGTGTCTCGATTATTGCCACTTTCATACAAAATTATTGCAGATGTTTTGTCTATGGTGGGTTGAAAGTCAACTCTTCTTATACATGTCATACAATATGATTACAGTCTAAGTGTTGATATAAAGCACATATGTTTAATGTTGTATGACATCTATTTATGTGGTCAAAACCATGTTACACAAAATAAACAAGCATTGTATTTAACAGCACATATATGTTTCTTAAAGATGTTGTCAGATGGGGTTTCCAGGCCACAAATGCAAATAATGACCATGTTCTTGTATTTCTACACAGTGAGGCACACAATGAACAAAAGTTACAGTACAGACGTTCGCACATTTGGACATTTTCAAAATATCGCTACATCAAAAGGGAGAGCTTGAGAATGCCTGATGTTACAGCTGCTACGAGGCAGACAATTAAGATGAAGGCATCTGATCCATTGTTATTTACGTCTAACAGACATTATATTCACACAAACTAGCATGAATGTAAATGTTTGATCTGCTACATAATTTATGTTTCTGTTATGCACCTCTTGTCTTTTTTTCCATTCAATTTAGTGTATTTATTTCATTATCAACAGATTTTGAAGTCAATTGTCATTCTTTAGTCTAAGTTTGTGTTGCGAGTCTGTGTCATTGACCTGGTCCTCCACAGCATCGCGATGATGTAATATTACAATTTGGGCTAGACAAGCAGGTCCAACCACGGTGCAGGTGAGCCGACGCAATAGTTTCCATTATAAAACACTTCCTGCAGCGACTTCCTTTGAACATTCCCGAGGTGCACTATGAAAGCCTGCTGAGGAGAGTAAGGAGGAGTTTCCACAGGAGGGTGAATGAGGAAAAGCGTTCTCCATCTTCAGGGCACAAATCTGCAGCTGGATGTTGGTGGAACCATGAAGCGTAGGTAGACTTGTTGGAACAGCTGCTTCATACCGGAATAAATCCAAAGTTCAGTCTGTCACACTGAGTGAAGAGAAGGAAACGCTTAAGGTGAAAACATGAGATGACGATAAAAACATGTCTGCTGCTCACATATTATCGTTGAATTAAAACTAGTGCTTATGTACTTAGTATGTTTCTCATCCTTCCAAGGTATAATTTGCCTTTTGTACAAAAACTCTTCAAATGTAGCCTTCTCAAGAAAGTATTACTTATTGGATTAAAAAATATATATATATATCACTTGTTGCTATTTATCCACTTCAACAGTTGTTAGTGTCAATCTGTTGTTATTGCCAAATAGAGATTAACCAAAGTCCATGGCTCCAGTCTCATTGTAACTAATTTGCTATTACCTGCTTTATTTTTTAATCAGCTTTGTATCTTTCATCGTTTGTTTTTTTATGGATTTAAGGGAAAAGCACGTCACACGCTCTTGGCTCTGGACCGTGTGTTGAACGTCTTGAACAAGTTGAATGGAAAGCAGGTACACAACATTTTGTTTGTGTTTGAATGGAACCTTGAACAGCAATATGAAGACTAACTCTTAGAAAACGGCTCTCCAGAGAAGCAACTTAAAAATACCTGAAAAACCATCCTGTATAGCAAACAAACATGCATGTAAAGAATAGCAACACATCACAAAAGATAGCTATTATCAACTGTATGATTGTGAATTGGAAAAGATAATTCACCCCATTGTTGCACACTGTTTCTTTGCTAAATGCAACATCGGGGCTCCTAAAATATATACTGTTGTTATTAACAGTTATTTACCTTCACCTGCAAAGTTGTCCTTTCATCACTCTTTATCTACAATCATCGACTTCACCCTAAAAAATAAGTGGGAAAAAACAGTCAGAAAGTTGTCTGGATGACATCGTCCCCAAAACAGAGTGACTGACCCAACTTTTTAAACGTCCGATGGGAAAATATGAGTTTAAAATCCAGGGGCGACCGATATACCTTTCAGATTTTTTAATTGGCTCCTGTGGGACCTGCTGCTGCTTTTCCTGTTGTCTGTGTTCCTGCTCCATCCTACACAGAGAGAGGGAGAGAGAGAGAGAGAGAGAGAGAGAGAGAGAGAGAGAGAGAGAGAGAGAGAGAGAGAGAGAGAGAGAGAGAGAGAGAGAGAGAGAGAATTATTGTAGGCACCTGGGCTGGTGCCCATTCGGTTGTGAATCTAAAGGCATTTCTTCTGCAGCCAATTCATCTGCTTAAGTGCTTTAATTTAAGTGCAATTCTGTCTGAGCAATGTATGATGTAGGCTGATGTGATCGAGTGTATTTTACCTTTCCGTCCTTGCTTTAATCTTCTCCTCATCGAATCTGAAAATAAGTCACACTGTTAGATCTTTGGGTAAAGTCATTTTAAAGAGTTCAAGCACTAATCTTATTCCTCCTGTTCTCCTCCCTGCTACGGCTCGTTTTCTCCACCTAGTGGCCACAGATACTTACTGCACCACACACTCGGGGACATGGACATGCTCCATGGGGACGATCTCTGCCAGTTCATCCAGGCTGTGGACGTACTGGATCTTATTCATGAACTTCACACTGCAGAGAGAAAAAAAACACATGTACACCGTTACACTTCGCTGCATCGCTGATGTCTCGGTTACCTCATGATCAAAAGCATTTGAACTTGTGCACCGAGTTGTGTGGATTTCCCTCTTTCAGACATAATTGTTCAGTTGTGTGTGTGTGTGTATTACCTGATAAAAGGCCTGGATATGGCCAGGACGGTGCGTATGAACCATGTCGGATGAGCAATGACCAAAGATTTCAGGTTCTTCCTCAATCTGCCGTCACAACACAAAGAATAAGTTCGGTTGATACAGTTCAGTTAGTCTTTGAAACAGAAATATTCCTCCTCAGAATCTTCCATTTAAGCTCCAATTATTCAGTGCCAATGTCATGCACTTATGTATATTGATGGTAAATAGAAATGAAGATGTGTTTTTATAGAAAAGTCTACCACAAACATAATATATGAGTAGTTTCTTCTTTTAGCACCTTCTGTCGATCATTTGGTAACATTTCTTGAGCCAGCTGATCCCCGGCATTTTATTCCGAGGAGTGGCTCCGTTCATGTAGATGATCAGGTAATCTTCAGCCACCAGCATCTCCAGACTGCTCACCACGTACCTGGAGGAGAGGGAAGGCTTTGTGTCAGTGTCAGGAAAATATCTGAGATGTATATATGGGTTCTGAGATTACAGACACACAGATTGAAGAATTAAAATAGAATCAATCAAAGCATGTTCTTGAAAACTGTAAAGGTCCCTCACAGGAAGAGGTTCTCCATGATGTAGTGGTAGTCTGCACAGCTGCTGTCGGGCAGGTAACAGGCCGAGAAAACAATGATGGCATTAAGCCCCTCGCCATAATAACCTGATGGGATAGAGTTTCAGTCATCGGAGACTAATGCTTCTGCGCATGTGAGTTAAATGTAAACGACTGAAAGTACAACATATTCTATAGATTCTGATGAAATCCTTTATTTACCTCCATGTGTAATGACCCGCAGGTAGGGCCTGATGACCTGCATGTCAATGCGATGCTCCTGTTCTCCGATGATCACCGTCCTCCACAGGCGTCCGTTGTTCACATTCCCCTCCTCATCCACGTTTCCCGAAGCGCCAGCGGGACCTGCTTTGGCCGACGCCACCGCCGTGTCATCTGTACGGACACAGAGCCAGATGCGGTCCTAAAATATCTGCGTCAGCTAATCTTAAATTAGTGCAGTTTTTGTTTGAATAAAACTTTTGGACTTACTGTCTGAAGATGAAAGTGGGTTCAGGATGAAAACTTTGGTTTATAACTAGTTTTTGTTTAAGATATCTGAGCTAAGTTGTGTACACGGAAGAAGATTCTTCACTGAAGTAATATTAGAAAATCAATGTCTAAAAATACTCCATTGAAGGTCCTGAATTAAAAATGTAAACGTAAAATGTACAAGTGGCAATTATCCAAAATAAAAGTACTCATTATGCTGAGATGGGTCATCTTACATTCATTTAGTTTTAGAGATGTAATATTATATTTCTTTGACTGAAAAATAAACCGAAGAGCATCTTAGGGTTATCATTTTTTATTGTCTGGCCAATTTTAGACGTATATACTACTGGGTTAATTAGCAGGATGGATGCATCATACATTATATTCTAACGTATAACCCCAACGGTGTATTTTGAAGCACTTTTACCTTCCCACTCCAGCTCGTTGCCGTTGGTGATGAACTCCAGCGAGTCGGTCTCGTCAGGCGTATCGATGTCATCAACGTTGATGTCCAGGTCATCCGGTGTATCCAGGAAGTCATCTGACAGCAAAGAGCCCTCGCTTTGGTCCAGTGAGAGGTTCATCTCCGGGGCAACCAACGTACGTCGTTTGCGGTGGGACGAGGACATGCCGCCGCCGCCCCCTCGTCCTCCAGATGGGCTCACATTCAGCGAGTTAGGGGGAGCTGCAGCGAGCGGAGGAGGAGGGAGACGGATGGGAAAATGTTTGGGGATGTCAAATATCAGAGTCATTATATTATTATTTCCATTATTGATCAATCTGTGAGCCCAGGTGTTACTTACAGGCTCTGTCATCTGTGAGACCACAAGAGGGATCCATGTCTCCGTATTCTGGTAGTGGTCTAGAGAGAAGCGTGCACAAGTAAACAACTAGCATTGAGCTTATTGAGTATAATAAAACATACCATACAAAGGTTCAGCAGAACAACCATGACTCACTGGGTCTTTATTAAATAAGCGAACACAACTTTTAAATATAGTAAACGTATCTCTGGCGTTCAGCAGTCTGAAACTATGGCCCCACAATAGATGGTGCCACTCCCATCAGGACGGTGTTCAGTGGCACAGTAAGGGCGTGGGTGTTGTCACCGATCGGCCTAAGCACTAAAGACAGCAGCAAGCAGAAGTTGATAGCGATGGTAATTTACCATGCATGTGTCTGTGCAGCACCTTTCCATCCGTGTGCTTTTTTCTCTAAGTAAGCAGAACTATGCATCAGGACAGTCATTGTGGTTTTTTGCAAATGAGCAACAACAACCAATCAGGGACCTGGAAACTGGGTTTGGCAACAAAGTGAGTCCAATACGAGAGATGCAGGGAGTTACGACGCAGTGAAAGTTTAGCAGGGAGGATCCATCAGCACTGGCTTTAGCCCAAGGGAACAGGCACTGATGAACGGTTCGACCCTTTTCCCTCACAGACCCCTGCAGTGATCACTGGTCGATGTTCCCATTGTCAGAAATGAAGCCAATTCTATGAACCAATTTATGGGGATTTCTTTTTTTAACAAAAGCTAGATAATCTCTTTCGTTCCAGTTCACAGCTGCATTGTCCTTCAGCTACAAACAAGGATAATAGGACGAATCGATGATGCTTACCTTCTGGGAATAGCACCGGGCTGCTGTTGCCAAGGCTCAATCAAATAGCGTCTTAAGCCGACGCACCTTTAGATTTAGTTTGCTTAATTATTCTCTGTTTTCTCAATATAACAGACAATGTGGATCAGAGAATCCCTCAGAGGATGCCTTGGTAAGAAATTAGCTGCTGGCTATTCCTCCGTGTCTGTCTGGCTTAAACCGAAACCTGCCACCATTTTCCTGGGGACACTGTGTTGTTGATCAGTGCTCTTGCGTCAAATGACGTAGCACAAGACCATACAGACAGAGCTGCACCTGCTCCCTCGCTTCCTGCATCCCCCTTCTGACGGAGGAGAGGAGGAGGAGGGAGGGAGGAGGAGGGAGGGAGGAGAAGGGAGGAGGGAGCCCATACTGACTGTCATCACACATTCTCCCTGCTCTTTTTATGCCCATTGATCTCTGCATCCCCACACTCTCTAAATCCTTTTAAAACTGTTGTTTTTTTACATGATTTATATTTCTCTCTGTTTCTCTGTCTTACTGTGAGCATGTCATACAATGGGCTCAAACCTTGCACAAAAAAAAGAGTTAATATTACACATCTTCAGATTAACAGGAACAGCACTGCCTCTAATCCAGAGGAACAATACTGGGAGTGATGTGACGTAATCCATAATGAACTGCAAACTTAATCTTAAATAATTACTTTCCCATCCATGAATTAAAATGTGCTGCATATTCATCAACACACACACGTGCACAAGACAAGACCGTATAGTTAAAGGCACACACACAGCTCCGAGAGATGCCGTAAGCTCCTTTGCTTGCCTGTTTTTCCACTTTCAACATCATTCGATGAAACATAGGAGTTAAAAGGATCCCACCTGGGAAAGTCTTCATCTTGCCACTCGTCTTTCACCTCCAAGTTCTCCATTCGTAGAGTTGCTTCTGCAGTGCCCATTCCCCTGGGAACAGACGAGCAGGGGCCCGGAGGTGTGAGGAAAACTGTTTATGAGCAAACTCCCTTTGCAATAACAAGAGAAACTGTACTTACTAGACAGCCAGCTTCATGGCTGCACTGCAGGAACACGTGTCTGACTCAGATGACAAAGGGAAAAGTCAGCATTGTTGCTGTAACCAATCTTCAGTCAGACGGGGGTTCTTTTAATCCCCGACCCCGGAGGAGCACGTGAGAGAGGCATGTGACTGACTCGAACAGAGCCCACTTTGAGCTCAGCTCTCCTCAAAGTCAAATATCACGTAGAAAATTTCTTCTGGGGGGGAATTCAAGAGGCCACTGAGCGGGACGACGCGCACATTTAATCCTCCCTCACAGCTCCGTAATCCTGCTGCGTTGATGTGACTGCTGCCTTTTTACGCTCAGACTTTATGTCGCCAATAGTATTAACAGAAATAAACTTCTCTTAAGATCTAATATCAGCGCTTGAGAGCTTAAAGAGTTCACATACTGGTGAATGCATCTGTAATAATTACACACTGACTGTATAATCAGTGTTTTTAATCATAGGATTTAATGCTGGAATCCAGATGCATTATTACAACACATCAGTGACACATTAATAACAGAAGCACGGGTCAGTTACGGCTGGGGAACCACATGAGAGGAGCACTGTGGATATTTAATTGGACTGTAAGTCCAGTTCTCTTTGTAGTGCTCCTCTCAAGTATGAAATCCACAATGTCTGAGCGGGTTCTGAGTGCCAGCAGATTGCTGGGTTTGTGTTGTTATTCTTACAAACGTAGGAAAGTCTTCAGTCATTATAAGTGCTTGTCCGAGTGACATTAATGCAGTTCAGAGTGTGTTAAGAGAGTGCAAGAAACACATTTTTGTGGAAAAATAAAATATAACAAACCCCATTCAATCCTGACATCGTTCTCAGCAGTGCATGATCTTGCTTTGATGAAATCTACTAAAAGGAGTGGAGTGGTTTTGGCAGCTACACTTTTAATTGGAAGACTGCCATGTCTCAGGAAATAACACATTTTTACAGACCTCACATTGCAGATGAGGAATAAAGCAAAGCTAAACTACATTGCACCATGAAGCAAAATCTACAAACACATCGCACTTTTGTCGCTGTCGAATGAAATCCAATGTGACCACACGTCATTGAAAAACGGTTAAGAAAGAACAGGACACATCATTTATCATTGTTTATCAAAGGCAATAAGGCATGCAATTATAAGTGGTAAATATTCCAAGAGTCATTTTAAATCCTGTAACGATACAATTTCCTGTGACCTTAAAAGACCTGTATTGTTGCAGTATGCTGTACATGTTAAATCTTTGTGCAACAAAAAAAAAGACTTTTATACTAAATTAATTACCAACAAATGTGCAAAACATGACAGAATAAGGAGCCCCCATGCACAGCCTTTATGGGCCATCCCAAATGTATCAATCACAATGGAAAATACCCTCATGGATTTCATGTGTTACTGGACACAATATGCATGCAGTCAGTGTAAGGCGTCGGATTCGTGCAGCGAGCAGAATAGAAATGCAAAGGCGCAAATTCATATACTCACATGAGCGGTGCGAGATCCCCTCAAAACCTCTCAGCGGTCGGTGTGTCCTCCTTCCTCCTCAGTCACAGATGCAAAGATTCAAGGGGAGAAGGTCCTGATTCTCCTCATCGACGGAGAAGCTGAGGTCATGCCGAATCGCTCTTCTCACGCTCCCCGTCTTACACTCACATTCACAAGCGCACTAACACACACTTGTGCACAGACACAGTCCTAGTGTCCTCGCTGTCAGCCACTAAGCCAGCAGCAGGTGTTTGAAGACAGGGGGCACCTCTGTGGCGAACTCCCCCGCTTCTCCTCCGCCTCTGGCCACCTTTGTTGGGGAAAGACTGGCCGTGAAGAGCGAGCCGACAGCCTGCCTTCTCAGCTCACACACGTCCACACCGCCGAGACACAAAATTCCTTTAAGCAGAATGCATCTGCTCTGGCATCATGATCTCCCTACCTTCTTTTCCCTACTTGTGAGTCCAAATACATTTTCCCACTACCAAATATCAATGCAAACCCTCTCCGGGAGGAAAAAATGAGCACCGGTCCCTGTGCCCCTTTAGCCCATCATATAATCCCCCTGTTATTTTCATTGGTCCTATATGTGGCTGCTGTTCCCTGGCAACAGCATCTCCCCCCCTCTCCATCCATAGCTTCTCTCCTCCTTCTCTGTCTCCTTGCCCCACTCTCCTTCATACACCCCAACTCTCCCCACACATAAATTATTCAGTCCCTTACCTCACTTGCACCCAACCAATCATATCACTCTTGCCAGTTTGCCTGCAAAGTGTGTTGCTGGTTTCTCTATAACAAGGACATTTTGTTGATTGGGTGTGCTAAAAATCACGGCATATATATATTTGTGTTTTATTTATTTTAATTGTATTTATTCTGACAAGTGTATCCCTCTTCAGATTCAGGCCATATCTGTCCTCAGTTTTTTGTGTCGTTCATGAGGCGTTTAAAAAAAGGTCGTCTTAATTACTTTTTTTTAAAGACGACCGTCTTAATTAGCTGGAAGATAATTGTTCAGGAATTGTTTTCCCGACAAACTCAGTGCCTATTAGGTTAGGTATATATATATATATTAGGTGTATATATATATATATATATATATTAGTTCTTTATCGTTGGTGTTTCTGCCTGTCAGCATGACTGACAGGCACACGCAGCATTCAGCAGATGCAGCAGAACGAGATGGTTCGTCTGCGCTACTTCCGCATCGCGTTCTCCCCGTTTTTATTGTAGGGTTCATACATTTAATGTTTAGAAGACAGTAAAGGATAAATATCTAAGCAATTTAGCATGGCAGTCTTTAGTTTGTACACCAGGCTTAACAACTTGATTAGATTGTTTTTTTAGGAGTAGTTATGCCAGAACAAATAATAATCATCCTGTTATTTGTCCTTATACTTATACTTGTGCTGAAAGTATACATTTACCCAACCTTTCTCGCTGAGTTGTTGTTATTATTATGTCACAGCGTCTGTAGGATTTGTTTTTATCGTTTCCTCACGCAGTTCCGGTGAAACACGGCGCCGTTACCGATGGCTGCAGGAGAGGGGGGGAACTATCTTGACAGCGTCGCTCTCACGATTTTACTGCTGGCTGCCAAAAAACTGTAACCTTACTGTACGGGAGCTGCCAAGATGGCTGCAAGCAATTATTTCGGGTTCACGCATGCTGCCGGTCCGCAGTACAGGTAATCCCAAAGACGCAGGCTGATGTCAGCGTGTCCTTCGCGTCGCATTCATCCGCCGCCGGTTTTTAACGGTCGTTGGTCGGCATTGATGTGACGGACCGCACGGCTAGCTAGCTCCGCTTGACCCGCTAGTTCGGTTAGCCATCGTTGGCTGGCTGAGTTTTTTTTTTTGCAGGCCACCGACACGCTGCTTGACTTCAGTGAACTGACATTGTACCACGAGCAATGCTTCAACTTGACACTACACGTCAGTTTATAGCAAGCGTCAGTTATTTGGGCTGGTGTTTGGGGATTAACGAACCCTGGGTCAGGCAGCACAGAAGGTCCCCTGGATAACAAACCCTGTACTTGAACTTGTTGTGACGTGACGCTACAAAGGGACGTTATAAATAGGTCACGTGTCCTGTGTTAAGGTAGAACATGTATACTGATCACCTGTAAGATGCTTGGTAGCATATTTGCAGTTCGGCATCTTGGATTGACAGGTATACTCGTTACCTGTTATCTTGATAGAGGTGCAGATGTAATTAGGATGGCGTGTAATCATCATTCACTGCAGCAGGGTTTCCTGTGACGTGTTTTGATTTATTTAATTGTTCACCATTATTCTAGGAAACTTGTCAAACATAGACTGATCTCTGTACAGTGCTGCTGGATTATTTTTCTATAAACATGTTATATTAGTGTATTCACACCCTAAGCCTCCATTCCTTCTACCTTGGGGATAAAGACTGTGCAGTATCAAGACTTATCCTGCAGCGATCAGCATCCTAAATGCTCTCCCGGTTGTACGAACGAGCATGTTTAGTCTAACATTCCTCTTTAAGGACACAAGCCACCTGGTTGTATTCACTGTACGGTTACTGATCAGTGTCGGGATTAGGGCTGATAAGTGTATTCACCACAAAGACCGGATGGCGTTATGACATTTTATAGCCTTATTTTGCCACTTGTTAAAAACCACTTTTTAAAGACACATACATGTTTCAAATTTGACAAGAGCATCTAACCAGAAACCCATCATAAAAATGTGCATGCATTTACTAATTTGTTCTGTTACTAACTGTTCAGGATTCTTGCTGCATTTTATTCTGGTGTGTATAGCAGTAAGTTTTTGTTGTTTGTGTGTGTTGTGTATCTGTAGAACACATCAAAGATATGCCTGGGCTTTTCACTATAATTATTCATGTGAAATATCTGATTCACAAAATTGCATGTAATCCAATTAGTAAGTGGCGGAAATTGTTGACCACATTGAGATAATTCAATTGCAGGCAATTTATAAAGGAGCTACTGAGATGGACAACGAACAATGCACAGGCTAGTCAACACAATAAACATGGTTTTTACATTTTTCACTGTTTTAGAAAGTCTTCCGTGTTATATTTTTGGCAGTATGTATCGTGTTAGGATGACTCCCACAGCGTTTTGAGTCTTCGCTTTCATGACCTCTAGGAGTCACTGAAACCTTGATAAAATGCTGGTATCATCAGTTGCTGATGCTGTTGCCAGTAACTGTTCTCCCCAAACCACGAGAACAACAATAAGGCTGCTGGGGGAGTTGTCTCTGTGTGCCAATGAAAGTTTATCTGAGGTCAATGCGGGGCTGCTCATTCAATCATGTAATGTTGTTAGTGATCGCAATTCTGAGCTCCATGACTAGTGAATCTTGATGGATGTTTGTCTCCTTTATTTAGTGCATCATTTGGCCATAAATGTGAAAAAAAAATTGCAGTTCTTACATGATTTACCCATTCAAATTCAATATTTCAAATAGTTGTACATGGAAATGACTTATATTTGGCTGCTGGTTAGTTAGTGAGTTGGTCTGTCCACCACTTAAATTGCTGTGTAGTTGAACCCCAAAGCCTTTGTTCAGCCTTTTAACGGTTTGTTAGGGAAGGATAAACATTCTTGCACTCCCATCGTGGATCGACTCCAGCTCTACTTAAACGCAAATACACACTCTTGCATGAGTAAAGTTTCCTTACCTCTCCTCTCCTTCAGTGCCCAGCCTCCCCCGGCCTATTCCCATCCCTCTACAGCCAGTTACAGCGTGCAGCAGGCTCCAGCCGTGGCTCACGCAGTGACTGCGTCCTATACTGCTGCTCCGGTCCAGGCAGCCAGGCCCGTGGTCACTGCTCCTTACCCCACCTATCAGAGCCACCAGGCGCCCCCTGACTACGCATACAGGCAGCCAGACCCCCCGGCGCCCCCGCAGCCCACCACCACCCCACAGACGTACCAAGTATACCCGGAAACGGTACGTCGTCATTATCGCAGTCTCAGAAAGTGTCAATTTGACACACAGGGGCTTTAATGCAGTAATATTAAATCTGTTATTTTTTTAAATCTCGCTGCTGTCCAATTTGATTCAACGCTTTCTTGCAAACCCCAGCAGGACAGCTACAGCTACGGGCGTCCTGCAGCAGTGACCACCTACGACAACAAACAGTACTACCAGACGAGTATAGCTCCAGCTCAGAGGACACACACAGACAATTACTACCAAACAGGTGAGTCCGTTCATTTTTTTTTTTTTTTTTTCATGTTCCCTCAATGTTTTCAATCACTGTCAGCCTGTCTTGTTTAAAGCTTATGTTCTACTGCATATGTGAAGAAAGTTGAAGCCTTTTGAAGATGATATGACATTGAAATGATACACCGTTAATTTGCCGGTAAATGAGGATGACGACCTTTCTTTACTGCAAAAAAACTTACCTGACAGGTGGTCCCAGAGCACTGCCTGACTTGTGTGTGTCTCCAATTTCTTTTGCTACGCGCATTTCTCACTAATACACTTCCTCTCGACCTCTACCCCACTTTTCTCCCCTCTGCCCACCCCCCCTTCCTGTATTAGTAGGGGTAAAGAGCGCTTACAGTCCAGCACCCTCCACTGTGTACAGCCAGCCTCCTCCTCCCCAGAGGCAAGTAACGGCCCTGAAGCCTCTGGCCCCGTCTGTGTCCACCAGCTACAACATCTACCCCGTGTCCACCAGTGTGCAGCAGCCACCAACACCCATTTCATCCTACACCCTCGGCTCCTCCTTCGGCTCCGCTGTTGCGGCCACTACCTACTCGGGTAAGATGCCACGAGATATAAGATAAGAGATCACTTCATTCATTCCACAGAAATTTGCACCTCCAAAAGGCTTGATAATAAAAGAAAATATATAAACATCAGTTCGACAATTGGTTCAGAGATATGGCTTCCACTGCTCCTAAAGTAGTGGTGATTATACCTTGCTAATAAGCAAGTTTCTTATGACATGTTTTCACATTTTTTAAGAACAACTTAGGGACTTTGGGGTCTGAATATTGGTGCTATTGCAGTGCCACTAATGGCTTGCTTGGCCGCTGACCGATACGTGACCCACATATTCAATACTTCTCTCCAAAAACTCTCTGTCCTCACTGTCTACCTTCCGCTCTCTCGCCCTCAGGCATTAGCTACTCCAGTTATGACTCAACCGGCTACACCTCCACTCCCACCCCCTCCTATTACCAGCCGGCCCAGCAGACTCTCACCCAGCCGCAGCCTCCTCCTCCTCCTCAGCAGCAGCTGCAACAGACCCAGCCTCCCATCCAGCCACCACCTAAGCAGCTGACGAGCTCTTCCTGGAGCAACTCGGGCAGCAACATGGTGACGGCGCCGACTGTAAACGCCTACAAGAAGCCCCTGTTTCACCAGAGCAAGCTGCAAAGGCCCAAAGGGCCTCCGAAGCAGCCCCAGCTCCATTACTGTGACATTTGCAAGATCAGCTGTGCAGGCCCTCAGGTGGGAGATTATAATGAGCGTTATAGAAAATGTTTCAAAGCTGGTTAACGTTAACATCATTAAGTATCAGCAGTTCTCCCATTTTGTGGTGTTGTACTGAGTTTATCAAGGGTTCTTTATGTATATATGTAAGCTACCTGTTTTTGATTCACTGCACCAGACGTACCGGGAGCATCTAGAGGGCCAGAAACATAAGAAAAAAGAGGCAGCCCTGAAATCCGGGGGTCAGTCCGGGGCCAACAACGGGCCAAGGGGGGTCCAGACTCAGTTGCGCTGTGAGCTATGTGACGTCGCCTGCACCGGCGTGGACGCCTACGCCGCACATATCCGTGGGGCCAAACACCAGAAGGTTAGCACAGCTGTGGTACATTTGTCTTAAACAGTCAGAAGTAGATATTGACGCAACGTGACTGTGACGTTCTCTTGGAGCAAAACCCACCTCAGGGATCCGGGATGGGGATAAGTACTGTCCCTTTTGTCATTTTTGGAAAGGTGGTGAAACTTCACACCAAGTTGGGTAAACCTATACCTTCCACTGAGCCAGTGTTGGTGAATTCGGCCCCAGTCGTCACAACATCAACAGCTGGGAAACCTACCGTCTCTACTTCCACTCCTGCTTCTGCCTCAACCACTTCAACTCCTATTGTGACACACAAACAGGTGGCCGTAAACGTCACCGCTAAAACGGCACCAGTCAAGAAACCAGCTCCCTCCAAAATAACTGTTGTTTGTAAGTTTGCTCAGAGTTGATTATCAGCACATTAGATCTGACTCACTTATTAATGAATAACTTCCAATCTGATGTTAATATCTACCTCCATAATACAGCTGCACAGTAGACATTTAGCCAAGTGTACATTTTTACATCTACAGGCTGCATCACTTCTTACCTTTTTCTTATAGTGTTGTGAAATGGCAGCATGTCACGTGGTGGGTTTTCTGACCATGCAGCTCATGAATAGAACGGGCGATAGAAATTAGACACAAAAAGCAGGTGTTCAGTCATTTTTATTAACTCTGTAATTTGTAATATTTGCCCCACAGCCCATAAGCCAGTCAGCGCTCCAGCAGCCGCGGTGGTGGCGGCGGCTCCCAAGGTGGAGGAACCCATACAGCATCCGGTTCAGAGAATGGACCCTCAGAGTGACGATGAGGACTGTGACAGAGCTGGAGGCCAAGGAGACATTCAGCCAGTGGGACACGACTACGTCGAGGAGGTGAGCAGGAAAAACAAGAACAAAATATCTGACAGCCTTTCAGTATATCAGAGAGTCGTATGTTGGTTGATATGCGCAGTGGAGAAAAAGAAACGTTTGACATATTTTAATGAACAGTTTAGCTTTGTACATTTGAGTTAGAGATAGTTTGAGCTTGATCTTAAAATTAATACTTTCTTGTAATCTTTAACATATTCTACTTACTGTAAAAATTGGTTTTATTTTCTTTTTTTTAAACTAAATTTCAGTTCTTGCATAAAGGTTTTTGCATAAAAACATGAGAAATTCACATGCTTTCTTTTTGTATTATTTGAATAAGGTTTTCTCATATTTCAAAAGTCAATATGTCGTGTCTCTTTCTTATGACAGTAAAACATCATCTGCATGATGTGTACGTACTTGAACTGTTTCAGGTCCGTAACGATGACGGAAAGGTGATTCGATTCCACTGTAAACTGTGTGAGTGCAGTTTCAACGACCCCAACGCCAAAGACATGCACCTGAAAGGCAGAAGGCACCGACTCCAGTACAAGGTGAGAGAGTCTGAGCATCACGGAGTCGATTCCTGTCTGACTGGTTCTACAGATACACACTGAGCAGGGTTCTGTTCACAGCAGATTATGTTCCCAAAAATTCCGATCCATTTCCTCCTTTCTTTTGGTTGAACGGCGACAAAACAGGGTTTTAATATTCATATCATATCGGACCAGGAGTGAGTTCAAAGGGCCGTACAGACACGCTGCGTAGTTTAAGCAGATTTTCTTTGTCTTGGTTATTTCGCGTGATCGGTAAAGTCAGAAATTCACATTTTGTTGCACACGTAAGACATTAGTTCTATCATGTCAGCTTGGTGAAGGAAAATGAAATATTATTTTACATTTAATCTGAGCTAATCTGAGTCCCATGTATACAGACATTCATTACATTCTTGCTCCATTCCCTTTAAAAATTCTGTCCCTAGAAGAAAGTCAACCCAGAGCTTCCTGTGGAGATCAAGCCCAGTAACCGGGCCAGGAAGCTGCAGGAGAGCAAGCTGAAGAAGCAGAAGCAGAAAGCGGTGCTGAAGAGACAGAGAGACGATGAGCAGCGCTGGCACATGGAGATGAGGTCAGACTCGTGGCCAAAGTTAGTAACCTTAATTTCTTCCACCTCTGACATTAAATTGGAAAATGTTGGCGCGGAATAGACGAAAAAAAAGAAAAGATGGGAAAGATGCATTCATACAGGTAATACCAGCAAAGCGAAAGCCGTAAAGCTGAACCGCTGAGTGTTGACCACGAACTCAAGGGGAGAAAAAGGAATTTCTTGGCTCATTTTGTTTGTCTTCCTGTTTTCTTGTCAATCACATCAGCTTTGTTGCATGAAAAGTAAAATACATTCTCTCTTAAGAGCCAGACCGTCTCATGTTATTCAATTAATAATTTTCATTTTGAAAACTGTCCGTTTGTAATTTAATGCAAAATGAAAGGTTTTGCATGCCAGAATTGTTGTTACAAGAGGAAATTCCCATTTAACTTTAGATTACCTTCAATTAACACATAATCATGTACATAAGAATGAACACTTGTTCAAATGTACCGGTAATGGCAGCCATTACAATCCCTTCAATGACTTTCGATGAATGCCATTGAAGACTTTCCCTTCTCCTGCAGACGATATGAGGAGGACATGTACTGGAGGAGGATGGAGGAGGAGCAGATGTACTGGGGGGAGCAAAGACGCAGGATGGCTCCTCCGCCCCTCATGAGCCGCCCTGGCATGCCAGTCCCACCTCTACTGGTGAGCGCCGCAAAGGCAGTTATTAGATTTCTTTTGTGTGTGTTATATGAAAATAAACAAGCAAACTATTCAGTCAAACTTGTATGATCAATCTCTAAATTTCCTCCTCCCTCGCCAGACGTGTGTGCGTCGGCCAGACTCTCCCGACGACCGCCACATCATGGCGAAACACTCGACCATTTACCCGGTGGAGGAAGAGCTGCAGGCGGTTCAGAGGATTGTCTCGCATTCTGAGAGAGCCCTAAAGCTGGTGTCAGACTTCCTGCTGGAGAAGGAGACTCCGGCTGTTGAAACCGCTGCTGATGAGGGAGAAGATGAAAAAAGGTAAAAAAATGATCTCTGGCAAATAAGGCATACGGGTGAAAATAAGGATTAAGGTACCTTTGCAAACTGCCCTCAACCGCTGAGCTGGGGTCGTCTGACCTGAGGTACTGCTCTAATTTAGATTGAATTAACAAATGATTTTGCTGATTTACAAGACTAGTTATTTTTTTATATCTTTATAAATGTAAAAGGCATCATTTCATAATTTTTTTTGTTTAAATATATCACCTAGTCAATCACAATACATCAGTAGTTTCAGACAAACATGTTTTGCCACAAGAAAAACATTTTTTTTTTAGAAAAAGTTGTTTTTACGAAAAGTTGGATGCTTCAAAGTGTGTAGAGAGCAAATGTGACCCTGAATATGTTGGATTTGACGGGCAGTGACGGGTGAGGGAAAACAACATTGCTTTTTTGGTTGTTAGCGCTGATTGTGGCATCACATATTGAGTTTTAGATTTCAGTATCCTGAAAGGTAGTCCTTGAAATATGTTATTTTAATAATGAGAAGTGAGCCTCGGCGCGGTCTAAGCCAAGGCTATTGCACCTGTTTGCTTGTCTGGTAGAGAATTCATGAGTTGTAACCTTCCTGCCTTTTTATAATTGATAAATAAAACACTATTCTATGTATCACATGGCATTCACAATACACAGGCATGCATTAGACCTACAGAATCCCCCCCCCTTAAATGAAATGTCTGATCTGTCAAACTGCCACAAATCCCTTTGGCTGAATTGTTTGTTCTCTTGACAGCGCTGAGAGTTCCGGGCGGCTGCTAAAAGGTGTGATGAGGGTGGGTATCCTGGCCAAAGGCCTGCTGCTACGCGGAGACAGAAATGTTGAGCTCATCCTACTGACTGCTAAGAAACCCACCATCTCTTTACTGAAGAATATCGCCAAGCATTTGCCCAAAGAACTAGAGGTAAGAAAACGTGAGCGGGTTCATTTAGGACGTCGGTTGAGGGAGGAAAGAATTGTGGTAAACTTGGAGATCACAACACAAGCTTACATTTTTCTATTGAATATTTTTTTCTGGTTTTTGTAACATACATCTGGGTGCACACATGTGTATGTTACGTCATACAGATTAAATTTAAATCTAAAAGAAAATCTTCTTATACAGGTTTATCATTAGTTTGTTTAAAATTCATTCAGATTTTTTAAATCCACTTCCTCGTGACTCGTGTCCCAAGAGAGGGCTGGTGAGAGACTCAAAGGTTTAACTGTTGTGTAATAATAGAATAGGAACGAGAAGTGAAATGATGCATCGTGATGGAGTACTTGTGGTACTCCCACGTGTCCAAAATCCAAACTTACACAGCGAAATTGCTTCATCCTCCACTGGTTTGTCTCGTGTGCTCGAGCAGCTTGTTGACCATTGGTGAACGTGTACAGCTGTCCACCGCAGTTGGAAACAAACGCAGACGCCTGTCCTCCATTCTTAAGCATTATGATTAACATCTTAACAGTTCATCAATAAAGGTCATGTAAGCTCTCTGTAAAATGTGCAGGACACATTTGGGTGGTTGAGAGCTGCCACTTGGTAAAGTTAATGGTGTTTATCAATTGTTTCTTTTTGTCATCAGATGAATTCTGCTGAGAAATACTGTTTCCAGCTTCGCGAGAGATGTTTACGTGTACACAAATGATCGAACTGCTCGCAGCCTCAAGAGAACCTTTTTTTATTTTTTATTTACTGGCCATTTAAGCTCCACAAAAGTGTATTAATGGCAAAGACAACAGGGTTGTGATGTATTGTAATTCCACACTGTTCCTCCCTCCTGCTTTAGCTGTAATGAGTGTTTCATTAAAGGTGCTTTTGACTGATCTTTAGATTCACTGCCTGGTTATGACACCTGAATCCTACAGAGTGAGATGGGGCTTTTTCTTCTCAAAAAAACATCTAAAAATATATTTGTGATATTATCACAGACCCTTTTTAAAAAACAAGTCTACTACCTGAGAAAAAAAACAATTGCACAGCCCCGGGCTTCAATACCTAACAGTATTTGCCCTGTGACCTCGCCGGTCGAGGCGATTCTCTGCCCCTGCACCCCTCCTCCTCTGTAGTGAGTAATCCCAAGTGTCCTTTTAACCGGCAGACATTTTCTGAAGATCAGTATGAGGTGCAGGCTCACCCCGAGGAGGCGAACATCGTGATATTTTCAAGCAAGGAGCCCAAAATGCAGGTGACCATTTCTCTCACCTCGCCGCTGATGAGGGAGGACCCTGCTACTGAGAAGGACAAGCAGGCAGGAGGAAAAACGGCTGAGAAAGGTTAGAGAAGCCAAAGCTTTCAGTACCACGACCGTAAGCGATGTGTGTAACACACTTATATATATACATATATATATATAAATATAGACACCCCTTGCTCCACCCTTCCACCCATATGTAGCCTAAATGTTTAGGCTGAAAAGCTCCTAAATTATATAAAATGACACGTGGGACTTTTAACCAAGCCCGCGTATTATTATTTTTTCCTCTTTTACCCCTTAAATAAATAATAACGCACATTCATTTGTCCCACTTTTTTCATTTCCCCCATTTTTTGCAGTTACTAAAGTCCCCAGTTTCTTTATTTCTTTTCCCCCAACATGGGAATCAAAAGCCGGGCTCTCCGACCTTTCTGTGCCACTGGGTTGTGTGTTTGATCTCGTAACACACGCCCAGATGAGACCTTTGGGACATTTTAACGAGAGACTGAATTGTGCAGATAATGCCTCAGGATGAAAATGCTTCAAATGGTGACACTGTTTTCACAAATATCCTCATTCTTAAACTTGATAAGCGTTGCGCTTCTTGCTGCATTTTGGTCACGGTAGTTGTTTGGGGAATTTTGAGGTCCAGCGACTTCCCATTCCCTCGTCTCTCATCCCTGTATCATACTGTGGCATTATCAATGACGAGGTGTTGGAGTGTCGTTTTACCGCCTCACAATGATCGGTGTTGAGATACTAAGGTGACGTTAGTACACAGTGTCATTGCGTCATTCAACAGTGAAGATAATAAGATCATTGTGTTGCAAACACTCAAACACTCCGCCTGCGCAAATAATGTGTTTCTTTCACGTTTGGAAAAAGGTTTTCTGTGGCCGTTTTTATTTTATTTTATTTTAATTTTGTTTGGGTTTGTTGATCAGTGCACCTACTCCTGTATCAGCAGACCTGGGCAAGCCAATGGCTGACCTGAAGACCGCACTTGTTCACATACCACTAAGAATAGAAACATTGAAGGAACAACGTTGCCCATGTTCATTAAGCTTTTTAGAGGAGGAAACCCTTCTTGTTTGCGATCATCAGAGGGGCTCAATGATACTAAATCAACCCCCCCCCCCTTTCTAAGAGGCATGATGAATATGGGTCTTTGGTTCTAAGTGGTATGGAAGTGTAGACTTCAAAAAAAGAAAAAATAACTTTTTTTGGTGATGTATTTTTGTTGCTACAGTTAATTTAACACAGAGTGGAAAGCCCCGAGGCTGCTGTGAAACATTACCGCATCGCAGTCATCAGTAACTCAGGTTAATGTCAACAAATTGTCGTTAAAGGTTAACTTCAAACTATTTCATTAACCTCTGAATCCAACACACACCTGTTTTTTTGCTCTAGTAATAAAGTTAAACTTGGGCTTTTTCACATACTATGTTGTTAATACTGTTAAAATATTTAAACATACCTGTAGTAATACAGACATATGCTATCAATGCAAAGTAGGGGCAATTAAAAACATTCATCAAAGCTATAGAAAATATATTTTGGTCAAAAAAGGGGAAATGTACAACTCAAGGATTTGATTAAGAACAAATTCTACAACGTGGACAGCTTAAATGATACCATCCATCCGTTCATCTGCAAACCGCTCATCCTGCCCACAAGTACGGGGGGGGGGGTCAAAATAGGACCATGAGAGTGATAAGACTCCATTGACGTAAGAGGAAGACATATGTGAGTAAGACGGAAACTATCGTCTTATGATAAAAACGCTGTTGATGCGTCTTCTCCGTGCTGTCTTCTCTTTGATTTGTCACAGCAGGAAAACGATTAACGATAACTTCCTATTTAGGGTCCAGTGAGGCGGTGCGTCACTGTCCTGCCACAGATACACCTAGACAGCATTAATAAGGTCGATAGTACCTTTCTAGGAGAAAGATGCAGTTACTATGAAATAAATAGGTGTGGTATGTTTTAATCATCTTAAACTAAAAAACATCTCTCTGAATATCTTGGATTTCTTTCTTTTTCGCATGCTTCTCTAAAACCTTCACTCCTTAGAATATATCTACATAACACAGAAACACTGTAGACTGCCTTCTTTCTCTTTTTTGACTTTCGCCCGTATCTTCTATCCCCTCATTGTCTTTTCACAACACAAACTGAAACAAACCTTTTAAGTATTTAGGGACTCAAGGACATGTCTGGACACTTGAGATCTACGTGAACGTCCAAGCGTGTTTCTAATCTCACCCGCCATCGGCTGCTGTACATCAACACGTCAACACGTCATTTGGGGTTTGCTTTAGTTTGACTGTAAGTGCATGTTGTCTTTACCAGGCGTGGCTGAAAAGGACCCGACTGACCTCCTGAACAAGAGGAAATGTCTGGAGTACCTGGCTGCTCTCCGTCACGCCAAATGGTTCCAGGTAAACGCATCAGAGGCCTGTCGACGTGTCCTAAAAAGGTTTAATTTGTGATGAGATATTCAATCAAAATAATTTGCATGAGTGGAGGAAACTGAGGAAACTCACTTCTTTTAGTCTGAAAAGAAACTGCGATTATTTGTGCTGTGTGACCAACGTAGCACTCAAGATTATTTATTATCAGCCTAAAAAATAAATGACCACAAATATGATATAAAGGGCATGCCTGCCATTTTATATATAAATATGAATGTTTTTGCATTTCGTTTTTCAAATACACAAATAAAGTAAAACGTAAAACTGGTCCTTGTACATCTATCGAAAAGTAAATGGCCGTTTTCCTTCTTATTTCTAAAGGCTCGTGCCAACGGGCTGCAATCATGTGTGATCATCATTCGGGTGCTGAGAGATTTATGTCAGCGGGTTCCTACATGGGGAAAGATGCCCTGCTGGGTAAGAGGCCTTCACTTTCTGTTGTGTTTTAACTTCTCTTATAATATAAAGTGTCATTTCTGCAAGCATGAGCGTTGCTCTACGCTCCGTCGAGCTTTTCCGACCTCTTTGTTTGTCTCTTCGTCTCGTCTGATGTTGTCTACGAGAGAGCAATATAAAAAGAAATATTATATATATATACACACAAGCATTCATCAATGCTGTACAAGTGACCTGCGTGAGGAGATTACCAATCAAATGTCTCGACCAGGCGTTGAGACAGTTGAAGTACCTAAAAAGGGGCGCTTTAATCCGCTGTCTGGATTGTCTACTTCCATTCAGTGTGTCTGCATGCCTCCTTTCCTCGCTCCCTTCAGGCGATGGAGCTGTTGGTGGAGAAGGTGATCAGCAGTGCTGCGGCCCCGCTGAGCCCGGGAGAGGCCATGCGCCGAGTCCTGGAGTGCATCTCCACGGGCATCCTGCTACCAGGTAGGATGAATGTCCGTGTGCTGGGGAAAAGGTAGATTGTTTTTTGTAACTTCTATTATTAACTTATTCCCTTTATTCAGAAGGACCAGGCTTGATGGACCCGTGTGAGAAAGAGACTACAGATGCCTTGAGAAGCATGACGCTTCAAGCCAGAGAGGACATAACTGCCAGCGCCCAGGTACCCAGGCAGTATTAAAGCCACGCACGTTACTTTGTTTTCAGGACAGAAACCTCTCCTCTTGTGTCCTCCGTGCCGTCAGTTACTAAATCCCAGTACAATCATCTAATAGGAACCTCTGCGAATCTACATTTCTTCTCCCTGTTGTCTCTGGTTCCAGCACGCTCTGCGGCTGCTGGCTTTCCGTCAGATCCACAAGGTTCTGGGCATGGACTCGCTGCCGGCGTCCAAGGCCAGCGCCCGCAACCGGAAGCGCAGACGTGACGGCAGCGACTCCGGCGACGGGGAGGGGGAGGGCAAGAAAGACAAGAAGGAAGAAGCCGAGAGTGCTTAACCGCTTCCACCCGAGCGGAGGCATGTGCCGGTTTAGAGACTGGTAGAATGTCACGAGTTTCAACTTTTCTCATCTTGAAAACAATCTTAACACGCAGCTGCACACATATGAATATAACCGACTGTACACGCTACATGTCTGCTGTTGAATTAAGAGTAATGTTTAGGAGGTGACTGAAGCTTGAGAATCTGTACTACGAATCCTTCTCTTGAATAGCAATTCTTCTGGAGATTTGGTGTCTTTTTACGTGTGTAGAGGAAATTGGACTCAGTAAAAAAAACAAAAAACATGACTATAATTGTACACTAACTACTGAACCTCTCTAATATTTATTCATAACCACTACCGTCAAATACAGTAATATTGCTTCCCAGCTTGAGTCGGGACTGTGAACGAACGTCGGTGCATGACATTTGTTTAATGTTTTTTAGATCCGTGTTCAACAAAAAAATAAGAGATGGAGGTTTAAGTTTATAAGCTTTGGAGCGGTGGGAAAAGTGCCAGAAGACATGTTTCAGATCTACATGAATACAGTACTGTGATGTGCCTAAGATGACACAGTAATACAATACTGTGACGCTGTTGAGCTCACGTTTAATGTCGGGTAAAAAGGCTACACTAAAAAATCACTTTTACTGCCTGGAAAGTATGTCGCCATTAAGGGTTTTTGCAAGAAGCTACAAGGTAACCGAAGTTCTGCTTTTTGTTTTGTGTTTTTCAAGAGAGAGAGCTCTTATGTTGCACAGTCTGGCATGCTGAGGAAAATCAAGCACTTAAATAATGACAATGTCAATGAATGCAGCAATTTTATCATTTGAACAATACGCCTAGTAATCTTTTTTCTTCCAGAGTACGATTAGCAGGAGAGAGACGCTTTAATCGGAGAAATAAGACTGAATATCTACTGTAATGATCAAGTAGTCCTTTGACTTTCTTCCTTGTGCCTGCATCGCGTTGTGTATTACAGAGAAAGGGGAACATTTATGTGTTTGTTTTTTTGTCAAGTTGATATCGTGTTGATATAGTTTTGCAAAGATGTTGGCCAGAGAAGGGACAGCTGTACAACTCTTTGGCTTAAAAATTGACGTGAGCGAATAAATGTGCCCTTTTTAATTTGACTTTATCAAGAGTATCATATAAGTATTGCTTATTTTATTTCAGACGGAAATAATATTTTGTGTACAGAAAGTGAACGTTTCTGTCCTTTTATTATTTGAATGTCTTTGTAGTGTTGCCTAAAATAAACGAGAGATATTAAACCAGTTTTAAGCCATTGCGTGTCCTGGCTGTTTTTTCAAACCAATTGAACGTTTTCTATATTTGTGAGACGAGCTTTTTTTTCTTCTTTTTTTTTTCTTTCTAAACCGTGTCACGTGTTGTGTCTTCTCATGAAATATGAACCACGTTTCCCGAAATATAAACACGGAGGAAGTGGTCCGAAGCAGTGATGTCAGCGCTCGCTGCACCGCGCGCAGACCTCCTCCCTGCCCGCCGCTGCACGAGCACACACAACAACGTCAACGGCGGGATTTTAAAGTCGCGTTCGCGGACCCAGATGTGCTGAGGAGGTGACTCCTAACATCTTCCCGCGGAGCCGCAGGTACTGAAACATTCATGCCGTCAAGTATCCGGACTGAACGACCTTTTTTGAATGCGGCGCGAGCGAGGAGGCGAGACATGACAATAGTCCCGCGGACATCTGCGCCTCTGCGCGCTCGGATCCGCGTCATTTGGAAACGGGTTACGCTTAAAATCTCTATTTGCAGCACGATTTAACTGTGACGTCACGTTCTCCTCGACAGGTGTTCAGCAGAGAATTATTCAACACTCCTGCGCAGCTGACGGCAAAGGTAAGACTGTATGTGTGTGTGTGTGTGTGTGTGTGTGTGTGTGTGTGTGTGCGCGCGCGGCGCACACATCAGTCAACTGCATGTTGAAAAGAGGTATCCAACCACAGAAAAAAGAAATACATCTGACATTTTATAAGTGTGTGATTGCTGTGTAATGTCAATGCATAAGTGATTGGGCTATTTAACACAGTGCACATTGTATTTTAATGTCTATGCCATGTGCAGATATCATTGGTTAAACATGCAGCATACTCTCTGTATGCGAGTATACCACATAAGCACCATTACTGAATTTAAGGATAAAATTATAGGCACCCTAAGGTGTTTTGATTAACATTATATTGGAGGGTATTCAATTACTAATAGTTTCCTAAGATGATTGCTAGAAAGATACATAACCAGCAGTGATTATAGGTAAATAAAGACATTAAACCTCAGGATTACCCTCAGGTTTTTGTCTTTGTCTATGAATTAATAGTTTTTTTAAGATCAAACTTAAAAATAATCATGCTGTTATTATTTAAATGCAACTTATTGATAGTAATGGTCTCGTAAAATGAATATGAAACATTTGGGATTTTAATATGTTGTTTTAAAACGGCCAGCCAGTACGTAAAGTTAAAAGTCAGACGATTATAATGCAATTAATGTTCTTCTGCTCCAGAAGATGAACTGGGCCGCCGGCACACAGTGTGTGGCCAAGGGGGACCAAAAGAAACAAAAACCCGGAGAACTGGCTTACCAGAAAGGAGACATCCTCACTATTGTTGAGGCCAGCACGGTACTGTCACGTTTTTAAAGGAGCTACAAATTGTCTGTTCAGTTCATTTTTGGATCCTTCCTCTCCCGCAATTGACACAATCGTTGTATCTTTTTCCAGAAGAAGGGCTTTTACAAAGCCAGACTCAACACCACGGGCGAGGAAGGACTCATAAACTCCAGCAATATGCGCACAAGGGAGGCTCTGCGCGTTGACCCCAGCCTCAGCCTCATGCCGTAGGTCTCTTTTCCTTCTTCGTTCCGCTCCAGAGGAGCCGGAAGGGGAGCAATGACTGTCCCCCATCAACAGGATGCAGCCGTGTTGACATGCGGTCGACAAAAGCCATGTGACTGTGACAGAAAGACGTTAGCTGTCGGCTTGGTAGATGATGAAAAACGCGTGACCGAATGTTGTGGTTTGGACATGATAACTAATATCATCTCTGTATTAATCACTCCCACTTCCTTTTTCTTGTGTCCACTGAAGTGGGTAGACCCACGAGTTTGTTAATAATGTTTATATATAATGTGGGCCGTGTGAGACTGGTGTTTTGTTTTACTTGTATTATGTGTGCTGTCTTTACCCAGTTGGTTCCACGGGAAGATCTCTGGTCCGGAGGCCGTGAACAAGCTGCAGCCGGCCGAGGACGGACTGTATCTGGTTCGAGAGTCCATCCGCCATCCCGGCGACTACGTCCTGTGTGTCAGCGTTTCAGGAGATGTTGTCCACTACCGGGTGATTTACCAGGACAAGCAGCTGACCATCGATAACACGCAGTATTTCTACAACCTCATCGACATGATAGAGGTAAGAGGTTACTGGTTGGATTCCATTTAAATTGTGTAATCGAAGCGGAATATGTATAATGCATCAAGACTAAGTGTGCGTTATTCAACAAGTCAGTGTCAAACACACATCCCTACCCTATCAACTCTTTTTTTTTAAACGTGGAGCGTATTACTAATATTTTCCTTCACCCTCGCTCTCTATTTGCAGCATCCTTTCGCAGGAGTTCTCACTGTCAGCATGCAGTCCCCTTGTGAGAATAAAACGTACTTTGAGTAGTAATCGGCGTTGCCTTGTTTACATTCTCATTTCCGTATTTTACCTTGCTGTCGGGCCCCTCGGGATCATGATCGTTTTCCCCAAATTTGCATTGAAATTTATGTCGAAGTTGGTGCCATTCTTCAGGTTCTACCAAAGAAGTTGAATGCTCCTCTAAAGTTCACACTGAGGCCAGAAACTTTTTCATGTCAACACATCTTTAATGTGTCAAAAAAAAGCAGAGACCGGAAAACACATTAAGCCCTTTCACGGTTTATCTGTGTGAGGGTGCATTGAGCGTTTCGCTGCAGCGAGGTGTGTGGATGGACTCCACAGCGACGGCCAGCTCCTATCATGGAGCCACAGATGGCTTCAGGCTTGAGTCAGAGCGGCTGACTTACTCCCGCGAGGGAATATTTGGGCTGAATCATGGTGTAAATGCTCTTTTGTCTCAGTGCTGGCAGACTGCAGACAGTACGAAACCCGGCTCTGATGTGTCGCTGTGTCAAAGGTCTCTTGTGTAATTTATTTCATTTGCCGACTCTCATTGCTTCGTGTTTTGTTGTCAGGAAACCTCACAGGGATGTAGAAGCTGTAATGGTCAAATGCTAAAAGAGTGATAAGCATCTGTATTGTTTATCATGTGAAAAGCAGAATGGTGTGAAGTTTCCGTTAGGATGTGTGTATAAAAGCTCGCAGTTTTTGACTGCTCGGGGGCGCCATCTCCACAGAGCACTGAAATACGTGCAAGTGTGTTTGACCTCCTGCTTGCAAGCCATAAATTGACTTTTACAACTTAGAAACAAATGATTTTCTTCCCCTGAACTAGTTTTATTGAAATATTCCACAACAAAGCGCATCCGCGGGTAAACTGTTTTGTGAGTGTTTTCTAGTGACTTCTAAAGATACATACAGGTCTTACTTATTTTCTGCTTTTGTTATTTTTAAATCACAGTTCTCATGGCTTCCTGAGTATTTCTGAGGTGTTAATTTCTCTGAGGTCATTAATGTATTTCGAGCCAGAAGAAGTAATGATGTATTCCTCATTCATATAACTTACATATACATATATGTGTATACATTTAATAACATCTACGGTAAATAACTAAATATCTGTTCATCTTTGCAGTTCTACTCAAAGAACAAAGGCTCCATTGCTACGACACTTCTGAAACCCAAACAAAAACAAGGAACCAAGTCAGCTGAGTTGGAGCTCTCCAAAAGTAAGGCTGAGGTCAAGAAGACTACGTCACTGCAGATCGGATGTAATAACAATAATAGTGACAAAGGCTTGTAAGGGCTTGTAAAGGTGTGATGTTCACAGTCCATCTCTCTGTCCAGGTGGATGGCTGCTGGACATTACAAAGCTCAAACTGGGGGAGAACATAGGAGAGGGGGAGTTTGGTGGTGAGCATTTAATTTGATTCAATTTGCCCCTTTTCATTATCTTTGCATCCGACATCGCAGTGTGTGCGAGGAAAGCTGTTGTCAACAAACTTTAAAGAAAAGAAAGGTTCTGCCTACTAATTGTGTGCGATTCTCGACCTCAGCTGTTTATGAAGGAGTCTACATGGACCAGAGGGTGGCAGTAAAGACCATTAAATGTGATGTCACAGCTCAGGCCTTCCTGCAGGAGACCACAGTCATGACGTGAGTCTGAAGACTTCCTCAATATAGCGCGTTCACATTTTGAGAAAAGAGACCTTGACGAGCTATGAATTCACAAGTAGTAAAATTAGGTTTTAGTGATTTTCAGTGGATAGATTAATAATGTTTTCTTATTGTACCAGTGATGATATCATTTCGAATCAAATTTAACTGGTTGCTCCATTTATTCCTGTGGTCATTGTCATTAATGTGAATTCACTTCTCACAGGAAGCTCCAGCATAAAAACCTGGTGCGATTGTTGGGGGTCATTCTTCACAAAGGGCTTCATATTGTCACAGAACTCATGACTAAGGTACAATTAACACTTCAGTTATCAACAGCTCTCCGTGTAGCTGAAACACCTTTTTTATTACCTTGAGAAATTAAGAAATATAAAAGGGTAACATGGTAAATAAAAATTAAGTGTGAATTGAAGGTGCCTTGTTATATCACATAATGAAGCAGCACATATAATCACATATAGCAAGTGGTGAAAAATAATGGCATCAAGATAAGTAATTGGTGGGAAGGAACAGAAAGCTGGACTCACCAGCTATGAAAATATCTACTAGTCCGTTTGGAGCTTTTTCTCTGAATCGAGACAAAAAAAGTAACCTTCAGTCCAGAAATTCATCAGCTGTGCAGCCACTGACGCGATGGCTCTCCAATGATGCGTCTTTAAGGGGTCAGAGTCGGACCTCCTCTTGTGTGCAGGCAGCAGGACGAAATACTGAAGCTCATATTAGCACAGTCATGAAATAACTTCAGGTGACAAATATTGAATATTTGCAAACCAAACGGCTAAATCCTACTTGTTGTTCTTACATGTAGTATTCCTCATAATTCTAACCTTCTTTAAGGATGTTCCATATGTTATATATGCATGTGTGTTTGTGTTGCAGGGGAACCTTGTCAACTTTCTCAGGACAAGAGGACGCTCGGTGATAAACTCAGTTCAGCTGCTCCGCTTTGCTCTGTGAGTTCAAACGTCAGCAAAAAAACATATATATAAAAATATATATATATTAACGCAGCAGAAACGGCAATGTCATTGTACAATGTCTGAGCACTGGTTGCATAGACGCAAAGGCTGCTCGTAACAGTATATACTTTACGCTGTTAAAAAAACTTGCAGAGACGTGTGTGAGGGGATGGAGTACCTGGAGGCCAAGAGGTTGGTCCACAGAGATCTGGCAGCTCGTAACGTGTTGGTCTCTGACGACAGCCTGGCCAAGATCAGCGACTTCGGTCTGACCAAAGTGGACCCAAAGGTGTCCGACAACGCCAAACTGCCGGTGAAATGGACGGCCCCCGAAGCTCTGAAGAAAGAGGTCGGTGTAAACAGTGTCCCTTGTATTCAACGCGGGAGTTGTTTTCATCTTTTCATATCTCTTTCTGAATCTCTCCAATACACCCACTTCCAGTACTAAAATATCTCACATTTGCAAAAAGATTTATGATACTCTTCTATTAGCAGATTAAAGCACAGGTGATCAGTCATTATCGTTGATTCACTCGACTTGGCAGTGGCAGATGAGAGAGATCAAGCTTGTGCTGGAGTCCTATCGTCACAACACAGTGGTTATGGAAAAAGTAAAAATCAGAGACGCTGTGGGGAGACGGCAGCGGGGTGGCTAATTAGAGGGAGTTCCCCAAAAAAAGAGGTCATCAGAATTGTTTTGCATGATTCTACATTTGCTCCCATGCTGCAGAAATTCTCCACAAAATCGGATGTTTGGAGCTACGGCGTTCTGCTGTGGGAGATCTTCTCTTACGGTCGTCAACCTTATCCTAAGATGGTAAGTAGCACCAGGACGTGTCACTGTCATACTCTCATGATGTGTGTGTGTGTGTGTGTGCTTATATATGGTTGATACATCACTCATGCACTACTCATAGGTGAATCATAGGCTTCTCAGTAATAAACTCAACCCAAACCGTGTTAGTTTGACAGTTTGGGAAATAAACTTCACGTTCAATACGTTCTTATGTGGTTCCATTGAAGCAACACTACAAACAGGCGGTTGGCTTAGTTCAGCAAAAAGAGTGTAAACAAGGCTAAGCTAACATGGCTCTTTCTACAACATCTGCCAAAAAGTAATGCATTTAAATCCATAGCTTCTTTGTTTTTATCTGTAAATTCAAAAAAAGTGAAAAGTCAATCTTCTACCTGTAAAGTAACGGACATCTGTGGAATATTTGTGACTAATATTTAGAATCGTTCTTCCTGTAACCAACAGGAAAGAGTATGAAGCTGTTAATATACTCGTCAGGATCTGCGTCTCTAACAAGCCGTTGGTGTGTCAGTGGAAAGTCACCAGGACTAGTGTTCAAATTATTCCCTAGGCCGTCATTTTCTAGATCGACTTACTGCGTCTGAGCAGGAAGCCACTTAAGGTCCTTAAGATCATACTAGTGCGTCAGCAAGGATAAGGGTTTAATGTAAATTGTGTGGGACAATTTGAAAAGGTAATCTTGTTGTTCTCAGCCAAAACTAATCTACTTTATAAGGTATTTGGGAACGGAGGAAGAGGAAGCCGCGTCGTGAACTTCCCAGCAGAAGGTAACGGGCAAAAACAGACCAAGCAGGTTGACCTCTTATTAGGCCGGACCATGTCAACACTGTAATAGAGAGACTTTGCAAAAGTAGACTCAACGATACTTGAACATAGATCTGTGTGTAATACTGCGTGCACTCAGGTAATCCGCACTCAATGACTGGCAAGGCCAGCGAGTCGTTGAGGACGTCAGGATCAGGCAGCACTAATGGAACGGACAAATAGAGTGTTCCTTTTGCACCTCACGCCAGGTGGTGTCCTTTTAAACGCCGATGATTACCCCCCAATCACAGCCTGTTGGTAGACATATAAGGAGGTTGATTTAGTTGGGTCAAGTTTGTGCTCCCTTTAATCAAACTCTTCAATTGGTAATTTGTTAACCGTTGGCAGGAGGACAGGGAACAAGAGAAAAGGTGTGTTTGTGTGCATGTGTGTGTGTGTGTGTGTGTTTTCTATCCTTGGTTTTAACATTGACAATAAAACAAACACAGACATGTAGTACCGCTAAGAACCTTTTAATGTTGTATCTGGTTTGTAAATACTTCAAAATATACAACTTTCTCACCTTCCTGTAGTCCCTGAAGGAGGTGAAGGAGAGGGTGGAGGGGGGCTATCGCATGGAGGCTCCAGACGACTGCCCCTCCGTTGTTTACTCGCTGATGAAGATGTGCTGGGAGCAGGAGCCACGCAGGAGACCCGCTTTTCACAAACTGAGAGAGAAACTTGAGCGAGAGATTGGCAAGCGCAGCCCGGACCCCGGGTCAGAGCGCCGGGACGGGGTCACATCGGCTTCCGGATGCTGATCTGGGTCTCGGGAATCTTTGAGGCCACATTGGTGGGAATAGACACACAGGCATTGTTACCTGCTTCTGAGGGTGTGCATGACACAAGATGGCCGGATGGATTACCTGCTGGATTTGCTTTAGCGGATGAGACGAGACAAATCATTATGGAACATTATGGAGCCATTACTGTACAAAACTTTGCTTCAGTGGCTCTTACTGGTCCATTGCCATGAAAAACTTTGCACTGGCAGTCATGGTCCCCATAGGATAGATCCTACCGACTCTGTTGGTTCCTCGTATTTTACTTTAGTACCATCCAAAGGAGGGGTGCAGCCTAACACCATCTCCGACACACTCCTTCAGACGACAAGGAGCATTTCTGGCATTTCCACAAATACTGTCTTTCTCTCTTTTTGATAATACAAAATGGTTAACAACACACAGACACCTTCTACGGCAACATGATAATAATCCTCTGGTCATTTGAAGCGACACAATGTTGAACATAATTGTGTTGTATGTCTTATTTGTCACGATCAAGGAAGTTATTGGTAAAACTCTATTATGAAATACTCATATTAGTATTCTGTATTCTCAATTAACATAATTTAAGTACTTGGTCTGAAAAAAAAGTAGTATCAGTGTATCTATAGTGAAAACAACACCAGCCACACACTGTGTTGGAGATACTGTGTATTAAGTTTGAATCTCCAGAATGACGTAACTTAGTCAGCAAGTTAAGAGCAACTGGGATTTTGTGTGTTTTTTGTCGTATAAATATGGTACCTATATGATCAAAGCCGAGTAAACACACGTTATTTGTATTTAATGTCAGAGGATCAAACGTACAAAAAAAGGTTTAGCTTGGATTTATTTTTAAATCACCCACATCTGCTTGTGTCTGCACATGTTCAGTAATATGTCATGGATTCAGAGCTTAATATATAGAATATTTAATATGAAATGTTATTTTTGGGATTTACATACATTTTTAAAAAAGCAGCCAGCATTTTGCTTATCTGCAGAGAAGGTTGTGTTGTTTTATTACACAGATAATCTGAAGGCCTTCAGTTAATTTAGCAGCTTTGTCCCTTTGGAGATGAACTTTGAACTTTTATTTTCCCAGAATTGGAAACCAAATACTCGTACTATTTTTGACACTTTGTCCATCAGGCTCCCGCTGACAGCATGCTTGGAGTGGGGGCTTTGATTCAATTCATTCAAATTCAATTTTCCCTTAAGACTAAATCAATGGGAACTATGACATTTATCACTACCTTCTCTTCCCTCTTGAGGATTTAGAGATTATAAAAGTGACTTTGTGTTATCCGACATCCTCTTGGGATATCTTATTCCTCATTTACAGAATGTTTTATGTATTATTATTATTATTATTATTTATGGATCCCTCTGGGTCTGAAATAAATAAATATATTATGTATTGGACATCGCATTATTATTATATATATACCTTGATACGTATGAATTCTATTTATAAATTTGTAACTTCCTTTCAACATATGTGATTATCAGCTTCTTTTCAATATTCCCAATGACGCTATTGCACATTTGGTTCAAAACTCACTACAAAATGAAGCCGCTTTTGTTTGATTGTCATGTCACAAGACCAAATTAAAGATGTCATTTGACTTTAAGTCTACGTAAGCCCGGTATTTGTCTTTGTCCCCGGAGACAAACACCAAATTGAGTCTTTATCCTCCGTCTCTCCTTATCGTACGGTGCAATCGAGGCTCCGCAACCTTCAATCTGCTCCATGTTTTCCTGGAGCTTTCTAATGGGATGAGCAGCAATTTTTTGCACAAGGATTTATAAAGGAACCAAATGTTTAAAAAACAACAACAGATGATAAAAGATTTGGTTGATTATATATTATCGGGTAAAGGATTTTTTTCTCTATTCCAGTGGTTACGTTCTTTCTCTTTGTCAATGTGTATTTTTTAAAGCACTGATGCAAAAATATCAGAACCAAGCTGGTACCCATAGTTTTAATGTTTTGTGCTCTCGATGTTCTCTCAGAGGGTCTTGTGTCCTTGTTCTCTTTAGTTTAACACGGTTTGTATAAACTGCAGTCTGCAAAGCACTAGTGAAACAACTCTAATTGAGAATATTCTTGAAGATCCACTTAAAGTCTTTATAAATAATATTTAGTGGTGAAGTCTATCGGCTGTAAAACTGCAGCTACACTAAATTTGTGAGTGTCACTGTTCCACTAATTTGGAGGGTGGTTTAGATTTACCTAGTGGGACTTAACTTGTTTAGCTTTTAGTAGATTGGGGTTACTTTAGATTGAATCAAACCAGCCATTTTAATTACCTGTTAAGATCATGGATATAGAAAGATAAATGGATACAGTGTTCTTGAAAGTGTTGGTTTTGCAGGCGATTAGATGGGCTGTTCATGCCAGATTTAAGACTAAAAAAAGTAAGAAAGGTAGAAAGTTGCTAACGCACTGCCAGATAATACGCCTCAAAAGGAAGCATCCACTAGTTTATAGATGTTTCCTTATGGAAGTCGATGCATGACCGAGAACCAGAGATCACATGAACTGTACCTTCCCCGTCACACCACCACCAGCAGCACAGTTTCTCTCCCCCTTTCTGCCCCCTCTCTCCCCCTCTCCCTCCCTCCCCTCCCCTCTCCACGCCACTCAGTAAGCTGACACTGTGCATTTACACGTTAGCTGCTTTTACCTCTAATAGGATCAAGGGGACTTACATTGTCATCTGATAAAACTAAGCAGCTTGATAACTGCACTGCTCCTTCTTAACCAATTTATGTGCAATAAGGATAACAGAGAAACAGTGGAAGGACAAAACTGTGTTAAGAAAATCACGAGTGGATAAACAAGTACCTTAGCCCCTTTGACTCCCACCTTGTTTTTTGGCCTCTGCTCCGAAAAGGGCATACCCATGATACAAAGTGTAACAACTCTCAAACTACTTTGTCTATCTGGACCATTTTTTTTCTTTCAGGATCGGGGAGAACAGGGGAACCCCTGTGAGTGTTCTAATGTGTAAAAATCAGTTTTTATGTTACTGGTGAAAAAAATAAATCAGTATAACACACAATTAAAACCTTTTGAATTTTTAGAATTGCCCAAAAAAAGTCACTATCAAGCCCGATAAATCACTGAGATACGAGGCTACAATCACATCTACGCCCAGCGTGTGGACAGTAAACATGCAAAGTTTTACTTTGATAGAGTGAAAGTCTGGATTCTTTCCTGTCCGGCTGTTGTTGGTGGCCAAATCGCACAATTCAACCACTTTTTGGAATTGTCTGATCCAATCGGATCCAACTCACACCACGCAGAAAAGGGTTTAAAAATGTCAGAGATAAAAGGCATTTATGATTCATATGCTTGGAGATAACTTTACTCCGGCCTTGGTGAGGTTTGTCTGAGATAAATTATACGGCTATATATATATACGACAACGCTGAATATATATATATATATATAATATATATATATTCAGCGTTGTTAGCTGGTAGCACAGCAAAGTGCCAATTCTCCGGACTAATTTGCATAACAAATATTTTCTGACTTGTTGGAGTTGCATTTGGAGGATAAGTGGAGAAGACTAATGTTTTGAATGGTCTGAAGTATTAATATATATTTGCACAAATATCTCATATTTGCACAACTTGCACTACCTTGTCATTCATATTCAAAACCCTGCTGCTTAACGTAAATACTGCTCCATGTATATTTCACGCTGTACATGTATTTATATACACTCTGCACTTCATCTGCTCTCTTGCACTTCTGGTTAGGTGCCAAACTGCCTTTCGTTCTCTCAGTACCTGTACTCTGCAATGACAAGACAGTTAAATCTAATCTATGTATTTGTGGTGAGTACAGGACCTTCCCCCTGGTAGTTGGTTCTGGCTGGGTTTTGTGCCCTTTCGGGCGACCCTCGGGCGGGACACACTGTCGGCCTGCTGGCGGTGAGAGTCATCCTGTAAACAGCCGGGTGACTCCAGTGGGAAGGATTGTTGGAGTATCATTGTTTATTGTCGTAGTGCACTCTGGTTTAAATGGCTGCGATGTAGATGATTATTCTCCTTTTCTTGTGGCAGACTTTCTCTTAAAAGTCTGCCGTTCTTAAAGATTAAATTGAATCAGCTGTCAAATCGGTTTGTCTAACTTGACTATATGTTTTAGGTCACAGGTAATCGCTTTACCGTCTTTAGAGTTGCGGTGGATTTCTGTGACCTTAAGCCGGGTTAAAGTCTGCTGCTTCACTGCAGCTAAAAGACAATTTTGAGCTGCAGCAACAAAGACACAAGATACAAGAATGTGAAGATGGTGAACCTGCTTACTTCTTGTCCCCAGTTTGTTGTCAACATATCATCTCTGACTGCATTAAATTTGTCCAATGTATTGTCGCATCGCCCTTCTCCTCCACCAGGTCGGTATTACTGTCCGACACTGTCGTCTGAGAAAGATGGAGGTTGCTCACAGAAAGCAAACACTTGTGTCATGTAATGTAATGTGTTATTCAGTTTGATCTTAAGTTTGGAGGGTTCCTTACAGTCTCGGTTAAAATGGGATTCAAATAGAGTCACTGCAATGCTTCTGAGTAATTTATCATATATTTCTATGGAATCGCGTTATTCGCATACTGAATAAAACGTTTCTCACTCATGATGTGAACCAACTAAAAACATTTTTATTTTATTTAAAAAAAAATGAATATCCTGAGCTGCTATGTCCTGTCCTTACTTTATTTGTTAGTAAAATTAGGTTTTACTGAATAAAACATAATCATGTCAAAAAAGGTCAAAACAATGTCACGTCATGAAACAAGACAAATCGCATGTGCAAAAGTAACAGAATCTTAAATCATTTTTGGAAATTTTGTCCCCTCTTTGTATTGTAATTTACTGTTTTTTACATTGGGATTTTTAATGTAAATATTTAAAAAATCCAAAAATGAAGATTCAATGGTCAAGATAATCTAATTCTGATGTTAGTTTTAACATATATAATTTGAAAGTTTCCCTTTCTGAATGTAGTTCCAATGATTAGGGAGGGGTGGCGGGCTTGGTGGGCTTAGTGTGCTTAGTGCGCTTAGTGAAAACTTTCAGTGGGCCTTTTGTCTTTAAAACAATACATTTATGAAAGAAAGTCTTGTCCAGGCTTCATTAGCCGAGGCCTCCTGCTGTGGGGGTGAATAGAAATGACATTTAAAACAATTACTTCTGCAGGAACCAGCTGCCAATCACTCTTACACGGGAAGGATTCCAATTATTAACCTTCTCTTAATCCCAACGTTTCACCTCACCCCCCACTCCTCCCGCCCTCCCACCCCCCGCTTTGTCCTCCTCTCCCTCTCTCCGTCTTTCTCCTCTTCCACTCTCCTCTCCCAGCCCGAGTGCATGACGTCTCCACTCAGTTGTTGAATGCTTTATTTTTTTTTGCACTGGGCGGCTGCAGTTGCACTTTATTGGAGGTTTATTCTGTCGGGACTGTTTTGCCACATAGAGAAGTGATTCAGAGAGATGCGAGGTAAGAAAAGCCGGCTGAGTAATTGCGAGCTCTGCACATTGCGGACCTGGGACGAGTGAAGTGTGAGGGGGAGCCGCCGAGAGGAACAGGTGGAGCACTGGCATCATCAGCTTTAACAGTTCAGCGTGATTACTTCAAAAAGGTAAGCTCTACATCATTATCTCGTTTTATGGCTGTTGTGCTTTTCAGTGAGGCTGATTGTGTTACTTGTCGTGCGACCTGAGATGTGTGAGTCCGGTGCTCTGTGGCTTTACTTTAGTTTCAACAACACACGTTGGTGTTGTTGAAACTAAAGTATGAAAATTAGCAAACGCAGAATTAATATCGGATAAGATATTCACCCCGTTGGCAAAAAATGTGGCAGAATAAGGGTCTTTTTCATCTTTCTTCTTCTTTGTATTATTTCCACAAATTTCCCTCATTGTTTTTTTAGCAGCATCCATTATTTCACCCAAACCATATAAACCGTGAAGTGAAACAGTCAGTATTACAGACATCACATGGTTTGTTGCTCTTTAAAGATTTGGATCCCTTCTGCAGTTAAAATATCATACTCACAAAACATGGCTGATTTCTGTAATAACCTTACAAAGTATTGCGAGATACATTATCAGAAAAGGGACTAGGTACGTGTCGTTGGTATGTACTTTCATTTACACAACAAAGTTTTTATGAGAAAAGTTCTCTTTGTTTCATTAAGATGTTTAATTCTGCAGCTCATATTCATTGACCCTTTATGGCCCTTAGTGCTCATCATTCATAATAAAGAAGTAGGGATTATGAGGCAACTTGTGTCATTAGTGTCCATCAGTGCTCTCGTTAGTACTGTAGCTCTAAAGGATAGATACTTGAGCTCCGGCGTCCACGGAGGCTAAGCGGGTTTGTATGAAAGGTCATCTAAAGTCCCCAGGTGATCCCTGACCCACTATTGTAAATTCACTCCTCCACTTAAACCCCTTTCTGCTGATTTTTAGTGCCCAGACGCGCGGATGCATTTATCACTGGACACCATGAGCATGGTGGACGACAGCTGCCTCTCACCCGGCAACTTCCACGAGATGGGCAAAGGTGGGGGCGTCGCTGTGGGGGGCCGCGTCCACAGCATCGATGTCATTCTGGGTTTCAGCAAAGACCAGGACCCCCTGCTCAGCCCCGACGGGCCCCCGCGGCCCCACAAAGTGGACATAGATGGCCTGGCGGAGCCTGGCAGACAGCAGGAGCCCACATCGCACCCAACCTACAGCGGGCACCTTTCCTCTCTGAGAAACGGCAGCACGGAGCAGCAGCAGTACCACGGTGAGTTAAGCTGCCGCTGAAGGACTCGGGCCTGTGTGGACTTTCTACCGCCATGTCACCGTTAAGAGCATTTAGGTCCACATCACCTCGAAGGTGGATTCGTTCAGTGCAGATGTTCCTTCGAAGTTCGTTACTAAAGACGAAGTCTGATCTTTTGTCTGAAAACATTTGGGATGGTCGAGGATATTGATTGAACAGCAGGACCTCTGGTCTTGGAAGGACGGATAAGTATGAGCTGCGGGTTCAGCCTTTCAGAGATTTTAATTGGATTTGATGGAATTGATTTGGCTGCACTGAAGTTAGGATATTGATGCGTGTGAGCAAACATAATACATTTGGACTGGAGCGCTGACTAAATCTTTTTGGCCACAAACGTAGATTCAGTCTTTCAGCGATTAAAAATAGCCAGGATCGACTTGTGATCAATGAAAATCTTTAACCATTAACATTGAAGGGTTCAATACATCCACTAAAAAGACATAATACTCAGTTCAAGCAACAGTCTCCAACCCTGTATTGCCTTTTAAAAGGAAAACATTTATTGTTAAATATTCTTTAAATGTTTGCATGTTGACAAATCTGCACTGTAGGCCTTCACTATAAAAAGCAGCATTGACAATGTTTGACCGATGATAAAAAACATGGACCTATTTTAATAAAGGTGAGGTGCTATTGGATTTTTAAAAACAGTCACTTTTCAAAATCCCCGTGTTACGGACTGTCGCCATGTGGAGCGTGTTGCGTGAACCGTGTTGAGAGATAAATCGCAGGACAAGATGGTGTAGAGGGTTTATGTCCCCGAACCCAATCCCACCCCCTTGTGGAATTCCCCTAATCTTCTCTTCTTTGCAGATTAGATTGTACAGTAGTTCATTCCGGTGTTATCGTTTTGTCTCGGAATCAAATTCATCACGTTTAATCTGAAGCTATTCTCACATGCAGTATCTGGCAGGTGGTTGGTGATTTTTGTGTCAGAAACCCCGCCTCCCCCTAAAAAAACAAAACTCAGAAAGACAAAATTCAGTCCCTGAATCCAGCCAGACATTTGTTTTTTCTTGATTAACATACATCAACATCCATGACATCACTCTTTTGTGTGCAACAATCCTGTGAAGTCGGCCCGGTTCCCCCGAAATGAGTCATTTTCGGGTGTTTGGTGTCGGCCAGCCCCCTCCTGTCCGCTCCGAGATGTTCTGCTGGTTGAAAAACAGTGGGCAGCCTTCAGACCAGTGGCTGTGATGGGCTGACAGGCCAAGAGCTGGTCACTGAACCAGACCGGACCTCTGCCTTTGTCCGGGCCTGGCCTTTGTCATGGCTGCTTAATGAGAGGTGGATAAATGAACCCCTAAAGATCCTGCTTTGCCTTTGCCCTCAGCTCCCGTTTGCCAGTTGAAAGACCACAAAGCCGCCCCCCCACCCTCCCCATCTCCATCCCCTCCTCCTTTATCTCCATACAATCATCTCAGTCACACAAACATGCTCGCATTTACATTGGGTTGTTTATGAAACATTGACATGAAACATGATGTTGCTCCGTATCTGCTGTTTGTGTGACTTAGAAGGTTGTTGTGTTCACAACTTGTGTCTTCTGTCCCAAAGTGGCTCCATAGAAAACGCTACAAAAACCGAGTGCATATTTTTGCTGAACAATGTACAGTAGGAGTTCATTTCATTTGGATCATGCTGAAGGTGAATATTTACCATACTAGATTATTCCACTAATGTTAACAAATATTTCTTCCTGCTCAGATGCCAAAGTTGCATTTCTTACTCAACACTGCGTTGTGAATACTAATACTTCTCCCAGGAAAGTTATTAAAAGTTTAACCTACTGTTCTGTGTTTTATGGTACCGGATTCGGGAGCACAGCTTCACAAAAGACTGATCTGATGACCGGATCATCATCTTTATAATTGTTTAATTAAATTACTTGGTGATTAGACTAATACGGTTAAACATTTAATCCTTAACCCACTGTGTCATTTTCGTCTGTATTATCCTGTAACTGAAAGTCATGTACAGCAATTTAAAGCAATAACGGAATAAGGAAGCGAGAGAAGAATTGAGACAAAATTATTTATAATTAAAATTTGCCTTTAAGGATATAAGGACTTTTCAGTGGCTGGTGCTCACAAATGTTAACAGGACATGGAGGTTTTTTTGTCACCTTTGTGAAGTCAACACAAGTTTTCTAAAGTCAAATACTGATTTACAAAAACACCTAATTCGTTTTTCCTTTGTGTTGAACAGATAGCGGCTTTTTCGCCAACAAGTGCGACGAGGAGCTCAGTGAACTGAGGAAGACTGTGGAGAGTGACGAAGGCAAGTCTCCCGAGCCGTGCAAGGACGAGCAGCCCAAGAAGAAGCACCGGCGCAACCGCACCACCTTCACCACCTACCAGCTGCACGAGCTGGAGCGTGCCTTTGAGAAGTCCCACTACCCGGACGTGTACAGCCGCGAGGAGCTCGCCATGAAGGTCAACCTCCCTGAAGTCCGAGTTCAGGTAGGAAGGAACCACAACATCACAAAAGTATTTAGGTGTGCTTCTCTCGTCTATAAAGCCAGAGATGTTTTGTCTGTTTACGTGAGGAAGTATTTAGGTTTGTTTTTTCTATTTTAGAATAATTCGAATAATCCGACTCCCACAAGCAAAGAGCTGGCAGATACCTTAAGACTTAAAGAATTAGAGACGTGGCATTTGGCCATTGGCTTTCAGGTGAGGAGATCGGATAAGTCATGCGAGCAAGAAGCTGTACTTTTAAAACTGTATGATGGCTTCTTTGGCCTTGTGGCTACTTAACTGCACAAGGCTGAATTTTAATAACTCTGCAGCTCAAAATGCTTCCATTCCATTCACAATTACCGATTAGGTCCCCACACATTTGAAGGAACATAATTAAACACAAATCTGAATTGATGGCGTATCACATCCATTAAGTTTACATTTTGATACCCGTTGAAACTTTGTGGACAAAACAGTCAATTGCAACTTTTCTGTCCTCCAGGTCTGGTTCCAGAACCGCAGAGCTAAATGGCGTCGGCAGGAAAAAATGGATGCCAGCACCATGAAGCTGCACGACTCGCCGATGCTTTCCTTCAACCGCCCGCCGCAGGTTCATACCAGCATGGGGGCGATGACCAATTCCCTCCCCCTGGACCCGTGGCTCTCCTCCCCCCTGTCCAGTGCCACACCGGTCCACAGCATCCCGGGCTTCATGGGTCCACCTCAGGGCCTCCAACCCAGCTACCCCAGTCACGGCTTCCTCAACTCCTCTCCTCATCCTCCTCATCCTCACTCTCATCCTCATCCGTCTATGGGCCAGGGAATGCAGAGTATGGCCCCTCCTCCCTACCAGTGCACAGCGCCGTACAATGATAAGTACCCTCTGGAGGACGTGGACCAGCGCAGCTCCAGTATCGCTGCTCTGAGAATGAAAGCCAAGGAGCATCTCCAATCCATGGACAAGACCTGGCATCCCATGTGACTAAATGAACTATCCGTCCACGTGAATGACATTGGGAAAGGGAGGTGTTGTCAGTGAGTAACATGTTGAGAAATACGGCAGTGGCTCGTCTTATACCCATAGAGCAAAGGAAATTAATTTTGTACTGTGAAAACTGAGGATTTTTGACGTCCTCCCTTTTTTTGTTCCTCATCTCAAGGACATGAAGCATACAAGTGAACTCTATAGTTTGGTTGAGTTGCTCATTTTAAAACCACCAAATTCCAGATATCCGTTCTCCCTCGAATATGAAAGTGTTTAGCAATGCCTTGGGTGCTTCAAAGGAAAATGACTTCTTGCACTCTGGAAAGCCAGAGAATGTCTTTCCTGACCAGCCATCTTTTTTTAAATGACAGACCTTTGTGTTTTTACTGCCACAATTACCCATCGATAAATGCGTACTTCCAACCATATTCCTTAACGGCTTGTCTGCTGATAACAGGCGGCAGGTTATCAGGGGTCACAAACACACTTTAAACATATATGAAAGAAATTGTAAAGTTGTTTTTATTGTCTAGAAATGTTAAGCAGACAGCTTTCCATCAACAGGATGTTTGTTTAAACTGAGAATCCCCCAAATATGGGTATTGTTGTTCTCATCATCTCATGTTTTCTTTTTCTTCTATTCTCCCATTTTTTTTTTTACCAAGTTTGTGTTTTTACGAATTAATCCAATCGTCATTTTCATGGGTCAGCTAGTCAGCGTCTGAGACAACTGTGTGGAGGAGAATCCCGTCTCAGATTAATGTGAGCACAGCTTTAAAAAGCTACGACTGTGACGTCACATTCAGATCTCACTCATCTTTTGACTCATAAAAACATGTGTTTAAGCTTCCCTCACTATGTTTTTTTTTAACTGGTTGCCCAGTTGAGATATATATTTAGATTACCTGGTATGACTGGCAAAAGGACCAATGGGGACCAATGGGGCCGACTATCTTGTTTCCAATATACGGTAAGAGGACAATCAAACAAGTATCGATGGCACCTTTAAAGCGGACCACGGCTGAACATATACCAAAAATAGTTCTGCACAGTTTCTGTGACCTGTGCAAAGATTGCTTTAAATAAGTATGACAGAAAGAAAGAAAGACAGACAGACAGAAATAAATAATAGAGAGCAGAGTAACTCTCTTTTTGCTTGAGTGGCTGTTGGAGAAGAAGACCCGTTGGCAGCTCGGTGTTGGGTGGCTGCGTGTACGTGCAGGGCAGCAGAAAAAGCCCTGTGTGATGCGTCACCCCAAATAGTTTAGTCTTTGTTCTTCACAATTGATCCAAGTGTATCCTCTTTGTCTAAAAGAGGCGGAGGAGGGGGTCGTGAGAGGGTGGGGGGGACAGTCTCAGGCTGCACTAAAGAGGCCCTTGTAATCATTTTGTCATGGAGTTTTTTTTTCTTTCTCAATCAAAGGAGGAGAGACATGGATTTTAGCTACGGTCATTAGTGACACAATATTGTTCTTTTCTGTTACAGAGTCAAGCTCTAGTTGTCTTCATATGTGTTTCACATGAGCTGTAGAGAGAAAATAGATTTGAATGAGACATTTTTGCATCGCAAGTAGCAAATAACTGAATGTGTACAGCAAGACAAATTCTTTGTTAAGGAACACGAGGGACAGAAAATCCTTCAGCTTAAAGTGCAATTTCAGACCACCCATAATTTTTTTGACATGTATTTCCTTTCTTTTTTTTATGGGAAGAAGACACATTTCCCCCTAACTACCTATTACATGGTTGTGATATTTATAAAATGATTGCTGACAGCAAGTCATGCATCCACACTGACGGCAGCGGCAACAACAACATTAATTGTTATTTTTTAATTTCATTTAAAAACCCATAGCTGTACCGCTAACAGACGAAAGAAACCCAGATATTAATTTTGTTATGCTGTTGGATAGTGATGTTTAGACTTCCTATTGTACAATGCCAGGATCTCACACTGTTGAGGGAATAAGGATTACCTTGCACGTTAAGAGCGTCTTTAGGATGCTAAATACAGTAAATGTGGACCAAGAATAAGCCAAAGGTTAGATACAGGACAAAAATGCACTAGAAGTTTGAGTTGGTTAGTTGTTTTTTTATGCGTGAAAAGTTTAAAATATTTGCTTGAATGGCTGTTTGGTTTCTCACATGTCCTAGTTATATCTGTCCTAGTGACCTCATTGTTTTCTTTCTTTTTGACTTTGTCTGGGGTCGTTGATATCCATATTCTGGAAAGGATCTAATGAAAAAATAAATATAGTTTGATAGAATATCTGTCTCCACTTTCTCACTGCAATGCTTTCATGTTGACCTGTGCACTTATTCCCACACGGTCACCGTATCCCCCCCCCGGTAAGTCTAAAGAGCAGTCCAAGATTACTACAGTATAATCGTTATCATCTGACATGGGCAGAGACATTTTTCTTTCTTTTCCTCTTAACACACTTGTGCCCCGTCTCTCTCTCTCTCTCTCTGTCATGTAAGAGCTCTTTCTCTCTTTTGTACCCCTCCCAATCCTCTCTGCTGTTCCATGGTTTGGTGGCAGGGTGCCAGCCTGTTAGGAAGATGAGACTCCAATCAATCAGCGCTTCCCAGGGGGGCCTCTGACCACAGGGCCCGACGCCCTAATTGCCCCGGAGGCCGACCGGCAGGCTCAGCCGCTGCAACACATGTTCACAGAGGGGCCGGTGCCGCCATGCTAGCTGCCCTCCTCAGCGTGTGAATCACTTTCTTGGGACAGATGGGGACCTGGATGAACCTCTCTACCACGGCCATATGGATGGACCAGTGGAACAGGAAGAAATGTCTCTTTTACGTGTCCTGAACCGATCACATACTGAATGGTGGTTCGTGCCACTCATCAGTTACTACTAGGCTTAATTTTCCAAACGCCATTAAGCAACACTTATTGCTGTTGTGACGGCCTGTCCGTCGACCACTTTATGACCTTTGACTGGATGAGAAATGTATTTTTTATTGCAAGCAATCTGGATCGGGATAAAATATGTTGCAGTTTGGAAAACGGGTTCAGAATTGTATTTTTGAGCAGCGGACAGTATCTTTTTTTCAGCCAGATGTTGGGGGTTTTGAGAAAAGAACCTCAAGGTGGATTAGTGATTAAAATTGAATGGTAACGGGAGGGAGAGGCACAAACTGGGGCTGGGGCCTGTTGTTAATAGGGATTAGAAGTAAAGGAAGTTATGAATCATGTGCCTAAACTTGATCTGTTCAGAAAAAAAGAAGAAAACTCATATTTGAGTTCAACTTTAAGGGATCACACAAATTGCCTTTTACTCTGTATAAACTGTAGCAAGTTCAGAGATTAGACTACAAAGGTTTTTAGGACTCTCACTTCTTTGACATGTTATTTTTTGTTGTTGAGTTCCGTCTCATGTTATTCCCAAAGAGATAAAGAAACTTTATGCTGAATTGATTAAAAAAAAGGAAAAGAAAAATTTACTTGAGGGGATAAAAGATAATTTGACAGAGTGAGTCAGAGTGGGAGAAAGGAAAAATTGAACTATTAAGAAAGATTATGCTGGAAAAAGTGTGGGAGAGAGAGAAAGAGGGAGACAGAAGGAGGAAGAGTGGAGAGGAAGAGGGGAAGGAGGGAGGGAGGGAGGGAGGGATGGCTGCTCATCGGAGTTAATGATGTAGAAAATCCCCCAATTAGAGCGTTTTCCTGTGTTGCAGGATGAGTTCAGAGCGGGGTCCTCTGACAGCCCGAGGATTAGTGCCCGGGCCGGGCCGGGCTGGGCTGGGCTGGGCTGGGCAGACACTAACTGACTGCTGGACAGCTTGGCACTGCTCAGCTGGAGCCGGGTCGGGGCTGTAGCCCCAGTCAGTGGCTCAGGGAAGGCATGCGTTTAGTCGTAGTGGGTGCATGGGAAAAAGAGCAGCGGCAGATCAAAAATGAAAAGAATAGGTTCTGTTTGTATTCTGTGCTCTGCAAAGTGGCACATGTTTACAAATGTGAGCCAAATAGGATTTCAGCTGCTGCTTTTGTAAGCCACTCTCTTATCTTATCTCTTACTAAGCGCCGAACTTCTCAAAGTGTACCTATGTTTGGAATCACTGAGGATTTGGAAACATCCCAGGAAAAGATATGTGAGAACACCGGAGTAATACCATAGAGTGTTAACATTGTCTCAGCTCAATGGTCACTGCTGACGCATTGAACAGCATTACATTCATAACATTGACCAACCTAATCCGGATTGTATTGAAAATCAATCCGTCGACATGCTGCTTGATGTTAAATCTTGTGGTGGTTTAACACACAGGAACACAGCCTTTAATCCTGCTTATCGTACTGGAAAACAAATCTGAACATCAGTCTTACAACGATGAAACATGACCAATAAAAGCATAATGCTGTGATCACATGTAAGTCAAATATATCAATATATAGAAGCAGGGATATTGGACTTGAGTCGCAGACAAGTCGGGATCTTGAGGATTTCAGCCGCGACATTCATGCTTGACCCCGTGGTCTCATGTGGCAAATGTTCCAAGAGCAAAGTCGGCATACTCCGCTGTATGTTCAGCTTTTCCAAAGGCTCCTCGGCAAAGACTTGAGGTAGGACTTTAGATCGGATTTATAGATTGGAACTGACTTGAGAATATGCATTGGCTTGCATAGCTTCACAACCTGATTATGGTTATGCATTAAACAGTTATAAAAGATAAACATAAAACATTAGTGACAGAGCTTTATTCCAATAGTGTGTTTTTTAATGGTCAACGTTCAGTAACTTGAGCAGGAAGAGGTCAATAGTGAAAATGCAAAACGTCAACGTAAATGAAATGTGGGAGAAGTACACTTTTTGCTAATGATTTGAAATTGTCTGCTAGTTTTCTTGTTGTCAAACTATAGTCAAACCAAAAAGCCCAAAACAACTATGCAAATAAATTAGGAACATACAGGTAGCCTGGTAATTATAAGTGTGCACCAATTATCTTACTGAAATGATCACGATCATGAAATGACTAAATTTCTAATAGGAAGACTAGTCATTTGGAGGAAGCCCTAACTCACCTAACAGTTACTGTGTTCATTAACAACAACCGAGACCATAATGACTAATTGATTAATTGCACAGTCTATTATTTCGCTCCTGCAACCCAGTAGATCTGAAAGGGCCCCGGCTGGAGTTAACAGTCTTATTGGAGAGACGCGTTCCTCGCAAGGAACAATAAGGGAAAATAGCGGAATTAATTGGGTTTGATTAAGGGAGCTTTTCAATGGGACACAGCTTTTTTGCATGACATAATTAGAGGTCAGCGAAGAGAGGGTGGAAGGGGGGGGATTTGCCTGTTGGCGCCAGTGTTGTGTGGGTGTGTCTGTGAGAGAGAGACTGATAGACAGACAGACAGAGAGAGAGAGGGAGGGACGCTTCCTGCACACTTGTAGAGCTATGGTGTGTGTCTGATGTGGTATATTTCTATAGGCTCACTCACCAGAAAACCCACAGTGTTCACAGGGGGGCCTCTGTGTGTGATTATTATCACTACACTTGTCAGCATTAAAGGCACAGTGCTCGGCCTTTTGTTATAGCTACATGCTCATTAGCAGTGCACTGCAGAGACAATGTTAGTGAATAGAAGAGGGTGGTGACACAAGAGGACATTCAGTCATGTTTTTGGATGATACAAACAGAAACACACACTATGAATTTATAATACTGTTACAGTGTATTGGAAAAAGCAGCGTACACAATCCATCGGATCAAATATTACATCTGACCTGTCATGACCACGCCTGATTAGATTAACAAATATTTCATCGCGGGTCTCCATCTGCAGGTTTATTTTTCACATAACAGTTTGGATTTCACTTGTTCTTTGTTTGACAGGGATTATGGACACATTCGCCCCCAAACCGTTCAGAGAAGTGAAACCCACAGACAGCAGGCATCCAACTAATCGAACAAGTGTCCTTGAGCAAGGCATTAGACCGCAAGCTACATGAAACAGAGGGGCATTGTCTAGGATACTTTGTGTTTTCCTCTGCATCCTTTTCTCCGTCAGCCACAGACTCCAGACCAGCTGTCCCAATGAGCTTATTCTCTATTGGCATTAGCTGCCTTTTCCTTCTTCCCCAGGACACTACAGCGTAGAGGATGTTACTGGCCACAGTGGTGGAAGATTTTGCACAGACAATCGTTAAGTAAGAAACAAAGGCTCTGAGTCAAGTATGTCTTTTCTCCGTTTATTTCCTTGCAAGGGAAAAAGGGTCACAACAGCTACGTGGTCAGTAGACTGTCAAGAACCTCCTTTTTTTCCCCCAACACATCGAGGCAGTTCTTATACCTAAGTTTAGATATCGGTGGCGTCAACAGAAACCTTTGACCATCTTGTTGAGTATCTACAGCCAGGGTTCTGGGAACATCTTATCCATGTAAGACACGTCAGTTCTTTGACCGTGTCCTTGCTCTCCCAACATGCTAAAACAAAGGTGGTCATAGACATAACAAACACTTTGTTCAATCTCCACAGCTATGACGCTGGAACCATCTAATCCAAGAGGGAGACATCAGTTTGTATGTCAGGGCCTTTGTGATCTAACCACTTGCAACTAATAAACTGGTTATACAAATGAAGCATTTAAAAGGGTTACATATCATTTTCCCATTACAAGGTGAAGCGTACCTTTACAGTATGTTTGGTGGTAGTGATGAATGCTTTCCTCTTGGACAGCTCGGCTGCATCCAGGTTGAACTTCTTTGGGTTGGACTCAACAATGCGTTCACTGAGAGTTAAGAGGCATGTTTATCTGAAAAGGTTCACACTTAAAATGGCTGAGCTCACAATAAGCAAACAAAAAAGAACACTTCTGTTTTTCAAGGATATTGATTGTCTCGTCGAGGTCCTCCAGGTCCCACTCGATGGAGCGCAGACTGTTCCTCAGTTCATTGGTCGTCCAGTCCATTTCCTCCTTGGAGGCCCCGCCCCCCTCCTGCAACAGCTCGCTCCATCTGTGATGGAGGCTCTGTGCTGCGTTGACAGCCTTCTGCACCTCACTGTAACAAACAAACATAACGCATCAGTGATGGTGACTCTGCGTTGCCTTCAGTGCCGTACTAACATCAGGATGCAGCAATCAGACAATAACAACACTCTGGCTGGATACCGATCCGCCACCAGTGTCTGATCAATACACAGCCCACCTCCATGTGTGGAAGGGACTAGCACCCTTCTTCCAGTATGTAAGAATATGGGGTCGTCGTGGCGCAGGGGGTAGAGTGGGTGCGCTGGGAACCACAAGGTTGGTGGTTTGAGTCCCGGCTGCCCCATGTCTCAAGTTGAAGTGTTCCTGAGCAAAACACCTAACCCCTAATTACTCCCTGGGCTAAATGTGAAAAAGCCATGGGTTTAACGTGTAATGTAAGTCGCTTTGGATAAAAGCGTCTGCTAAATGACCTGAAATGTAATGTAAGATACAATCAGACCAAACAAACAATGCTTCCCTGACTTTTAAACTAATAATACATCTGAGGGAGTTGTCATGTCTGTAACAATTATGTTAGACAATACTGGTTAGTACTACTAGTAGAAGGGAGGCGTCTTTAATTATTCAGATTGTTAATTTGAAAATGTATGATTAAGTTACAATATGGGCTGGATGATAAGCATTTAAAGTCGATATAATGAATTCACCGTCACCAGCAACGGCATAGTGGGCCGCCACAGTCTCAGTAGTTCATGGGACACACTGATGGTAACTGATCTCAGATCAGACTAGTCAACAATACGCGATCCAGCCGTTTGAGTTCATGTTAAACAGGTACAAGATATTGGTACAGAAACACGTTACTATAAAACACAAAACAGATAGTGTTTTGAAATTAATTCTATACTGACAAACTGATCATCAACACTAGCTCCACTAACAGCATAGCAACATGCTAACAGGCCAACTCACAGCACACTGAAAGCCAGCGTTAGGAGTCGGCTATGGTTTCTTCTGCGTGCTTCTAAGTAATAAAGTTAATTCGGTTTCAGTCCCTGTGGTTTGCTAGCGAGTCTCGGCAGACTAACAATAGCTACTGGCCTGCTGTTAGCATTAGCGTGGTTAGCGTAAAAACTGCTCTGACCCTTTGACGACGAAGAATGGATCTTCCATAGACATGTTGCTGGTTCCGGTTCAGTCGGAGCGGAGCCCCATCACACACACAGACTTTCAGCTTCAGATCGAAAAAAGCAAACCCTGTTCAATGTCTCATTTATTTAACTGCGGTTGGCTCCATCGAAACTGCTGTTGCTTCTTTGTTTACATGCAGCGGCTTCCTCGGCGGAGGCGGGCCACTGACGTCACGAAAGCTGTTCTTCTTCTAGTGTTATCCTGGTATTCACGTGTAGCTGATTTGAGCATTTCTGCCGCCTTCTGTTAGGGAGTTTAAATCAGCCAACACTAAATCCTTAAAAAAGACAACTACACGAAATCGTAGAAAATACACTAGTCTGTTGTGTAATAATTATTCAGATAAATATGCAGCGTTTGCTGTTGTACGTCATTTAACACAGATTCTCATTATCTGTTCATCTTACACTGTTTTAACATTATATACTGTAAACGTTCTTAGAGAACAGCCAGCTATACATGTCTTTAGCTGTAAATACTAACAATATAGTATATGTTACACTATACCCTGTATATTTATTATGCTAATAATATATTGTATATTACATTATATTCTGTATACATATTATGTACGTACTGAGAGAATAGTAAACTATAAACGTTGTTAGCCGTAAATACTGTACTTTAGTACAAGTGTCATGTCTATAAATGCATTTATGTTGGTGTCACGCCACATGTTAGTTTATAGTTGTGTTCACGTGTGTTTGACTGCATTAATTACTAGTTGCATATCACAGATGTTACTCAACTAATAAATGAGGATCTTGTAATAGATTAAACCACCAGAATTGTTTAAAGTCAGTCAAATATAAACACATTAATGCCTCAATGATTAGGATAATATATTATATATTTGGCATCACGACTAGTTTTAATCTTTCATTAAAGTTCATTTTGATGCTAAGTCCCTGAAGCCGATGTACGAGGGACTGGCACAGCGCTACAGCGCTGCAGGCATAGAAAAGGCACAATAACAGTGGGTAGACAGGTAAATAATATCAATATTTTTGACCATCATTGGTGACACAAACAGCTCATAGTCACAACTTAGATTACTTTTCATTTTTTCCAGTTTCATTAAAGAAATGCCCTTTGCATTCAATTTTATTTTGATGACCATATCCACTGGAGCACACATGGTGGTCTATATGACTGATGTCACATTGATGGCTTTCCTTTTATTTTTTCTTTTAGGGATTGCTGTGTTGCACTCAAGGTGGCAGAATCGTCTGCAGGAGAACATCTGAAATGGGATTCTTGGAGAACAACGAATTGCCAATGTCACTTATGGTAAACTCCGAAACACATGTGCTTCAAGATCACATTTTAATGCAAACATTAATATCAAGCTGGACTTGTTTCACTGCATGAGGCGGTTCCTCCGTGAGTGTGTGTCGGAGCATCACGCCCTGTACAGTTCCTTTGCTCAGTTCCTCTGGACTGGGACAAGCACAACAGCAAGACAGATCACACCCAGGCCCCGAATCCACCTCCTCAAAGTGATCCACTCGCTACCCAGTCGGAGGTTCCTCTGTCATCCTCACTGGCACCATCAAGGTTGTTCCAGTTTTCTCCATACATTTGTGTCACTTTTCCATTTTTTTACAAGATGTGGAAATACATTTAGGGTGTTATTGAATAAACATTCACATACAAATACCAGTCTTTCATGAGATTTTAATAAAAGTTTATATTTATTATACAAGTATTTGATTCAATAGGTCAGAATGACTTATTATACTCCGTCTTTTGTTCCTGTAGAAACTCCACGTCCGCCGTCGCTGGCAGTTATCGACCAGCTGCTCAACAAACCCCGTGAGCAGAAAGACATGCTGAAGCTTGTGGACCAGGACTACGCTGCTCTAGTTCACAACTCCTGTACAGACCCCAACAGCATGCTCCACCCAACAACAAAACTATATATTCTACAATATGTAAAGCACCTCAGCAAATTGTTGAACACCAGTTCCTCTTTAAACGTCAGTCCAGAAAAACTGCAAGAGAGGCAGAAACTCTGTCACTCTCTGACAGAGGTGAGTGACACCACTAGTGTGCCAGTTGTTACGATGTCTGTTGCAATTGTTCACCCACCTCCACCTGTTCAGATGCTGACACAAGCTTCTATTGAGAAGATTGTACTCAACATCATGGAAAAGCAGCAGCAACATAAACAGGAACAACAACAACAACAACAACAACAACCAAGTTAATATATTTCAATTGCTAATGTCTACATGTGTAATAAGTGAAAATAAGTGAATCACTGTAGTGAACAGTAAAATAAGTTGGTCTGTAAGTACAATCTAGTGATAACCAGTAGACAGCAGATTGGGGTAAACATTTCCTTTATTTGTTATTTGAGAAGGATGAGGTAGGAGGGAGTGGGAGGTGAAGGAAGGTGTTCTTACAGGTGTCCAGTCTCAGGCACGTTGATGTTGACGTCCTGGATGGTCTCCTTTTTCTTCTTGCCTTTTCTATAAAGCCGACCAATTTTAAAATAAAAACAAAAATGAAAATACAATATTTAAATAAATGTACATGAAATAAAAACAAGGCAGAAATGAGGTAAGGTAAATGTGCAAACCTGATTAGGTTGTAAAAAAAAAATAAGCAGCCAGAGAATCCCTCTGGGATTTCTTTCTTTTTTAGATCTTTCTTATTTAGATCTCTTTTTTTTTTTTTTAGATCTTTTTTTAGTGTTTCTCAAAATTTTTCTTTTTCAGGGTAGATGGATGAGGTAGGATGGAGTGGGAGGGGAAGGAAGGTGTTCTTACAGGTGTCCAGTCTCAGGCACGTTGATGTTGACGTCCTGGATGGTCTGCTTTTTCTTCTCTCTCCTATTTCTTTGTCTCCTTGTCCTGCATCTTATGCCTCATTTTGTCCATCTCCGTCTGCCGGTCTTTTTTTTTTTTTTTTTAAAGTACAGGCAGATGTTTTTAAGGACTGTTTTGTTGTCCTCTAATTCTTGGATCCTGGTGATAAGGATCTGATGTTCTTTGGGGATGGTATTCTCCGTTTGTTGGATCTTAGCGATCAGGCACAACTCAGTGAAACCACTGCTTGTGACCATCTCGTGGTGGGTATCCTCTTGGCTCTTTTTTTAAGCAGCTAGAGACTCCCCTCTGGGTCTCCAGCAGTTTGTGTTCTGCTTCCCACTGCTGCCAGGGGAAGGGCGATTTGCGTTTTTCTTTTAACAGTGGGGGGATTTGCTCTTTTTTTTTAAAGTAAAGGCAGATGTTTTCAAGGACTGTTTTGTTGTCCTCTAATTCTTGGATCCTGCTGATAAGGATCTGATGTTCTTTGGGGATGGTATCCTCCGTTTGTTGGATCTTAGCGATCAGGCACAACTCAGTGAAACCACTGCTTGTGACCATCTCGTGGTGGGTATCCTCTTGGCTCTTTTTTTAAGCAGCTAGAGACTCCCCTCTGGGTCTCCAGCAGTTTGTGTTCTGCTTCCCACTGCTGCCAGGGGAAGGGCGATTTGCTGTTTTCTGTTAACAGTGGGGGGATTTGCTCCTGTCTTATTATGTGGATAATGTCTACGCCCCGTTACGAGTACAGCAGCGTCACAAGTCCGTCCTCCTACACCTCGACGTCCTATCGGAGCGGCAGGAATCCCTCCACACGAAACCCCACTGGGTTTCCAATACGCGTGCAAGTAAAGCAGGACTCTGCTCTCACACTGGTATCTGTTTAACTCTCACAGCAGGTCGGATGATTCTGATCCAATATACTCATCCTCCACGAATAGTGGTAAAAATAGCATCTGTTAAGTTATATTTATGATATTGTAATAAGATATTATGTCATATATTGAAATATGATGCTATATTTACGATATTAGTTCTATATTATGTTACATGGTATTAGAAATATGCAATACGATGCTATTTTAAAATATTACTTCTACGATATTAAGTTATATTATATTAGAAATATGGAATACGATGCTATTTTATGATATTAGTTCTACGGTATTAAGTTAAATTATATTAGAAATATGGAATACGATGCTATTTTATGATATTAGTTCTACGGTATTAAGTTAAATTATATTAGAAATATGGAATACGATGCTATTTTATGATATTAGTTCTACGGTATTAGGTTAAATTGTATTAGAAATATGGAATACGATGCTATTTTATGATATTAGTTATACGGTATTAAGTTAAATTATATTAGAAATATGGAATACGAGGCTATTTTATTTTAGTTCTACGGTATTAGGTTATATTATATTAGAAATATGGAATACGATGCTATTTTATAATATTAGTTCTACGGTATTAGGTTAAATTATATTAGAAATATGGAATACGATGCTATTTTATAATATTAGTTCTACGGTATTAGGTTAAATTATATTAGAAATATGGAATACGATGCTATATTTACGATATTAGTTCTATATTATGTTACATGGTATTAGAAATATGGAATACGATGCTATTTTATGATATTAGTTCTACGGTATTAAGTTAAATTATATTAGAAATATGGAATACGATGCTATTTTATGATATTAGTTCTACGGTATTAAGTTAAATTATATTAGAAATATGGAATACGATGCTATTTTATAATATTAGTTCTACGGTATTAGGTTAAATTATATTAGAAATATGGAATACGATGCTATTTTATGATATTAGTTCTACGGTATTAAGTTAAATTATATTAGAAATATGGAATACGATGCTATTTTATGATATTAGTTCTACGGTATTAGGTTAAATTATATTAGAAATATGGAATACGATGCTATTTTATTTTCGTTCTACGATATTAAGTTAAATTATATTATAAATAAGGAATACGATGCTATTTTATGATATTCGTTCTACGATATAATGTTCTAAGTAAGTATAAAGCCATGTCTCCTATATTGGTTCTACTATATCATGTTATATCAGTGTTTCCCCTATGTTCCCAACTATGGGGGGGCGGACGTACCGGAGGGGGGCGTGGGTGTTGGGGCACGCCGGGGGGGATACAATGGTAGGGAAAACACTGTATATGATATTATGTTATATAATATTAGAAATACTAAGTATGATGCCATGTTTATATTTTACTCCTACATAATGCTATATGATATTAGTCCTATATTATCTTGTTATTATCTGTGATATTACAAATACGAAG